AAGGACTCAATCCCAGGACCCTGAGATCATAACCTGAGTCAGACACTCAACCGACTAAGCCACCCAGGAGCCCCAGACTGGCTGAACTTTTAAAGATCTCTAACCAATACTACAGGAGGTGATGTGAGGAAATAGATATCTTCATATAATGCTGGAGAAAATATGAATTGTAATAGCTATTTTATTTATTTTTTATTTTTTTTAAAGTAGGCTCCATGCCCAATGTGGGGCTTGAACTCATGACCCTGAGATCAAGTCACATGCTCTACTGACTGAGCCAGTCAGGCACTCCTGTAATAGCTATTTTAGATAGCAATCTGCCAAAATTTATTAAAATTAAAAATATCTAAGCCAGCATTTTGTAATGTACCTAAGCTGTTGAATCACTATGTTGTATACCTGAAACTAACATAAAGTCAACTGTATGTCAATTAAAAAAAAAGTATTGTGGTGCCTGGGTGGCTCAGTCAGTTAAGTGCCTGCCTTCGGGTCAGGTCATGATCTCAGGGTCCTGGGATCGAGCCCTGCATCGGGCTCCCTGCTCAGCAGGAAGCCTGCTTCTCCCTCTCCCTCTGCCCCTATCCGCCACCCATGCTCGTGCTCTCTCTCAAATAAATAAATTAAATCTTAAAAAAAAAATCTTTCCTTCAATTCAACAATCCCACTCCTGAAAATGTATCTTAGTACCTAATATACGTTCAAAGATATTTATATTAGCATTGCTTGTAGAAGAAAAATAATAGAAAAACAATGCCCATTTATGAATAAGTTATGATTCACACATATCATAGTATCTCATGAACTATTCTACACCAGTGGACACAGGGATTTGCACCACATTGTTAAATGAGAAAAGAAACATACAGAGAAATCTAAAGTTGATCCCCATTATTTGTGGATTATTTGCAAATTTGCTTATGCACTAAAATTTATTTGTAACCCCCAAATCAACACTTGCAGCCTTTTGTGATCATTTGTAGGTATGCACAGAGCAGTGAAAAAAAATCGCCTAAAACACATATCCAAGATGAGGTTGAACAAAGTATTATTTTGCCTTCTTGGGTTGTTTTTTGTTTTTTTGTGTTGTTTTTTTTTTTAAGTAGACCCCATGCCCAACGTGGGGCTTGAACTCAGGACCCTGAGATTAAGAGTGGCATGCTCTGGGATGCCTGGGTGGTTCAGTCAGTTAAGTGTCTGCCTTCAGCTGAGGTCATGATCCCACAGAACTGGGATCAAGTCCCGCATTGGGCTCCTTGCTCAGCGGGGAGCCCACTTCTCCCTCTGCCTGCTGCACCCCTGGTTGGGCTCACGCGCACTCGCGCACTCTCACGCTCGCTCTCTCTTCTCTCTCGTTGACAAATTAAAAAAACAAAATCTTAAAAAAAAAAAAAAAAAAAAAAGCGTGGCATGCTCTACCAACAGAGCCAGCCAGGTACCCCTTTCTTTCTTGTTTTAGCTATCATACTGTAAACAAATGCCTTTTTCGTGATCTGTCTAGTGTCACGTTTTCACATTTCTTGTGCCTTTTTGTTGGCAATTTCACTGTTTTATGCTGAGTGCTGAAGTGCTGGCTAATGTTCCTAAGTGCAAAAAAGCTGTGATGTGGGATGCCTGGGTGGCTCAGGTGGTTAAGCCTCTGCCTTCAGCTCAGGTCATGATCCCGGGGTCCTGGGATCGAGTCCCGCATTGGGCTCCCTGCTCAGTGGGGAGTCTGCCTCTCCCTCTGCCTACTGCTCCCCCTGCTTGTGCTCGCTTGCTCTCTCTCTCTCTAATAAATAAATAAAATCTTAAAAAAAAAAAACCAAAAAACAGAAAGCTTTGATGTGCCTTATATGTGTTAGATAAGCTTCATTTAGGCATGAGTGCTCTTGGCTGTGAGTTCAATGTTAATGAACCAACAATATATATTAAATAAAGTTTTAAACAGAAAAACACATAAAATAAGGTTAGGTATTATTTGGTTAAAAACAATGTTTGATCAGAGGCTGCAGTAACATAACCTTGTATTTCCTCTAGAAGCAGCAGTAATTAAGTGTTCACAGAAACTATAGAACATAACTACTGCAAATAATGAGCACTGACTAAATGTTGTGATCTTTTCAATTAAATAATAATTCATGTTTGCATATTATTAAAAGAACACAGAGAAAAATATGAAAGGATACAAATCAGCATGTTAAAATGGATTGGTTACTTGGGAAAGGCAAGGCATGTGTGGAAAAGATTAATTCCAGAAGAGGGGCAAAAGAGAGAGGAAAAGTAGAGCTAAACAACAACAACAAAAAAAAAAAACGGGGCGGGGGGGCAGAGGAAAAAAAAGAAAAAAAATTGCCTTGATAAAAAAAATATTACAATAATATATGGACATGTGTGTATGTAAACACATACACACAGACACACATAAAGAAATGCAAGAAGGGGCGTGCCTGGGTGGCTCAGCTGGTTAAGCGTCCAACTCTTGGTTTCCCTTCAGGTCCTGATCTCAGGGTTGTGAGATTTAGCTCTGCATGGGGCTCTGCGCTGGATGTGGAGCCTGCTTGGGATTTTCTCTCACCCTCTCCCTCTGCTGCTCATGCATGTGTGTGCATGTTCTCTCTCTCTCAAAAAATAAGTAAGAGAAATGCAAAAAAGGATTTTCAAATATGATAGTTACCTAAGATGGCAGAAACATACTTTCTTCCTTATATATTGTTCAAATGTTTCAAACAATGATCATAAATAATCAAAATTTTTAAAAGCAAAAATAATATTTTGTTGGGGAAAAATAAAATAAAAATAAAATCTTCAAAAAATTAATTAATTAATTAATGGCTGTGGTTAAATTCTATAAGCTCTATGAAGATCAATTCCCACTAGGTACTTTTTTTTTTTTTTTACCTAGGCTGTACTAGTATGGTAAATTACAATAAATAAAACTAAAAATTTAGTTCCTCAGTCACATTAACCACCTTTCGAGTGCTCAACAGCCACATAACTCATAGCCACCATACTGGACAACACATATTATCAAACATTTCCATAGTCCCAGAAAGTTTCGGGTTTGGTTTTTTTTTTTTTTTTAGATTTATTTATTTATTTTAGAGAGAGAGAGAATGAGAGTGAGCGAGCAGGGGGAGGGGCGGGAGAGGGGAGGCTGACTCCCCACTGAATGCAGAGCCAACACGGGGCTCAATCCCACAGTCCTGAGATGATGACCTGAGCTGAAACCAAGAGTCAGATGCTCAACTGACTGCACCCCACCAGAAAGTTCTATTGGCCAGTAGGTGTTAAGAGTGTTTTCAAGAAAGGCCACTACCTTCATACATCTGTTATTCAGGATGTCTCCGTTTTTACATATTCTTCTTTCCTCCTCTAACCTATTTTATTTATATTGTATCTCCTTCCAAAAATAATTCAGACTGCAAAGGGGCAGCTGAATGGCTTAGTCGGTGGAGCATGTGACTCTTGAACTTGGGATCCTGAATTCGAGCCCCACCTTGGGTGTGGAGCCTACCAAAGAAAAAATAAAAATAACTAAAAATAAAAATATTACAAATAATTTAGGCTGCATGAAAAAGAACAGATAGATCAACAGATAAGGTTAATGAGATACAAAATCATAGTCAAAAAAGAAAAAGGAAGCAACTCTTTCTATTTCAAGGAGTAACAGCAGCTACATATCTGATGATCAAATTTGACCCTGAGCTCCCTAGAAGCCAGAGCAAGAGGGAAAATACATAAACTCTGTAGTTCTCCTTATCAGAAAGAAAGAGAAAAGGATAGCAATTTCTTCAGGAAGACAATTATCCCAGGCAGTTAAGTTCTAAAGGAAATTTCTTTGAGGAATTTTATAGAGAGGTCAATCTCCTTCCTTGGCAAGTTTTTATGACAACTGAAAAGCAGTTTCTACATGGCTACTTCTCTCAAAACTTTTGACAAAACTACAACTCAGTGAGGGCAATTCTACAAGGCGCTAGTTTAAAAGAAGTCGGCCTAAGTACTCTGCCTTCCAGTGGGGTAACTTGATTCCAGAAGAGTTCTGACTACCTCTTGGAATGGACGTGGGTGTTGCCTCACAGGGGCAACCGACTGATCTCTGCGCATGAGCCCACGTTAGGGGGAAACTACTAATCAAAGCGACAGGGTTTCTCAGTAGCTTGGTAAAGGTTTAACGGGGGAGGAGGTGATAAAAACTAACAGCTAAATAGAGGTCTGGGTTCTCAGTGGATTTCCTTTAACCACCCTAGGGCACCTCTCTGTTGGCCTGAATAGCTGTAAATGGATGTCACCAAGGCAGAAGACTTCATTATCGTTATTAATTACGTTCCAGCCTTGGCCCTCTGTTCCTCTGAGCTCTCGACCTCGGCAAAGAGCCCAGTCGAGAAGCTGGCCAGGCGAATCTCACCTGCAATCCCAGCTTGCACAGTGATGAGGTCGGCGAGTAGCATATCGGGGGCCCTTTCCCAGAGTTGGTGAGGGCACCGGGCTGCAGGATAAGTTCTCGGAGAGGAGTTCTCATAGTTGGTTTTCCCTGAGAAAGCGGAGAGTGTGAGAAAGCCTGGGCTGCGCCAGCCCGGCCCTTCTTCCCCTCTCTAAGAAGCTCCGGGGGCAATAGGAAGAGTAGACTTCCACCCCAGTCGCGCTGAAGCGGCAGGACCGGTATAGACTCCACACACACACCCCCTTCCCCAGGCTGGACCCAGCTTTCCAGGACACTCGGCGTTGCTGCCGTCCCCGCCTCGAAGCCCCGACCCAGCTCTCTCCGTCCCTGAGGTTCTCTTGCTCACCGGTTGGGGCGAAGGCGATAGGCTAACGTTCAGTTTTTTCACCCGCCACATTTTCACCACAGAACGCGCGGATCAATCACCTCCCAGACCCAAGAGCAGACGCCATGTTCACCCGCCGTCTTTATTTGAACCGGCGCCGCGCCTCTCGATTGGCTGCGGAAGCCTGGGTACGTCGGCCTAGCGGTCCGCTCCGCGCTCGAGCCCAAGGCAGGGGGCGGGGACTAGAGGCCCCGCCCCCACTGGCCCGCGGGTCGCGCGAGCTCTCTCGACCGACAGCCCCACCGCCGCCAGCGCAGGAGGGGGCTGGAGGGCTGCAAGCGTCCCGGGCCCGAGGCCGGTTTGTGGCCTCACCTCGGGACGGGTACCCAGGTAGCTGGAGAGTCAAGAAGTCTGTCCCTCCCGCTTCCAGTGGACGACCCTCAGACCCTGTCAGAAAAGTTGTCTCGGTTGCCTGGCCTCAGGTGTCTCCCCAGGTTTGCCTTAGTTACCTGGCGCCCCAGCCTTGACCGGAAAGAGCGCGGAAGGGAGAGGTGAGTGGAGCGTTTTGTAACGAGGCTTGGTGGGTCGGCTCGCGTAGGCCCTGCGTTGGGGTTGGCCTGAGCTGGAATTTAGCCTCTTGGGAATTTCTCGTGTTTTCCTGAGACTTACCTCAGGGCCTGCTACAAGTTTACGGGAACGACCTCTAACAAGTATTAAACATCTATTAGGTATCTGGCACTGTTCCAAATACTTTATCTGTATTAACTCCTCTAATCCTCCTAAGGACCTGTGAAGTAGGTGCTGTAAATATCACCCTTTTGCAGACAAGAAACTGAGTCCTAATGAAACTGGCCCAATACCCCGCCGGTAGTAAATGGCAGAGTCGAGATTTCAACCCATACCACCAACTAACTACAGGACTGTATTCTCCTGTGGGCTTGAATACCCTCCGTGAGAAGTCAGCTATTGAAGGTGGAATTGATTTTTGGAAACAGCCTAACGGTAAGTATTTAGAGTTTGTGATAAAAGTGTGTTCATTGCAACACTCACTGTACCTTATTTACACTCTGAAGTCTTAATGAATTTGGAAAAGGAAATCATGCAAAGAGGAGGAACTATAATCTGTCCTGAACTAACTGTAGGGCTCTCAGGTGATGAGCTCTCAGGTGATGAGCTCCTGTGGTCTGATATCATGGCCACTAGCCACATGTGATTACTGAGCACTTCAACTGTGGCTAGTCCAAATTGAGATGTATTATAGGTGTAAAATACGAACTGGATTTCAAAGACTTTGTATGGAAAAAAGAATATAAAATAATTTTTAAATCTTGATTACATGTTGAAGTTATATTTCAGGTATATTAGGTTAAGTAAAATATATTAAAATTAATTTCACCTGTTTCTTTTTACCTTTTCAATGTGGCTACTAGCAAATTTAAAATGACTTATGGGGCTTACCTTGTACTTCTATGGGACAGCACTGCTCTAGAAACATAACAGTCCCAGCCGGCAGGCACTATGGATAAAAGTTGCTTGAATGGAAAACTGGAAGAAAGACCATGTAAGAGCACAAACTTGAGCATGGGGTTTCCCAAGACTCAGCAGAGGGTATCCCAAGGTGTATGTACTTCTGGCCAATTAAAAAGATTCAACAAATAAAACAAGGGTGGGGAGTGGCAGAAACAAACAAAACTAAACTAAGTGCTACTGGTAAAAACTTGTATCATAGAAATGTGTGAATTGGAATGCTTAGTCCTTGTTGCAGTTGGTATGTCAGATGCTAGTGAGTAGCCAAAACGATATGGTGCTTCCAGTAGCAAAGCAGGAAGGATATGGAAGGGTGGATGAGTGGGAAAATACCATTATAAATAGGTAACATAAATAGAATGTTTGTTGGTGTTATTTTGCATAATTTTTAAAATTTGGTGTTTTTCAAATTATAAAAATAATAGATACCTGTTATTGCAAGTGAAACAATGCAATGCAAAAATGTATTAAAGGCAAAGCGTCCCCCCTCCATTCTCCCTGCCTGAGGTACTCAATAGTGTGTACACCTTTGTAACATATGCATACACATACACAGATTCTGTATGTCTATTTACACACACATTTTTCTCCCCAAAATTAATATGTCAAATGGGGTCTCTTGGATTGAGGGCTAGTGTCTTTTTTTTTTTTCCTCCACTTGTACTTACTCCTTTCTCCCTTCCATTTTTTTCACGTTCTCTCACACATGAAGGGGAAGAAGGCATTGAGTTCTTTACAAAAATGGCATCATTTCTTACACTTCTGCATTTTTTTCTTCCTCATTCAATGTCTTGTACAGAGCCTTTTTTTTTAAAGTAAACTACTCCCAACATGGGGCTTGAACTCATAACCCCAAGATCAAGAGTGGCATGCTCTACAACTGAGCCAGCCAGGTGCCCCTTGTATAGAGCCTTCTACGTCAACTGATACAGATGTAATTAATTATCACTTCATATTCCTTGCCGTTTTTTAAAAAATATTTTTTCTCTAATTTGTAAGAGTTTTGTGTGATAGACCTTAACTGTCATCACAATACAAATTTTTTTAGCTGTTTTTGTCCATTGACTTTATTAATGGTATCTTTGCCCCTACATATAAGACTTTTAAAGATTTTATTTATCAGAGAGAGAGCACAAATAGGGGGAGCCCGATGTGGGACTCGATCCCAGGATCCTGGGATCATGACCTGGGCCGAAGTCCGATGTTTAACCGACTGAGCCACCCAAGGGTCCCCATATAAGACTTTTATGCGGTCGAGTTGTTTAAGAGCATCTTGATTGAGTCATTCTTCAAATTTTTATGTAAATATGTTTTTCTTTTATAGTGCTTTCATTTTGTCTTGGTTTAGGTATCTCCTCCACCCCTTGATTGTAGATCTAATCTCCCAAATGTTCTAAAATTTTTAATGTTTTGACAATCACATTTAAATTCTTAATGTATCTGGAATTAAGTTTTGTATATGCTATGAAATAGGGGTCCAAATATTTCAAAACACTTGTTTTTTTTTTTTTTAAGTAATCTCTATGCTTAACGTGGGGCTCGAATTTACAATCCCAAGATCAAGAGTTGCATGCTCTACCAACTGAACCAGCCAGGTACCCCAACACTTGTAATTTTTAATTTTAGGATTAGAGATTACTTATTTTGTAAAAATCCAAATATGTAACCCAAATCAGCAACTCTGAGACATATGCACCAGGCAGTTCTAAGTGAATTCAAGGATGAAACTGTGGAATTAGTAGCCCTGCTACAATGAATGATGTATGTGTGTATGATGTGTATGATGGGAGTACTGAACAAAGGAGGCAGTGTGACAACTGCTAATCAGTGGGGCTCCATAAACCGCAAAACTCATGGAAATAATATGTTCACAGAATATAAGCAAAACCAAACTATAGGGAGTAAGGTAGCATGTTTTGTAAATAATCATTCCGATTAATCTATTAGAACTCATCATAGCAGTTGTATTAGTTTGCTAGGGTTGCTATAGCAAAGTACCACAGACTAGGTGGTGCAAACAACAGAAATTTATTTTCTCACAATTGTGGAGGCTAGAAGTCTGAGATCAAGGTGTCAACAGAGTTGGTTTCTTCTGAGGCTTTCCCATTGGCTTGTAGATAGCTGTTGTCTCCCTGTATCTTCACTTGGTCTTCCCTCTGTGTATCTGTGTCCTAATTTCTTCTTTATAAGGACACCAATCATTGGATTAGGGCCAACCCACATGACCTCATTTTAACTTAATTACGTCTTTAAAGACTATCTTCAAATACAGTCACATTCTGAAGTACTGGGGGTTAGGACTTCAACGTATGAAAGCAGGGAGGGGGAGTGCAGTGGAGACACAATTCAGCTCGTAACAGGATTAATAATGCAGTGAGTATGATTTTATTTTGAAAAAGCTTTGACATGATTTTTACATTGAAGACTCTATTTAAAGAAGTAACTAAGGAATTGTGATTACCAATTTGCTAAATTAATGAACAAATGAACAAATTGATATATGGTAAAGAAACTCAGATGTAAGAAACAATGAGTAGAACTACAAAGACACTTTTCTAGAAGAATATAAGCATTGGTGTTAAGACTGATCTTACATTCTTAGAAAAGTTAGAAGGGAGTAGAGCATAAAATATCCATACTGATACGTATATCTGATTTCTTCTAGGTAATGAAAAAGCATAGAGTTAAACTTAAAAGAGATCAGGTTGTATATAAAAGTATTTTTAAGTGAATTTCATGTGGATAAATAAAAGGTATTATATTTATAGGTCAGTGATTCTAAATGGGGGTGGAGGATGGCAGGAAAGAATGCCTTCCAGGGATGAACATATCAAAACTGAGGGGTGAAGATGGGGCTTTTTCAAATTATACTTTCTGAAACATTGATTTTCGGTCACCCCCTCTACTCTACCCTGAGAATCACTGCTATAGTGCCCCACTGATTATGAATAGAGTACATTAAAAATGTCCACATTTGATAAATGATTCAAGTTACACTTACATGATTATGGTCCCAAAGCTACCTAATATTTCCTAAGAAAGGGACCCTAGTGACATGTCAACCATATCCAAAAGACCTTAACCCAATATGCTGCTGTGACCAGAGAGACTATATAATGTTAGGTGACCTGAATATTAATTAACACTGGACCAGACACTGGACCAGTATCATAAAATCATCTACATCTGCCCTTTAAAAAAGCATCACAGAACTCTAAAGCCCCCCGCCGACAACCGAGAACCAGTGATTATAACCCCCTCATTTCTATATATAGGAAACTAAGATCCAGAGAAGTTAAAATAACTTGTGTAAAGACTCTGAGATAGTTATTGGTGGATCTAAGCACCAGTCTAATACTCTTAATTACGTTAGAAACCATTAATTCCTATTTCTAGTATTCAGAGTTTTTATCCAATATGCAGTTCTGGTCACTACAACTTTAAAAAAAAAAAAATGTAAAGCTAAAAAAGTATCTAAAGAGAAACAAATGAGATAATCAAAAGGATTAATGTTACATTTATTTATTCATGTATATCCCAGCCTTGTTCCAAAAAGGCTTGCAAAAATGCAGATAATAAAAAGAAAATAAAGGTAGAAAAGGAAGATGGAATCAAGAATGTGGCTAGCATACAAAATATACAACATGAAGTCCTAAACACTTGCTGGAAGTGGACTGCAAATTAGGCTCTAAGTGGCCTAGCATTGATATGAAGAGAAAAATACAGTCTGTTGAATATTTAGTGTCTTTAAGGTAAAACCAAACAGCGATTCAGGAAAAGCACAGCTGGGTCCAGGGGAAATTTCTCCCATGCATCCTTATACAGAACATTATGAATTGTAATGAACACCCTTCACAATATATCCATAGCAATTAAATTTCATAGGGATTTTCCTACAGATTGCCAAAGTACAATCCAGAAAAAGCAATTTTGCAGAGGCCAATAAAATGCCAGCTATGTACAGGGAAAATCTGGCTTAATCCAGGGAACAGAATTAATAAACACAAGTATACAGGGTGTTCCAGACTCTCTTTGGTCTGCAAAGAGAGATCAGAAATAACTGAAGAATAATAAAAATGAACATTTTGAAGGGCTCCTGGCTGGCTCAGTCAGAAGAGCATGCGACTCTTGATCTCGGGGTTGTGAGTTTGAGCCCCACATTGGGTGTAGAGATTACTTAAATACATAAATAAATATTTTTTTAATGAAGGTTTTGAGCAGTTAAAGAAAAATGAAAAGAAGTCAGTAAAGGCCAGAAATATATACAAATTTAAGGTCCAGATGATTTTCCTTACTAAAGGAAAAGGTTCTTGAAATACATCTAACCTTAAATCTTAAGGCTGATGTCATGCCTCTTAATCCCTTGGTTTGCCCATCAGAAACTGAATCCTAGGCTATCTAGGGAAATGATCAGTTTAAGAATCTTGTCTTTTGAAGAGATTTTGTTTTGGAAAAAAATTCAATAGCTATCCCTATCAGCCCTAGAAAAGGCATTTAACCCACATTTGTTTCAGTTCCTTTCCTCACATTAGGCTATTAGATTCACTTTTGAAATTTTTAAAAATTAGATTTATTACAGACTGGCTTTGAGCCCCCAGATGGTACGTTTTAGCTGCATATTTAGGGGTTAAAATGCCAGCTTATGAGACCTTTGAAAAACATTCATACTGCTTCTAACAAGCCTATTAAAAACACATATATAGCACCTTGAGACCCCATGCAGTGTCATTATTGCTCAAGAAAGGAAATATGGCAGGGGCACCTGGGTGGCTCAGTCATTTAAGCATCCGACTCCTTATTTCGGCTCAGATCATGATCTCAGGGTTGTGAGACTGAGCCCCGCATCAGGCTCTGCATTGGGCATGGAGCCTGATTAAGATTCTGTCTCCTTCTGCCCCTCCCCCCTCTAATAAATTTTAAAAAAAAAAAGGAAATATAGCAGAGAGACAAGGAATGGGAAAAGTAGAATAAGCCTCTGGCTGAAAGCTTCAGGGTATGAGCATTGGAGAAATGAAGCAAAGGAAAAGGTCAACACTCTGATCTGACATGTTGAATTGAGAGGTGGGTTGTATTCGTGGGGGGGGGGGGGGGGGCAAGATTTGAACTCTGGCCCAACAAGTAGAACAGAATGGTAAGAGGCTACACATTAAAAACAAACTGGATCATCAAAGTGGTCATACTGAGTTGGCAGTAGAGGAAATTCTCAGGTTCCCAGATGGGCCCAAATCTACAGTAGAGGGGCTCAAGCAAGGCTGGGATGGACCAGGTAGGACTCCAGGTTACAGTCAAAATCCTTGAAAAGCATGGACTCCGATGGACTGGGCTGGGTAGCTTGTGTCTCCATGACAAAGTTCACTGGCTGCTTCCGTAGGAGCTCTGGGTCAAAGGCCACACCCCGAAAGAAAGGGTGGACCTGGAAGTGATGCAAGTAACGCAGACGATGGAGGGGATTCTGGCATAAGAGCTGAAGGCAAATAGATCATGAAGGATGAGGGACTGGGATAGGAAGGGGGCTAAACAGAAAAGCTGGAAAAGAAGTTCATGAAGCTGTGGAGGGCAGGAAGAATCCTAAAGAGGATCTGAAAGAGAGAGAAACAGGCTAATTTGGGGGCAAAGGTGGGAATAAAGGTGCTGTGTTGGTAAGACAGTAGCAATGGCCCTCTCTCAGAAGTGACCTGGTATGGATGGGGAGGATATTTGAAGGCTGGGGAACTCAGAACTGAAATTTAAAGTGCTGGTTAGAGGGCAAGTGGTGAGGTGGTACTTGATCAAGTTGGAGCACACCCCCATCCCAGCCAGATTATTAGAGACATGGGGAAATAACACTTCAGTGATAGGGAAAGGAGAGAGAGAATGGTTTGGTAGTCAAAAGGAAACTAGTGTTCACCCTTACCTCATGGAGCAGGAGTGAGAGCCCCTGGTTAAGAGAAGCCGGGATCTCAAAATCATAGTGGGTCACACTTGCCAACATGGCCACATGATCTCTCTCTGCAGCCACTGGGAACTGAGTTGGGGGGGGGGGGGGCGGTGTCATTGCTTGGTAGGAATGAGGCAAGATTTCCTAAGGTCTTCTTCCCACTACAGGACAAAGCTCCTCTCTCTGCCCAACATCCCTACCATTCTCTCACCTTCCCAGCTGCCAGAGAGAAAAGCAAGACACCCAGGGACCACCAATCAGCAGCATGGTTGTAAGGCCCTCCACTCAGGACCTCTGGGGCTAGATTTGAAAGACAGTTGTCATTGACATCAATTGGCTAGATTCCTGCCATTGTTTACCCGCCAGCTTTAGCACCTGTCTCACCCATGTATTGAAGAGTGCCACAGATAGTATAGGCTCGGGTTCCCTGGGCCAGGTGGCGGGACAGACCAAAGTCTGTCAGTTTCAGATGGCCTGTGAAAGAGAAGGCAACAGCACCACTCTGTTCCTCCCCTCAGCAGCCATGACTCCTTCCCAAACTGAGGGTCCTCTCATTCTGGGGCTAGGAAAAGAAAAGGACTTACCTCGTTCATCCAGAAGGATATTCTCCATCTGAAAAATCACAGGTGGTAAGTTATTAGTCATCCTCTTCCTTTCAACCTTCTTTCATCATGTATACCTCCCAGCTGAGGAAGACGCCCTATTCATCATTCAGGCCTATACTTTGATGGCCCTTGCCCAAATCCTTAGCACTCCTGAGGGCCCCAAGGTCAGCTGTTCTCAGCTCCCCACTGCCTTCTTAGACCTGTTGGAACTTCTTACTGAGGCCCCACTTCAGACAAAGAAAAAAGCACTTAACTCTACCTTCACATCTCGATGGATGATGCCCAAATCATGGAGATAGCCTGTGGATGACAAGTATGGGGTGTGCTAAAGCTCTCCTGTCTTTCCAGATTCCCTGGTAGTTCCCATCCCATTCCTATCCCTGTTCTTTGACCTCCAGAGTTAATATCAAATCTCTTCTCTCTGCCCCTCCCTCTTAATTCTTCCCTCATTTCCATTACCATTCTTATTTCACTTACACAGCACCAGAACCAGTTCAGCAGCAAAGAGGCGGATGGAGGCCTCAGCAAAGCAGCCAACAGAGGACCACAGGGAGTAAAGGTCTGTACTGCAGTAGCTGCACACTGCAAAGTATCAGAAGCCTAGGCAATATTTGGGGTTACTGTGCCTGAGCTCAAGGCATTTTAGGCCTCTTGCCCAAACTGATGCCACCCGTTGTTCCCTCTCCTTTTTGGGGAGAGAAGTGCTCTGAGAAGGGAAAGAGCAAAGGGAAAACAAGCCAAAGGGATGGATAATCTCAGGTGGGGAGTACAATAGAAGGATTCTTGGAAATGAGAGGCCAGTCACTCACTAATGAAGAGGTGCCGTTTTCCCTGCCAGCTGTCCCCCAAACCGTGTACAAAAGGATGGTTGATCTGTCGCTAGGAATGAAGAAAACAAAGTTAGGAAAGAGGTCATTGAGGATCAAGGGAGCCAAGAAGTCAGGATTTACCTAGTTATGCAGAAAAGGAGCTGCTGCCCCACCTCTCAGTTCAGGTGAACTAAGTAGGGACTGCCTGCCTGGTAATCTCAAAACCAGCATGATACTGAGGAACACACCAGGACATGCTGGAGAGATTTCCATGGAAGGACCTAGAATTAACTGCTGATAACTACTTTTCCAGGATCTACTTTGGTTGAAGCAGAGGGGGGGGGGGGGGGGGGGGCCAGAACCAGGAAGAGCAGGACAGTTGCCACCTGTGGTTTAGTTCTTCCTAGGATCCATTCCTGGGCTCTGTGCATACCTGGATGCTAACCTCCTCTTTGCACTGCCTCAGGATGTCCCTCTGTAGGACCTTTACCTTGGGCAACACCTGTAAAAGGAGAGGAGTGATGACTCCTACAGGTTGTTTATGCCTACCAAACCTTTATAGAACCAAGATTCGAGGCAGGGACTAGAGAATGATGTGGAAGAGTACCTAGGTCCCTACCTTCACTGCAAATACTGCTTTCTGGCCACAGTCTATCACCTTGAGAACCGTTCCGAAGGAGCCTTTAGCCACAAGGCCTAAAATCTGTACAGAGAAATGGAGAATAGCATAATTGAAACTCTGGCCATTTCTAGATGTCTCCCCAAGACTGAGACCCCTTCCAGGGACTGACTTACCTTCAGCTGGTGATGCCCCTTAAGGGGCCTAATGGGAAACTCCGGCAGAAAAAGGTTGACGAACTGAGGCACTGGCCACTCAGACAGAGGCTTCTCTGTTAGCAACAGGGCCGGCTCCAGGGGCTCCTGGTGTAGGCACTGATGCCCCCGTAGTCCCCACAGCTCTTCCACACCTGACCTGGTAGTCCCCACACCTGACCAGAGGCTCTTCCAGCCTCGGACCCAGGGACCCCGGATGTTGCCACCCTGCTGAGAACCAAGGGAGCCACTCTAAACCTCTGCCCTTGAGGCATTACAAGTTCTGCCCATCTCAGAAAGCATACCCTCAAGTCGCAACCTTAGGGATACATTTTTGAGCACCAGGCAAAATTGCCATTACCCTTGCTTTGGGCCAAGGCCTAGATTTCCTGGATATGATTCAGATCCTCTAGGAAAGCAGTATTTGGACATTTTCCCTTTGAGGCATCGGAGATTCAGCCTGTGCCTCTTGGTATGGGGTTGGGATATTTTCACAGCATAGCCTCCTGTTCCACCTCCACAGTGGGCATCACTAACATTCTCCTCACCAGTCAGTTCCCAGGCCTTAAGACCATGCCCCCTTAACCTCCCCTAAACAGGCGGCCAGAGCCCCACAGCCTACCTTATGAGAAGCAGCCACTGGGCCATGTTGCCCCTGCCGACAGCTTACTGTTCCCATCCAAAGCCTCTGCCTCCTCTCCTCCTGCTAAATCTGCTGTCCCAGTTACATAAGCAACTCCTGCCCCTGATGCTACATTACACATGAGCCCCGCCTCTTCTTGCCGTTCATGACTAGAGATACAAGTTGATGCAGCCAAACCCCACCCTTATCCCCAAATCCTATCCCCCCACCCCAGTTATGAATAGGCTCATAGCCAGCACTAAAATGTGCAGAGACCTATTAGGAGGCCAGTGTCAAACCAGAGCTGGGAAGTATCTGTGATATAGTTTCACAGAGGAGGGAAAAGGCCATACTCATTAGAGTGGTAGCTAGAGGATATGTCTTGGGTTGATAGGGAGGTAGGGACAGGTTGAAACCCATGCACTTAACACACCAAAAAAAAAAAAATCAAATTTAAAATATGTATTTTTTCCTCTTTAAGTCGTTTTCTTACCATTCTTCAGGGCATACCCCAAGGGGACCCATGGCCAGCCCTGGCATCTATTGCCATCTTCCCAAGTGAACTTGGCACAGATTGAGAAGGGGCTGATTCCCCCCCCAGAACCCTAATATACCTCTCATACAAGGCAGTGGAATGAGGAATAGGAGATCGGCTCCTCCCCTCAACTTTCTAGCACAGAGGGAGAGCAGTTACACTTAGAAATATATATGTATAGGGTGCCTGGGTGGCTCAGTTGGTTAAGCGACTGCCTTCGGCTCAGGTCATGATCCTGGAGTCCCGGGATCGAGCCCCATGTCGGGCTCCTTGCTCAGCAGGGGGTCTGCTTCTCCCTCTGACCCTCCCCCCTCTCGTGTGCTCTCTCTCTCATTCTCTCTCTCTCAAATAAATAAAATCTTAAAAAAAAAAAGAAATATATATGTATATATTTATATATAGGTCTATAAAAATTTATCACACTTGATCAGAACTCTCCCTCCCACCCTTTCAGTTAGCCCCAGTTGAACCAGATCCTGATCCTGGGCCCATTCCCTGGGTCTTGCTCTCTTGACGCCTCTCTGGGCCTTGGCCTGCTGATCAGTGCGAGGTAGAACTCAGCATTATTATCCACTGTATTCTGCAGGAACAGGCCAGCTGCTAAAAGAGCAGTGCCCCTCTCCACAGTACCCTGTGGGCTCCTGACCCCCAACAAATCCTGATAGGTAAAGGGAAATGCCTCCCACCCCACAAGTCCCTGGGGCCTGAGCCAGAGTCAGATCCTGTACTGCAGCCACTCTTGGATGCTGGATCACTTGCGCCTGCCAAAGATGGACTTCTTGCCAGGGTTCTTGTTGCCCACACTTAAACCGATGAGGAGCCGGGCTTTCTCCTCCTCTTCCTGCTGTTGCATGTTGAGGTCTGATTTAGTTTCTAGCTTTCCCCGGACCTCAGACCCTGTTGCAGGTTTCAGCCTTAACTTCTCTTTGATTACCTGATAGGTTAGAGAGAAGTAAAAAGGAAGGTAAATATTAGTGGTACAGGCAGAATAAATCAATGTGAACCAAGTCAATAAAGATTTATTAAGCTTACATGAAGACACAGTGGGGCAATTCAAATTATAAAACGATCTCTGCTTTCAAGAAGCTTACAGTCTAATTAGAACCCATTCTGGGGGTGCCTGGGTGGCTCAGTCGTTAAGCTGAGCCTTTGGCTCAGGTCATGATCTCAGGGTCCTGGGATTGAGCCCCACATCGGGCTCCCTGCTCAGCAGGGAGCCTGCTTCTCCCTCTCCCGCTCCCCCTGCTTGTGTTCCCTCTCTCGCTGTGTCTCTCTCTGTCAAATAAATAAAATCTTTAAAAAAAAAAAAAAAAAAGAACCCATTCTGAACTGAAGTTGTGTCAGCCCTCAGTTTCCTAAAAATCAACTGTTAACATATATGAAATACTCAGTAAACATCTAATTTAATCATCTGACCAAAGTCATGGAGAGGGTAGGGATATAAGTTGTTCATTTCATTCAGCTGCCCATCTCCAAGGCTGCTTGTCCTACATATGTCCTAGGATGAAATGCACCTGAGCACAGGATCTGTTTGCCAGCCCCTGCTAACCAAACAGCCACGAACTCTGCTGGGATACCTGGGCAACCAGGGCTTTGCGGCTGTCCCTCTTGACAGCCATGGCAAAGTCTAGCCATGTCCATGTATTGTTGTGGTACTCCAGACAGGGCAGCACCAGGTTAAGGTCACCCCAGTCCACACTGTTCTTCTCACCCTGCAAGGTGGGGGGAGGGGAGAGAAAAGAAGAATCAAAAGATGTATCAGCTGCCATTTTTAGTTCAAGCAATACCTGAGTCCAAGTTTAGTGCTTTCCTACAGCAGCAGTTTACAGATACTGATTTCCCTTTTACCTCATCCTGTAATGGTATTGATTCCTGAAGGCAGCAGAGGGAACAGATTACCCCCACATACCAGCTTCACAAACTAGACTGCTGTGTCTAACTTTAATCTCTGGTCTTATCTGGTTCCCTTCCCACGCTGTTCTAGAAAGTACTAGGGAGGAGCAGACCTTGTAGCTGACACACAGAGGAACCTGTGGAATCTTTATGTAGATGAAGGAGTTGTTCATGGCAGCTCGCTCTTTCATCTTGTCAATATCATCCACAGGGTGCTAGGAAAGGCAGGAAAGGAGTGTGAGTCCCTGAAACCACCAGAAGAAACTTAGGACCCCAAACATCTCCATCTCCTTTCATCCCTGGAAAAGAATGAAGAAATCCCCTGCTGGGCCAAACAGAGAACCCCAGGACTCTCCCATCTCTCCATCATCAGGGGCATGTGTGGTACCTCAGGTACTTTCCGAAATGACCTCCTGACGCCAGAACTCCGATTTAAGCCTTGTGCCACACCCTTTCCAGGGCCCAGTGGTGCTGCATCATCTGTTGCAATCAGCTGCCGAGGCTTCACCACTGGTATTCCTATGAAAAAGCAAGAATACCAGCTGCTATCCTCTTTCTGAAGCTTTAGCTATCTCTGGGGCTGCTACCCCAGTCTTCTGGAGCTCCACCATAAAAGTTCTCACCAGTAGTCACCAGTTTGGACTTATCTTCTTCATCTCCAACCTCATCATCTTCCACACTTCGGCCAGGAAAGAAAAAACCCATTATTCTATGGAAGAACTGGTGTGTCAGCTGGATGGTGAGAGGCACCACATTTACCTAAAGAGGAAAAAGGCTGAAGAAGCAATTAAGCTCAGACATCATCCCTCAGTTTACCTACCCCTAATGTAGCATAATAACACAGATAGCTTTTGACTGCCCTTTGTTTCTGGATTCCCAAAGGACTGTATACTAACCTCAAAGTGTTCCTTAACAGAAATACCCCCAACAGGGGGCCGGACTTTGCTGAAGAGGCGGAGGGCCAGCTGTCGCCCAGACTGGCAGGAGCTCTGGGGCCGCAGGACTACCTATAGGATAAAGAGTGATAAATCAACTTTCAAATCCATTCAGACTAAGAGGAAAAGCAATGGTCTTGCTAAGCTGAGCAAGCTTTCAACCTCTCAGATCACCACACTGCTTCCCACACTGGATTTATGTGGAAGGGCCCTTACAAATGCCCTGTGTTAGGGGGTGGCTGGGTGGCTTAGTTAAGCATCCAACTCTTGATTTCCGCTCAGGTCACGATCTCAGGGTCATAAGATCTAGCCCTGTGTCAGGCTCCATGCTGATCACAGAGTCTGGTTGGGATTCTCTCTTTTCCTCTCCCTCTGCCCCTCTCTCTCATTCTCTCTCTCTGAAATAAGTGAAATCTTACAAATGCCCTGTGTTAGGAAGCATGAGAATGGGGCAGGAATGGGGAAATAAGACTTGCCTTATAGACCGCATTGGGGAGAAGGTTGTTCATAGTGAACCAGCCCAACTCCAGAAGATGTTCTGCTGTGTCATCAGACTTATTCACCTATAAAAAGATTTCCCACCCCCCGACCCCATATGCTATAATAAGCCTTTCTCAGGAGCTTGCTAGAGAATTGCTACATGTCCTATTTTCAGGTTCTCCATATGTTTAATCCCAACCTTTGGTATCCCTTTCAATTTCATACAATCAATTCAACCTTTAATCCAGTGTTTCTCATGGGCACTACTGGCGAGGGCACTGAGTGCCAGTAGCACTTCCCAGTCACTGTGATATTCAGAAATGGTCTCACATATTTCCAAACTCCCAGAGGGAAAGGGTGTGGAATAATGAATCATGTCTTCTCCTCCATGCCATTGGCTATTTATTGCAGGAAAGCTGAATGTCAGTATAGAATTAAGTTTTATTCCAAGCTGGACTTGGAAGATTACTTCCCTCTGGGCCATATTTCTAGGGATAATCTTATTCAATGAAAGAAGCATTTGATCAAGCTCATCTAGATCTGTGTTATTTCATACTACAAACGATTGTTCTAAGGGGAACTATGCTAATGTCTATCATCATCAACACCGTCATCAGTAATCATATAATAATTAGTCTGTTTGTATCTCTTTCTGTAAGTTAAGACTCCTGAGATAGGTCAGTGCCTCTCAATACAGCTGCCTTTGTATGACTGTATATACCCGATACCTTGCTGTAGAGGAACCGCTGCAGCTCCAGTTCAGCAATTCCTAGCTGTCCATCTTCCTCTGTCAAGCGCCATCGTGCCTGAGCAAAGTAAAACTCAGTGCGACGTACCACACTCACATCTTCTTGTTGCTTTCGCAACTCCATCTTATTGGCCTGTTGCAACTGGAAGTCCTTAAAACACCTGTAAATGGACAGGAAGACCAAAGCCAATAAGGGTAACAGCATTTGGGTTAGGGTGGGGTGGGATGCTCTAGAATGATGCAGGAAGTAAACCCAGAGATGGACCTATTTTGGAACAGGTATTCCCTACATTTTTTCCACTAGATTCATTGCTCCCACACCTGGGGCCTGGGAGAATAAATCCCATCTTTTAGTTCCACGGCTGCTGCTGCCTTTTTTTTTTTTTTTTTTTTTTTAAAGTAAGCTCTACACCCAACGTGGGGCTTGAACTCATGATCCTGAGATCAAGAGTGGCATGCTCTACTGACTGAGCCAGCCAGGCAGCCCCCACAGCTAATAAAGTAGTCTCTGCCCACTAACAAACCCCTACAATTGTATCTGCAATGGTGCTCCTTACTGATCAACTTCAAGACCTTTTATTTTCAGTTCACCTGCATGTAGCAAGACCACAAAAGTGATCTTTCCAAACTATCTGGCTTTCTCCTTTCCTAGGAGGTACTCTAATGAAGAGCCAAAGGAAGGGCTCTTCTATTCTCAGTCTTTTGGCCAAGTCCAGCTAGGCTCATTCAGGAAGTACCCAAATCTACATCAGCCTTTGATGATGCACACTAGACCCAAAGACTATCATAACACGGGCAAGGAAGAGAAATCAACCCTAGCTGGGGCACTGGGAAAGGCAGAGAAAGAATGCTGTGGCACCTGATGAGGATATTAAGCTCTTCGCTTTCTAGCTGTAGATTGGCCTTCTCCTGGTTTAGCTGCAACTGAAGCTTTTGGTTCAGGTCAAGCAGGTTCTCGTTCTTGCTGTCATCCTGCAAAGACTAGGGAGCCAGGGCAGGAGAAACTGAGAGGAGAGCTCCTTTGTCCTAGGAGAAGACCCTCTCCTCAGACTGCCCTGGTAACTACCTTCATAATAGAATATATCTGCTTTTCCAGCTGCCGTATCTGAGCCACATGCTGCCGCACAGCCTCCTGCAAATGTAATATGCTGCTGCGCTGTTCCTCAGGATTGCTAGAAATCTCAAGCTGGAACCTCACCCGCTGCTTCTTCTCACTGTGCTCCTGAATGAATGGAAAAGGAAATGAACAAGATTTCTTAATAGACAAGTCCTGCAGTAAAGTGAAACAGAGAAAGTAACAAGGAATATGATCTCTTCTGGAAAGCTTACCTGTATTTGTCACCATTAGTAGCAAGTCTAAGAGGCAGGCCCATGCAGAAGTAGTAAAGATTTCACAGTAAGCCAGTCCCACAGGGTAGGGATGGAGGTGATAGTGGGGACTACTTACTGTTTTTAGAGGTATCAAAGTGACTGAGAATTGACTAAGAAAAACAACCAAGTAAACAAGCGCTACAGTCTCTGGAACACTCAGACCTTTCCTAGATAAGTGAAATTTCAACAGCTGCTATTGACTAACAGAGGATATAACCAACCACAAGGTCCTTTTTCAGTTTGAAGCATGACTTTTCTCACTGAATAAAGCACAAGGTCTGTGGGTTCCTGTGAGGCTAACTGGCATTCTATAAGGGCCCATGCTCACCTTCCGCTTAGGTTCTACATGGAGCAGCAGGTTGTTGACAATGTCCAGGATCATGGCATACTGAGCCGGGTTGGTGGAGATTTCCAGCTCATGATGAATAAGGGTAAAGGTATCCACAGCCCCTACGTAATTGTTAGCAGGCAAGTAAGAAACTCAAGGTTCTCTCTAAATATCTACCCCATCTTCTAACCTGTATTTGGAACCATTCCTGTTAGTTAACCCCATAGAAACGGATTAGTGAGAGATGCTCACGGGAGAAATATGTTTGCTTATTTTAGAATCAAATAATACCCATTCATCCCAGTTCCCTCCAAAAATACAGTTTATTCTCTTATAGCAGAACTTACATTATGCAGAGCAAAGTGAAACCATTAATGCCAGTACACAGTGGGACTTCTAATAACACTACTGACTTAAAAGCACTAAGAAAGTAACTACTTTCACAAGTTCCCTAGTCCCCTTCTAAAAGCCTTTCAAGCCCTGAATACCTTCCTGTTTCTTTAGGAGATCTTCCTTTTCCTGGTTCTCATGGACCTCAGGTGGTTTAATCTGAGTTGCCAGCTCAGGATCAATGTCATGGCTGTAACTAATATAGTACATTCGGCAGCTACAGCGTGAAATGATCCGCTGGACTTGCTGGGCTTGTTGCGCCTCAGCTGGCTGGTTCCAATCTGGAAAGAGATGGGAAAGAGATAAGAGACATTCTCAATAGAGGTATTGTAAGAGCCTTCTGGCTATGTGTGATGTCTAGGGAACTCCAGATACTTGTTTTCAACCTAGCCTAACACAAAATGGTCCTACTCCAGCATATGTTAATCTTAGAGTATGTAAGAAAATGCACATCTGCTCCTAACCACATGATGTAGAATAAGGGAAAGCTGACCTGTGGTGGTGGTAACCATGCCTCCCACTGCCTGCCCGCTCTCCATCAGCTCCTGCACAGAATCCAGACTACGCTGCCGGTGCTCCTCGATATTCTTTACCTGAAGACAGAGATACAGGTACCTTTAACTCCTAGCCAACTGGGTCACAGATCTCTATGATGCAAGTAGTTATACTTACTATCCAAACTTCCACTGCCTGGAATAGCTTGAGGGATCTCCCAGGGTAGAAGACATATATGACTCTCTCCTGGCCCAAACCACCCAAATTCTCCAAAGCCAAATGAGTTATATGCACATTTGCCAGACCTGCAGGCCTGAGGCCAGAAAAGCAAGCTAGGTTAAAATTAAATCCTGTCCTACCTCACACCCATTAGGATGGCTATCAAAAAAAAAGAGAAAGTACCAGGTGTTGACAAGGATATGCTGAAATTGGATCCCTTGTGCACTGCTGGGGGTATGTCAAATGGTATAATGGTACTGTGGCAAATATGTCAAGCACAATTCCTCAAAAAATTAAAAATAGAATTACTATATGATCCAGCAATTCCACTTCTGGATATATACCCAAAAGAACTGAAAGCAGGATCTGGAAAAGATTTGTATACCCATGTTCATATGGCCTTATTCACAAGAGCTAAAATATGGAAGCAACCCAAATATCCATTGGTAGATGAATGGATAAGCAATATGTGGTATATATATATACACACAGTGGAATTACTCTTAAAAAGGAAGATGCTAGGGGCGCCTGGGTGGCTCAGTTGGTTAAGCATCTGACTTGATTTTGGCTCAGGTCATGATCTCAGGGTTGTGAGATAAAGCCCTGCATTGGGCTCTGCATTGTACACAGAGCCTGCTTAAGATTCTCTGCCTCTCCCCCTGCCTGCCTCTCTCTCTCTCTCTCTCTCTCTCTCTCTCTTTCCCTCTCCCTTTCTCCCTCTCCTTCCCTCTCTTAAGAAAAAAAAAAAAAGATACAACACAGATAAACCTTGAAGAGATTATAGAAAGTGAAATAAGCCAGTCACAAAAAGACAAATGCTATATGATTCCACGTATATGAGGTACTTAAGAATTGTCAAAATTATAGAGACAGAGAAAGTACAATGGTGGTTGTCAAGGACTGGAAAGGGGAGGTGGGGAGTTATTGTTTAATGGGTAGAATTTCAGTTTCACAAGATGAAGAGTCATGCAGATGGATGGTAGTGATGAACAACATTATAAATGTATTTTTTTTAAGATTTATTTATTTGAGAGAGCGAGAATGAGAGAGAGAGAGAGAGAGAGTACATGAGAGGGGGGAGGGTCAGAGGGAGAAGCAGGCTCCCCGCTGAGCAGGGAGCCCGATGCGGGACTCAATCCCGGGACTCCAGGATCATGACCTGAGCCGAAGGCAGTCGCCTAGCCAACTGAGCCACCCAGGTGCCCCAACATTATAAATGTATTTAACGCCACTGAACTTGACACTTAAAAATGGTTAAAACAGTAAATTTTATATGTATTTTACCACATAAGAAAAGTCAAATCATGTTAAGCACAAAAGATTTCATCAAAACCAATGACTTTCCCACCCACTTTGATATTCATGTGTTTGTATTCTTGCTGTTTTCTGTCTTCACTCTGACACTGTTGTTATGAATTCTTTTGACTCTCTCCACTAAGCTGAAGTCAAAATGGGTAATAGAATGAGTGATATGGGAAGACCATAAGCAAATCTGCCAAGTCACAAAAAAATTCATAAGAAAGGCAAGATCAAAGTCCCCTCCCAATTCAGTGAAGGAAACCATAAGCAAAACGAAAAGGCAACCTACTGAATGGGAGAAGATATTTGCAAATGATACGTAAGGAACTCCTACAACTCAACACCAAAAAAACACTAATCCAATTTAAAAATGGGCAGAGGACCTGAGTAGACATTTTTCCAAAAAAGACATACAGATGGCTAACAGAAACATAGAAAGATGCTCAACATCACTATTCATCAGGGTAATGCAAATCAAAACCACTTCACACCAAAATGGCTAGTATCAGGGCTCCTGGGTGGCTCAGTTGGTTAAGCATCTGACTCTTGGTTTCAGCTCAGGTCATGATTTCAGGGTTGTGGGATTGAGCCCCACATCAGGGTCGGCATTCAGCACAGTCTGCTCAAGATTCTCTCTCCCTCTGCCCCTACCCGTGCATAGGCAAGCACACTTTCTCCCTCTCTCTCAAATAAATAAAATCTTAAAAGAAAAAAAAACCACAAAGTCCCTCCCATCTAAGCCAAAAACATTCTATTCTAATGCTAATATCACAGCCTAAGGGGGAAAAAAGGGTTCACATGCAAAAGAAGGCGTGCCTAAGAGAAGGAGAGGCCCAGAAAATGCTAGAGAGATCTTGCATAGCTCATCCTGCCCACCTCTGCCTGAGTAGTTAATATCTTCTGTGCCTACCTCCTGAGACTACTGGTAAAGAACATGGCTTGCTTGAACCACAGCTGTAATATGATATATTACATGACCTCTCATATTACCAACAATCTGACCCTTATTTGGCCTGACATCTGATTAAATGATTACCTTGGATGTAATTACACCTGAGGTTGCTTGGATTGAGCCCTAAGGCTGTTGAGGTAAGAAGTATCAGGGAAGAGGGATTAGCTTTTCCCCCATGAGTATGATGGCAAATGAAGTTATCATATTGGTGCTTAACAGAGGTACATGGATCCAGTAACTCATTTGGGGGTACCATGCCCAGCACAATGTGGACACCTCACACGTGTGCAAGTAGTAACAATGCAGAATATTGGCTAGGTATCTTATAAACTATTAGAGCTCCCAGTAATTATGAAATTATATCCTAGAAATTATAATGCAAATTGTTTTACTAAGCGGAAAAGAAAATCTACAGCCTGGTCCCTACCAACTGCTCACAATTCCACCATCTAACAAAACATTATCTTGACACACATTTAGACCTTCCCTCACATAACAACTTTTTAAAAATGGTATGATTATTTTCCATCTAAATGAAGCTTTGTATTTTTCAAAGCACTCTCACTAATCCTTTCAATAATCTTGTGAGGGGAGAAGTATTAACTCAATTTTACAAATAACGGTGACTCACTCAAGGGCTACTATAATAGCAAAGGTGGCATCTGACTCCTAGACAAGCAACCTTTCTATTCAACCATACTGCTTTGCTGAAATAACCAATCGACCATCTTCATAAATCAGAGAAAGAGCAGATAGAGAATTTATCTCAAGTTCTCAAACTTACTGCCTGTTTTCTTGGCTGCCCACTGATTAGTGTGCTTTATTAGCAGGGGTCAGCAATCTTCTCAAAAGTAAAAAAGTTCCAACCTACTTTATTCTAGTGCTGGGAATTGAGAATTTCCTTTGCAATGAAAAAGAATAGCAAGAGGGACGCCTGGGTGGATCAGTAGGTTGAGCGTCTGCCTTCAGCTCAGGTCATGATCCCAGGATCCTAGGATCGAGTCCCACATCGGGCTCCTTGCTCAGCGGGGAGCCTACTTCTCCCTCTGCCTGCTGCTCCCCCTGCTCATTCTCTGACAAATAAATAAAATCTTAAAAAAAAAAAAAAAAGGGAAAAAGAATAGCAAGAGATTAAAAAAAAAGGCACTACGTGCTCAGAGACCACAAATCAGAGACTGCCTACAATTCCTACATTCAAGGTATCACCAGCTTCATTATTCTATTAAGCTGGTAGCAACAGGTACTATCCGGAATCTTGCAAGTAGTCTGCCGGAAGGAGCCAAATATGGAAAACTGGGACTATAATGGGCCTTCCCAGTCCCACTGACTAACCTCTAACCAGAGCTGTCGGCCATCCTGCTCAGTGGGGCTGCTTTCAGTGGTGGCAAAGTACTGCATGCCATCCAGTAGGCAAGTCCAGGATGTCTTCTGCTTCAACGTGTCACCATACCAAGCTGGATGATGTTGGCACTGCAGCAGCTGAGCTTTGGCAGCTGACACAATGACACAGCCTTCTGTCTCTGCTCCACGAAGAACCATCTATACCATAGACAGAAGCAGAATCACAGCACAAGGGCCACCAGGGAAGGTGAGAAGGTTAGTGAAAGGATTGTACCAATGACTACAGCTGGTTCTAATTCTGGCTTACTGAGTGAATGCTATGGTTTTAGACATGAAAGTGATTATCCTGGATACCTGCTGGAAGGAATAATTTTTTGAGGCTCTGTCTGCTCATTCTTATTCGGTGGTGGGAGAAGGTGAACAAACCCATATTATGATCTAGCCCAATGTAGGGGTGCTCTGGTAAAGAAAAGTTACCTGGCAGTTAACCAGCTCAATAAGGCAGTTTCGGTTATATATGTCATCCGTCTGGCAGGCAGCAATGCCACACAACTGGTCACTCACACCTGACTCCTCTTCTGTGAACACTACAAACCTATCTGTCTCTTCAATCAGCTTCTGCAACATGTAGGCACCTGTCAGAGAAACAGGAAGTGGGAAAAAGTCATAATCTCAAAGGGATAGGGAACACATCTAGGGTCAAACTGATCTTCCTTCAATTTCTCTAGAACACATTCTCCTATCTGCAACTCCAGCTCACCCACGCCACCCCTTGATCCCTGAGGGCAAAATAAAGGTTGTTATTTTATTTTCCCTTCAATTTAACAGAAGAAAGAGATTCCCAAAAGAATCTTAGAAATGCTATATAAGGGACTGCCTTCGGCTCAGGTCATGATCCCAGGGTCCTGGGATTGAGCCCTGCATCGGGCTCCCTGCTCAGCAGAGAGCCTGCTTCTCCCTCTCCCCTTGCTTGCCTGCCGCTCCCCACCGCCCCCCCACTTGTGCTCTCTCTGTCAAATAAATAAAATCTTAAAAAAAAAAAAAAATACTAGCAGCATTTTTTTCTCTTAGGTATATCAACCTCTGAATTATTCTAGGATCTTTTTTCTCCCTTATCTTCACTTCACATTATCTTAAATGTTTGTTGACCACTCCTTTCCCCCATGAAACCACTTCCTTGCCATCAGTGCCACTGTGTTCTCATAGTTCTACTGCTTCCTTTGACTATGCCTCTAAATTTTTTTCTCCCAGGTCTTAGAAAATAAGTATCTCCTAAGGTCTATCCTTAGCATGTTCCCCTCTCTTCCTCTTTCTTCCAATGAGTTTGTCTAACAGTGTGTTATGTTCAATAGCAGCCTCCAGAATCAGACTAGTCTGCCTATATTTAAGATCCTATCTCTGCCAGTTTCTTGATTGTGACCTTTGGCAGCTTGCTTTAACCTGTGTCTCAGTTTCCTTGTCTGTAAAATAACAATAACTGTCTCATAAGGTTGTTGAATTTTTTTTTTAAGATTTTATTTATTTATTTAACTGACAGAGACACAGAGACAGCTAGAGAAAGAACACAAGCAGGGGGAGTGGGAGAGGGAGAAGCAGGCTTCCCGCGGAGCAGGGAGCCCGATGCAGGGCTCGATCCCAGGACCCTGGGATCATGACCCGAGCCAAAGGCAGCTGCTCAACCAACTGAGCGACCCAGGTGCCCCTGTTGAGAGAATTTAATGCAACAACATACAGAAGTATTTTGCAGAGTACCTGCCACACAGTAAGCAACTATTATTATCTCCTTGACCTTACCTCTTAGCTCTCTGCTGAAACTCCCAAAATCTTCAGCTCTAGTACTAAGCTTCTAGATCTCATCTCCAGCTGTTAGACATTACCTAGATATGCTACTTATGTCACACATTTCATATGCAAAGTAACATTTCTATCTATCCCCTCATCTCCATTCCCACTGCCTCTACCAAGTTCAGGCCCCCATTACATGTTGTTGGGACGCCATAATAGTTTCCTTATCTGTCCCTCCACCTCCAGTTTCTTCCTCTCCAGTCCTCCTCCAAAGCACTGCCAGATTTATCTTCCTAAAAATTAAGTCTAATGATGACACATCCCTATTCAAAAGCCTTCTCAGTAGTTCACACTGTCTACTGAGTAAGAACCAAAACCTCCTTAGCCTTGTATGAAGACCTTTGATGGTCCATGTGTAGCTTTCCTTTCTAGGATCTTCCCTCGCCCCTCATCTTAGCTACTCTTTATGCCAACTGAAACAGACTGTTTGCTCTCCTTTGAACATACTGAGCTTTACCAGTTCTACTCCTATTCAGGATATTCCCTCTGCCCTGAATGCCCTTCCTCCCCATTTCCACAAGTTCAAACCATATTAAGCCTTCAAAGTCCAGCTTAAATGCTACTTCATCAATAAACCTTTCCCTAATTGCACTCCCTCTTTTTCACTCCAGTCAAGAACTCCCATATGGGGCGCCTGGGTGGCTCAGTTAGGCTCTGTCGTTAAGCATCTGCCTTCGCTTCGGCTCAGGTCATGATCCCAGGGTCTTGGGATCGAGCCCCGCATCAGGATCCCTGCTCTGCGGGAGGCCTGCTTCTCCCTCTCCCACTCCCCCTGCTTGTGTTCCCTCTCTCGCTGTGTCTCTCTCTGTCAAATAAATAAATAAAAACTTTAAAAAAAATAACTCCCATATACTTCCGTTTCTCGCTTGTGACATACGTCACTTTTACCTTGTTCTTGAACTCACCATGAACTTGCATTCCTCTGTACTTATTATTCCCTCTCCCTAAAATGCCCTCTCCCTTCTCCTTGACTGTTGAACTCTTATTCATCTTTTAAGACCCATCTCAACTATCTTTTCTGGGAAGCCTTTCTAGACTTCCCTATGCTGATTTAAATACTTTCTTCTTGAACATTCTTACAAAGCATTTTCATAATGAAATAATAATTTACATGTCTACCTACTAGTTTCTGAGTTTTCCCTCATCTTTATATCTCTAATGTCTAGGGTTATGTCTGGCACATTATAAATCCTCTATAAGCGAAAATGAATCTATGAATGAATGAGTGGTTGAGTGAATGAACGAACTAATCTTAGCTCATCCAGAGATGATAAACTAGTTGTTGCGGCAAGTAGACTTTCATTTTATTTCTCACTGAACCCAGTGCAGTGCTTTGTGCCTGTTAAGTACTCAATATTTGTTGACCGAACAAATTCATCAAACCACAAAACAATTCTTTAATCCCTTCTTTCCCTTACTCATCCTGTTTTGACCTATCACTTCTTCATGATCCTCTTCTTTTGGCCACAGGATCACACCCTTTAAATGCCTATATCATTGCTATGTAAGACTGAAGTGCTGGGGCGCCTGGGTGGCTCAATTGGATAATCGTCTGCCTTTAGCTCAGGTCATGATCCCAGGGTCCTGGGACTGAGTCCTGCATCAGGCTCCCTGCTCGGAGCCTGCTTCTCCCTCTCCCTTTGCCCCTCCCCTCAGCTCCTGCACACTCTCTCTCTCAAATAAATAAATAAAATCTTAAAAAAAAAAAAAAAAAAAAAAGACTGAGGTGGCCTAATATGGAAAAACAATGGTTTTCATCTCTACATCTAGATGGAACATCTGTGATTTAGTCCTTCCCATTTCCTGTCCAATCCCATGTACATATTCTACACCTAACTCTATGAAGTCTCATCTCCCCCAGCTTACCTCCTGATGACCCCTTATCAGGCTGTCCACTAAAGCTGGGAGTGTTGACGGGAGGTGGGGCTGGGACACTGGTCAGAACACTCTGCTTTGGCTTTTTAGCTGGCATCTGGGGTTCAATCTTTAACCCCTTCAGGGCCTCAGTAGAGAGATTACGTTTGAGTACTGCTGCCTTTTTATAGCCATCATATAAACCAAAGGCAATGTCCCGATTGGTGGTTGTCCAGGAAGCCCGTAAATCTACCAAGTGCAGCTGGTGTGTATGAAAGGCGGGATCCCCAACTCGAGTAGAGAGCTCCTAAGAAACAGGTAAAGAACCACAAGGTAGCATGGAAATTCCCACAATATCTCCTGGACCACAAATGTAGAGACAAGAAAACAAACTTGTTGAATAAGCAATCTATTCTTGGGGCGCCTGGGTGGCTCAGTCGGTTAAGCGTCTGCCTTCAGCTCAGGTCATGATCCCAGGGTCCTGGTATCGAGTCCCACATTGGGCTCCCTGCTCGGCGGGGAGTCTGCTTCTCCCTCTCCCTCTGCTCCTCCTCCTGCTCATGCTCTCACTCATTCTCTCTCTCTCAAATATATATATAAAAAAAAAGATTCTCTCTCTCCCTCTCCTCCTGCCCCTCCCCCCCACCTAAAAAGGAAAAAAAAATCTGTTCTGGGAGAGATAAGACGACCCTGGAGAAAGAAAAACTAAGTGGTCTTAATGTGTGCATTAGACTACACTCAGACTATATCCACTATATTTTAAATGGTTCAGAAAATTTCAACATATAGCTATCTCAGTCAGTAGAGCATGGGACTCTTGATCTCAGGGTTGTGAGTCTAACCCCACCTTGGGCATGGAGCCTACTTAATTAAAAAAAAAGAAAAAAACATTTCAACATAAAATCTTTCCTTAATTGGGGGAAAAAAAATACCAAATAAGGTGCTAGAAAAAAAGTTTTAACTGTTTCCTAAAGGGCAAGAGACTACCTTTAGAGGGAGAGGGAGAAAAGGAATTTTCAAAAAGAGGCACACTGATACAGCTGATAGTGAATTCATCATACGGTAATGATACATATGCTTGGAATATAGTTAGAAACGTTACCTGGACCTTAGCATGAAACCTACTGCTATGGACTGAATTGTTCCCCCAACCAAACTTCTTATGTTGAGACCATAATCCCCAATGTGATAATATTTGGAGATGTGGCCTTTAGGAGGTAATTAGGTTTATATGAGGTCATGAGGGTGGGGCCCTTATGAAGGGATTAGTGCCCTTATAAGAGACACCAGAGAGCATGCTCCCTCTCTCTTTTCCTGCCTTGTGAGGACACAGCAAAGGCAACTGTCTACAAGCCAGGGAAGAGCCCTCACCAGAATCTGACTAGCCTGGCACCCTGATCTTAGACTTCCCAGCCTCCAGAACTATGAGAAATAAATATCTGTTGTTTAAGCCACACATTCTTTGGTATTGTTATGGCAGCCCAAACAACCAAGACACCTACTGATACAAATAAGGTAGTAAAGAGACTGTGTCAGGCGGTACCTCCTCAGCCGTGCGATTGCTATGCCGCTGGTAGGTGAGGGAGGACAGGCTCAGTAGGTGGGTCTTTGTTACCAAGGGATCAAGGCAGTGATCAGCATTCTCTTCGGTGGGCGAAGCCATCAGGTGAACAGTCACCTGACTTAGGTCACTAACCATCTGGGTCACACTCCAGTCAGAGATGAGGCGCCGCATCACTGTGCCCGCTGAGAAAAGGGGGCATACAGAGCCCATGCAGGCCAGTACAGAAGAACAGTGTGGGACAGAAAGAAGGACAAGAAATGAGAAGGGCAAAGAGGGCAAGGATCAGTCTAGGCGAAATGAAGGCAGTCTTTGAACCTACCTTGAGGTATAAGCCGCTGAGTTCCCCTAGTAAAGACATGGCCCTGACTGCACTCAATCTGGACGCCCCGTTGCTGGGCGAATGAGGCCCAGTAATGCACCTGGCAACAAGAGAGCATAACACTGAACAAAGAATGGCATCAGAGAGATGATTAAGATAAGAAAACAGGAGAAAACTAGGGAAGGGGAAGAGAACTGAAGATGTCAGCAGGGATGCAGAGCCTGACCTGCAGCTGGGGAAAAATTGCAGTATAGGAAAGCTGCTTGTAGTGCTGGCCAAGTTTCTTCTTGCTAGGTTTCAGGTTATTGAAGAGCTTTCCCCTACAGATAGGCCTTGTGACACTAGTCCAAGTTGCCCAGAAGTTTTGCATCCAGCGCAGAGTACTACTATATAACAGAATCCGGGGCTGGGATATTGCTGTAAAAGACAAGATAAACATTTCCTACCTGGGATTAAAACAGGGATGAAGCTAAAGCTAGCTTCAGCTTTTAGAAGTTTAAAAACCCAAGCAGCATTCAGCCTCAACTCAATATCCCCAACACCTTTTCCTTTTAAAGATCTAAGCTTTGCGGGCACCTGGGTGGCTCAGATGGTTAAGTGTCTACCTTCAGCTCAAGTCATGATCTCTAGGTCCTGGGATCAAGCCCCCATCTGACTTCCTGCTCAGTGGGGAGCCTGCTTCTCCCTCTCTCTCTCCCCCTGCTTGTGCTCTGTCTCTCTTCTCCCAAATGAATAAATAAAGTCTTAAAAAAAAAAAAAATCTAAGCTTTGTGTTCACCAATGCTTTCTCCAAAAAAAGTCCTAATCCAAATCCTCCCTTGCTTTCCCTATCCCCTCCCCAGAGGGTCAAGTTGAAGTCCTTGGTGTTTAAGCCAACCTCCCAACCCTTCCTCCCGTTGCCCCAGACCCAAGCCTCACTCCCACTGTGCCGGGTCAGATCCATCTTGATGGAGAGATTGAGGTTCTCAGAGCGGAATGCCCGGTAGGAGTCATGGAGTTGGCCCAAGGGCACCTCAGGCAGAAACTCTGGGGCCCGCAGAGTGACACTGTGGTGATCATGGGGGTTCCCATGGCATAGCCACTGCAGGTCCAGTGTCATGCAGAGGTCAGGCAGGTGAAGGAAGCAGCAATCATCATACCTGTCTCACAAGAGAGTCCCAGCTCTCAGTGCCCTGGTCACTTGCAACCCCCTGGCTCTTCCCCTCTCCCTCCCACCCGAATCCCTCACCGTGCTGAGGCCCCACCCATCACTCCACTCACTTAGAAGCTGTTCTCACGTTGACATCCAAGTCACCTTTGAACACAAACTGACCAGGTTTCCAGTGAAAAGACAGGTGGCTCCACTCCCAGTGCATATTTTCTGTCGTGTTGTACGGGTCCTATAACCACCCCCAATAGCTCGGTGAGATCTGGGTAAGAGTATCACCCAAATCTCCCAAATGAGTACCGTTCTCTCTTCTCCCATGTGCTATACAAGCCCCAACCATACCATCCTAATAAGAAAACAACTCTTCTGGAGCCCCTCACCTCAGTAGCCAGCTGGTGCAGATTTGCCTGTTCAATGTCCATGTACCAGTCGCCATGGAACAGAAGACGGCTCTTGTCCCACCAGGGCAAGGGGGGGCTGGGGTCAGCTGAGGGCTTGGTCAAGAGGTCCAGAGACTGGCTAATCAGTGTCCAGGCTGGATCCCAGCAAGGGCCCCATACCACTGTGTACTGAAAGATTTCCGCTAGGACAGAGGAGCAAAGGGTACAGCTTGTTACACAACTTCTCTCTTCACTCCAGAAGGCCTCAGCTCCTCTCCCATCCCAGCCATCACCACGTCCCTCAGTCAAACCGACTGCCCTCCTCTACTCACAGCGGAAGTCGTGGTAGAACTTGAGTGGGGGCATGTTCCTCTCTACTGCCACATTACCCCATGGAAGCCCCAAGTGCAAGATCTGACGCCTCCGGGAGCAAGGCTGACCACTCTGCTCAGTGCCCACAAGTCGACCCATCAGCCGCCAGTCACGTATCTCGAACAGGTACCGGGGATAATCTCGTATCCGGACTGTTATTACAGGAAGGATATACGCTATTTAGAGGACTGTCTCAACATTCTCAAGCATTTTCTCCCCTGCCACAACTTTTACCCATCTACTTAACAAGGTCAACTGAGAGAACAAGAGCTGGCAGTTGGGAGAAAAGCTGGAAAAGGGCGCAGAGACACTGAGCAGACGGTGAGAGTAATAACACCAAGATGCAAGAGGCACACTAACCCTGAAGATGACTGTGTTAGTTGTCCTTTATGTTAGCCAAGCAGTTTCAGGGTGAAATTCAGGAACAAAGAAAGGAAGAAGAGCCCACCCATCCCACTCCACCCATCCAAAAACTACCACAGTTCCCAATATAACTGAGCTCCTCTGTAGTCAATCAAAGAGCTTTCTAGAGCTCTGAGGGCAAACACCACACTCTGCAAATAAGGAAGGGCTACTTACCCAAAAATGTCTTAACACTGCACTTGAGCATACGACACCACTGAATGACAAGATCTACTCCCTCGGCAGGAAAAGGGCTGCCTGGATCAAGCTCTTGAACTTGCTCTACTACACGCTCAGGCCCATGGAAGGAGGCATCTGCCAGAGCTACCAGCTCTAGTCCTGCCAGGCTCCAAGTGAGCAGTGCCCGGCGCATAGGTGTGTTGCCATAGAGACGACGGGAGCGCTGAATGTAGATTTCAATGTTTTTATGTTCCAAAGAGGCATAGAGCTCCTCAATTTTACGGGCTGGCAATAACTCCCCGTGTTGCTTCCGAAGGGCAGCCACCTTGGCATCCAGCAGCTGCAGCCTTTTGGCACTCTCCTTACTTTCATCCTTCATCAGTTCATAGTTATCACGAAGTTTCACCTCAAAGACGTCATCCAGGAAAACCCATGAGAAGTGCTGAACCTTCAAGAGTAGATCAGGTGGGAGTGGGGCAGGGCTTGGAGAAGCCTGAGCATGAGTTCCTCGATGCAGCCCCTTCAGCCATTTCTGAACTCCCACAGCCTCATCCAGAGTTCGAGAGAAATCATACTGATAAGGAAACTCCACTGAGACTGAGCCCAGGGACAGGAGCCAAACACGGTTCCGGAGGGTCTGCAGCCCAGGGAAAGGGTTCCGGTGCAGGATCATCTCCTCCAGTTCAGGCAGCAGCTGTACCTCCATCTCCTTGAAGTGGAAGATGCTATTGCCATCAAAGCCAGCAGCCAGCTCTGGGCAGTAGGCCTGCAGTGAACCCCCATGCCGGCTCAGCGACACGCTCTCCGCAGTCAGGGTAATGAACTTGTCCTCAGCTACAAAAGCTGTCAGCTTGGCTGTGCTCACCTCTAGCGTCAGGTTTAGTAGCCGCTTTGGCGGAGATGGCTCAGGGAGAAGGCCTTCGGGTTCAGACACAGTCACTGGAGGCTCTAGTGCAAGGAGTGGAGCAGACTCGGGAAACAGAGTGGCTCTTAGTAGGTCTCGGCAATGCAGGGTAGCCAGGATGTGCTGGTATAGGGACATGTGATCTGGGGGGCTCCAAAGTAAGGTGAGCCCTGTACCACACTGAACCTTCAGGGAGCAAGAGAAGGGATCTGTCAATTACAATGTCCCAAAACAGGAGAGAAGGCTGGGATTATTATTATACATGCACACCTGGGTCAAGAACCATCTCCACTCAGAACCATTTCCTGAGCAGCTACATCAATTGCTCCCTTGCCTTGTTCCCCTTAGTATGAATATACTGAGCTAACAGTTCTTATTTATATGTCAGAGCACTTACAACACTTTTGAGTTCCCAACTGGATTCTAGATTGTCCGAGAGTATAGGCCGTGTGTGTTGATTCTTTAATATCTACCATAGGATATGCAGTATATACAGCACATACTTAATACGTCATTTGGCTTTTTGTTTCTGTGATTATCTTTCTATAATAGCCACACTCTGTATAATAACCACTGCAACAATCAATTTAAAAATGTTTTATGCTGGGACGCCTGGGTGGCTCAGTTGTTAAGCGTCTGCCTTCGGCTCAGGTCATGATCCCGGGGTCCTGAGATCGAGCCCCACATCGGGCTCCCTGCTCAGTGGGGAGTCTACTTCTCCCTCTGCCCCTCACCCCACTCATGCTCTCTCACTCTTTATCTCAAATAAATAAATAAAATCTTTAAAAAAAAATGTTTCATGCAATGATTGCATCTTGACTTAATTTTTTTTAAAGATTTTATTTATTCATTTTAGGGGGGAGAGAGAGTGTGTGGGGGTGGGGATGGGCAGAGGGAGAGGGAGAGGGAGAAAATATGTGAAGAAGAGTTCACACTGAGCACAGAGCCTGACATGGGGCTCGATCCCACAACTGCGAGATCACAACCTGAGCAGAAACCAAGAATCAGACACTCAACCAACGGAGCCACCCAGGCGCCCCTTGACTTAATTCTTAAAAAGTATAAAAAGGACTGACCACACAAGTCAATACAGCAACTAACTTATATGAAAGTATGCCTCAAAGAAAGGAGTCCTTGTAAGCTTAAAAAACAAAGTCAATTCTGAATAGTTAAGCAGAGAAAATTTAAATTCCAGAAGAGAAAAATGCCTTTGAGTTCCAGCCTCTGAAAAGGCAACTCCTCCTTCCAAAGGAAGCTGAAGTCTGACAATTAGAAAGATATACCACTCCCTTCCTAAGAGTGTTCCATATTCACCTGATATCCTGGGGAGGAAGATCTTGGAAAGCCTCTTAAAACTTGCCGGTGCCTCCATCTTCAGATCCCTTCCAACCTTTTATTTTTTTAAAGACTCTATTTTTAAGGTGTCTCTACACCCAACGTGGGGCTCAAACTTACAACCCCAAGATCAAGAGTCACATACTCCACCAATTGAGCCAGCCAGGCACCCCTCCCTTCCAGCTTTTTAATGAGCTGAGTACTTCAGCGAAATAACACCAGATCATGATCTTTAAAAAAAAGTCCCTTATTTTTCAGAGATATGCAGAAATATTTACAGCTGAAATTATATGTCCTGGTATATGTCTGCTTCAAAATAATCCGGAAGCGGGCAGCAGGGCAACTGGTGGGTATACAGCTGAAATAAGTTGGTCATAAGTGGTAATTACTGAAGCTGGGTATGGATGTATACAAGTTCATATATTCTCTCTAGTTCTGTGTACATTTTACATTCCATAATAAAGAGTTAAAAATGTACAGAAAAAACCAGGACAAAAAGAATAATACAAGGTGTCATATTTCTCACAGATGAGTTTCACAACAGACTCAGAAGACTGGGAAATGCTCTTCAGCCTAGAGAAAAACCAACCTGACTCCACCTCCCCATAGAAGCATTACCTCCAGAGAGCGGATGCTGCTGTGATAGGTGATGGAGAGCATGGAGAGGCTGAGCACGGGAGTGGGGATGTCAGGAGCCTTGCAGCAGGGCTGCATCTTCTCTGTGACTGACTTCACCAGGGCAAGCACAAGTCCCTGGACACCCACAGTGGAGGTTTCAGCACTTCCCAGGACAGTCAGCGTGTCCAGTCGGACCTCGGAAGCACCTAACATCCAGAAACCACGTAGCATTGGTTCTCAGCTCTCAAACGGCAACTTCAGCCTTCACTCTCCTTTCTTACTCATTCCCTTCACTCTAGTTTTATTCCCTATACCTCCCTAAGTTCATTCCTCATGTTTCAGGGAAATTTTTCCTTTCCTATCTTACCATACCTAAATCTGGAAAAGCCAAAGAAGCTTCCTAACTCCTACAAAGTGCCCAGAGATATATCAGTTACTCTCCAGAACTGAACACATAAGGAAATAAAAAACTACGCATATCTCAATTTCTAGATCAACTATCAAGGCTTTTTTTTTTTTAAATAAATCTTGCCTAATACTTAGTATCTTCTATTAGCCTTTAAGAACTATCAAGAAACCCAACAGTTATGTAAGACCTTCCAGCATCTCATGCCTTTAATTTAGAAAAAGGCCAAATAATCACCTTCATTAAATGAGAAGGAGCAGACTGAACCAGCATAATCTGCTTAGATTACAAACTACTCACTTAGGTATAGACTCCCTGTTCCACTTACCAACCAGGGCAGAAAGCGTGAACAAGTTCATGTCCTCCACCTTCAAGTCCACCTTCCACAGTAATGACACAGATTCCCCAAATGAAGATTCTCTAGTGAAAGCTGACTTCCCAGATTGTGTGTCCATCAAGGATAAAATGCGAGAGAGACATTGGGCACAGGTATCTGATGCTTCTACCTGCAGTCCACGGATGGTACAATCAAGAAAGAGGGTATCCGACTGGGTGCTAGACAGGCCCAAAGGCTGGTTATAGCTACCCTAGAAAAGGAGAGCCCCATTAGGAACATGCAGAACACACAGTTCTGTAACACCCTGATGCATCACCTTCTGCCAAAAAGGTGATCCGTGCTCGAAAGCATGGCAGGAAAAGGAAATTGTATGGCCCCTGTTCCCCAAAGTCCCCACCTACCTGTAGCGTTAAGGAGTCCAGGACAAGTGCCTCACCCCAAACATGCATATTGGGTGGGTGGGGTGCCCGCTGAATGTGGGAGTCACTGCCCACCCGCCAGCAGAGATGGTCCACAGTTAGGACACCCCGCTGATGGATACTTTGTGGCCTCAAGTGCTGGTAATCTGAACAAAGAAGGGAGGAGAGAGTTCTATGGAGCCACTGTAGCCATCAATTGGGCCTGGCTTCACTTATTCCTTTTCCATCCTGTAGTCTTACCTAGAGAGATGGAATTGAATCCCAAGGCAAAGGGTGGTGTATCACCAAGCTGAATGGAAACGTTGACATTGGAGATGGAGGTGCTAAAGATGATAGGAGCCAGGATTTGGGGGAAGGTTCTGCACAGGGACAAGACATCATTGTTTGATAAGGAAAGAACTGCGGCTTCCTGTTATGGAAAAGATACCTGAAGCTCTCAAAAGTCAGGGTGAGTTTTGTTGTGATTCTTAGGATGGAATGCAACTAGAAAATAAAAGACCGAACTCATAAGTTTGCTATTCCCAATGGTAAACTGCAAGAACGCAAGAAAGATACTAAGTTGAACCATATGAAATTGCCATTTCATAGGTCAAATATAAATGTCAAATATGAATATCAGTATATCACATGATTCAACCTAATACAACCAAGGAGAAAGATTTTATTTGTCAGAGAAAGAGAGAGAGAGAAAGCACACAAGCAGGGGAAGCGGCAGGCAGAAGGAGAAGCAGGCTCCCCACTGAGCAGGGAGCCCAATGCGGGACTCAATCCCAGCACCCTGGGATCATGGCTTGAGCCGAAGGCAGACACTTAACCAACTGAGCCACCCAGGTGTCCCTGCTTCCAAGCCATTAACCTTAAGTTCTCTATGCAACACAATGCAGAGAGAGATGACACTGTCGACAGAACATATCACCTTATAATCTTAGGCAGACAAGATTGTGGATCATTTAAATTCAGTGACGCAATTGTTTATTTTGTATAATAAGGCACTGTGCTGAGCACTGAAGACATAAAAACAAAAAGGACTTCATCCTACTGTCAAAGAATCTAGTTTAATGCGGAAAATATATAAAACAGAAGTGCTATCAGGGCACCTGGGTGGCTCAGTAAGTTAAGCGTCCAACTCCAGCTCAGGTCATGATCTCAGGGTGATGGGATCAAGCCCCTGCTTGGGATTCTCTCACTCCCTCTCCTTCTGCCCCTCCCCCCACTGCTCCCACGCTTGCTCTCTTTCTCAAAAAATAAAAATAAATGAAACAGAATTGCTATTGAACTAATCAAATACGTATTTAACACAACATGCCACTTTAAAGATTTTATTTATTTGAGAGAGAGAAAGAGCATGAGAGCGGGGAGGGTCAGAGGAAGCAGCAGACTCCCTGCTGAGCAGGGAGCCCAACGTGGGACTCAATCCCGGGACTCCAGGATCATGAGCTGAGCGGAAGGCAGTCATTTAACCAACTGAGCCACCCAGGCGCCCCATACAGTATGCCACTTTAGATCAAAAGAATCTGGGCGCCTGGGTGGCTCAGCTGTTGAGCATCTGCCTTCGGCTCAAGTCATGATCCCAGGGTCCTGGGATCGAGTCCCACATCGGGCTCCTTGCTCGACAGGAAGCCTGCTTCTCCCTCTCCCACTCCCCCTGCTTGTGTTCCTGCTCTCACTATCTCTCTCTCTCTGTCAAATAAATAAATATATAAAATCTTTAAAAACAAAAACAAAAAAAACAACAAAAAAAGGAATCTGAGATCCCCCTGATAAGATGGTGGCTAAAAAAGATGACACTGACCTTTTCTTTTTTTGCTTAAAACCAGATGAACTAGACTCTTGGATCTCCAGCGCTAGGAGGTGCAGCCACTGAGCGAATTCCTGGTGCCGGTAATGAACGATACACGTGTTCAAGACCACGGAGGCCGAGAAGTCAATGGTGGTCACCTGGAAATGACACCAGAACTGCGGGGTCGGGTTTTAGCTCAGTAGCTCACAATGCAATGATACAGGGAGAGAGCAGAGAAAGGAATGAGTCTTGGGATCACAGTCAACACACCTGCACACTAGCCTTGAGGGAGTTGAGACAGACAATGCGCTGGCGGCTCTGGGACAGCAACAACCCATCTGTGAGGGCAAGAGCAGATCAGAGAAGAACACTGGGGAAAACAACAGGTAAAACTAGGAGAGGGTCAGAGACAGGCAAGCAGATGAATAGACTGTTAACAAAACTCATGAGTTGGGGCTTTTTTCTCTCAGTATGTTCCCTTCTTCCCATCCCCAGCTACACTGATATTAAGAAGGCCAACTGGGACATGGGGGAAAGGGAGGGTCTAGTCCTCTCGGTACCAACATCCCCCCTCAGGAACCTTTCAGTAGGACTTCAGTGCTCATCTGTGCCATATCAGAGTTTGCTGTGAAGCTTCGAAGAGGCAGCTGATCCTCATCACGGTGGTACAGGAAATGTAGCAGCTTCAGCGTCCAATTCAGGTGCCTGGACCAGAGACAGACTCTGGCTCAGAAATACATGGAATGTTGTTCTCACTCCCTTTATCCCCACAGACAAACTCAGTGCAGTGCAGCTACTAGGCTGGTTATAGAGACCCCAGCACATTGATCACCTCTTTTGACTATTCATGGACAGCACCACACTTGTGATCTCCATTTTCACCTTGACCTGATCTGGCAGCTGCTGAAGGAGGTACAGGCCAGGCAGAGTTGGCTCAGCCAAGTTCTCTGTCACCTCTGAAAACATGAATGAATTACACAAGAGCCATCAATCCTTAACACACTCAAGTCTCCCAAAATGCCCCATCCTCTTTGGCCAAATCTTCCCACCTAAGTAGGCTAACCAAAGGCCCAATCCTAGGCCACAAGGCAAATATCCCAGAGATCCAGGCACCCGCTGTACTTCCTTCCCCGGAATTTAAAAAACAGTATGGGGAGCAGGTTGATATAATGCAAAGAATATGGACTTCAGGGCAAAATAATTTACACCCCATTTTTACAAATGACTAGCTCTATGACCTCAGTCAAGTCACCTATCTGCTCTTCTTGGCTTCAGTTTTCTCATTTGTGATATGCTGAGAATTTAGTGAGAGACAATACAGAAAACTCATACTACAAATCTAATTCACGATAATTACCTACTAAATGTTAGTTCTTTCCCTCACCACAAGTAAACGCCCTATTTCTTTTAGCTATCCTTGGCGTCAAAGGTCATGCTGAATAACAAATCACACCTAAATTGAGACCACTATTTGTATGTAATTCCAGAATAATCAGAGAACAGCGCAGCCAAGAAGCTTACTGACCAGGGCTTTACCTGGACAAGGAACAGGTTTGGGTGCCAGGCTTGGGCCCGGGCGTAGCAGCTGACTATGGAAAAGGCCCTCGTGCAGTTCCGCATGGAGTGTCCACATATCCACAGAGATCGCCTTCAGTTGCCGACTGCTGATGCCCACCTCTACATACAACTTTAGGGCCAGTGAGAGCTCCGCAAGGCAGGTATCCTCCTGCAAGGAGGATAAGCCTCTAAGGCGTTAAGATATAGGGAGTCTAGGAGTTTGGGGTCAAAATGCAGTGGTCTAGAACACCACCTTGAGAGAACCCCCCCATAAGAATACAGAATCTAGAATGTAAGCTCCTTCATATCTTACACCCAGAAGGACACAAGGCATCTAAATGACCACAGCATACTCACCAACTGGCCACTCTTTAGAACTTTGCTGTTGATCTGATTTAGGCTCACCTCACATTTCAGCCTGGGAAAGGAAAAAAATTAAGAGCACTTGGAGCCTTTCCTCACCATTTAACTTCAGTCAAGCTTTACTGGCTAAAAGGAACAAGGCAAAGAGAAGTGCCTAATCTTAGCCTCTCCTCAAATTGCTACAGAATGAGAACTTGACACCTTTATAAAACCCTGACATCCACCCGCGCTGAAACAACTATAAGGCAAGAATGGGACTACCAGACCCTCTTTTACCCAGTGATTACCTTTTCCCATCACTATCCAAAAGAAAGCTGCTTTCTCTGATCTGAATGTGCCACAAAGACTCAGAAGTAGCCACCTTGAGAACCATGATGTTTATAGAATCTACATGAATGGAGAAGAGCTAGAAAGAAGCAGCAAAAATAGTCATTAATATCAAGGCACTGCCTTTCCTTTCCAGTAGAGAAAGAATAAGAAGCAGCTCTTGATATTATATTCCCAAAACAGTAGAAAAATCCACCCATCACTCTACAGCCAGCCATCCCTACTACAGTCCAGGAAAGTGGGAGAAGTATCTCACCTGACAGAAGATCTTCAGTAAGGAAGGACTGAACGACAGTTCCTTTTGATGCACCCCAGTGCTCTGGGAGAATGGGGCAAACAGGCCAGAAACCTTCTGTAGGTCCGTTCTGATACGCACTTCTCCAAAGCACAATGCCACATAGCGTCTGCCCAGAAGAGAGACCTCACTGCCGTCAGGTCCAGCCCTTCCCTAGCAGTCTCCTCCCCTCCCCAACATTCACTCTCTCATCCTCCCTAAAAATGTAGCTCAAATCAAGGACAACAGTCTCATAATAGTTATCAATATATGTCTCACAAAATAATAGCTTCCAGGCTAACCGGGAGACATCAGCAAAACCCCAGTCCCCTCCTTGGGCTGTGAGGCCTCTGCAAAATGTCATTCTGCAAACCCCAACCCCAAAATATTCCCCAAGGGAAGAGTGAGAATGTAGGGTACTCACGGCAGATCATGGCTAAGGAGTTTGCTGGAAATCCAGAGGCTATCAATTTCCTAAAACAGTGTGGAAAAGAGCTTTGTACGCTAGCTTCTAGGTAAGCCATGAGCAGCTTGACAGCCAGGAAAGGTTCTAAGAAGAGGAGGAAGTGCTATAGCCTTTCCACTAAATATTCTCTACTCCATTTCCACCAACTTCTCTCCTCAGCACTATATCCTGCTCCTCACAATGACATTGGTTGAACTTGCTCAGTATTTCTCTTTTATGGATATGTTACTATTTCTCCTTTTAAATTAGAACAGTAAGCTCTTCTATTTCCTGTTATCTTTTTTTCTGTGCTTAGTTCTGTATCTTTCTTATTGCACCCTGAACACTCTGTGCCTTATAAGCATTTTTAACTCAACAACTTGCATCAATCCCAGTGTTTCCAAACTAACTCTAAAATCATCTTGGCAAAGAGGTGACAAGGCTAGGCTAACGAGGAAAGCCACCCAGAATTTTAGGAAAAAAAAGAAATAAAAAGTTAAAATTTAGCTGAGTCCACCCCACACACATACCTAGGGAGTTCCCCAAGACTCACCACTGTTTGCTGGTGCTGCTGAAACTTAAGGCTGACATTCTGGATCCAAAAAAAGGACCCAATCTTTAGCTCTGCCTGCAGCTTCCGCTGACACCACTTGGTGGCCAACCGGACCACAAACCACCTGCAGAAAAATCCCTGTGAGTTCATAGGACCCTCTCTCAATTTTGGCTTTCCTCACCCCTTCCTGGTCCTAGAAGGCCTTGCAAAAAGGTTATGTCCTAAAGCTTGATCTTCTGGGCAACTCTCCGGTTTCCTAAACAACACTCTGTCACATACACTCAGCCATAAAGATCAAGACCCTAGCCCTGGAGTGTCCCCTCCACCCAAATGAAATCAGACAAACTACAGTCCACCTCCTAAATTGGGGACAAAGAAAGCAATCCTTCCAATCCTTAGGAACCCCAGATTAAGAAAGAAGAGGCCCGAAGGGGAGTCGAAATACAGGCAGCCGTGTCAGACGTGCCATCACACACTCCCCCACAGGGTCTCTTTCTCCGCCCTCCAGACAGGTGTCAGCAAGAAGGCACCGTGGGTTCACACCGGGCTGGCTCAAATGCGGCTCTCCCCTGGGTTGCCAGACCTGTTCCGGCTCCTAGGGCGAGGCTGCAGGTGCCCTCTGCGCTCGGTGAAAGGGACACTCAGGGGCGAAAGGACGGGGAAAGGGAGGCCACTGAGCCGGGCCCCTCTTCACACACACACCTATTCAGCTCCCAGCCTCAGCATCTCCTCAGGCCTCGCCCGCTCCCTCAGTGTCCCCTACTCCCAGCTTCTCGGTGCCAGATCGGACCGTACGCCCCCGCTCAAGCCAGCCGCGCGCCCCCTCCGCGGCCCCTCTCGGGCCCTCCCTCTCCGCCGCCCGCGCACCTTCCCCTCCAGCCCCCTTCCCCTCCCGCGCGCCTTTCCAGCGCGCGCCCCCCTCCTCAGTCTCTCTTCCTTCCCCAGCCCCTGCCCGCTGTAGCCGGGATCCCCTCACCGGCCTAAGAGGGCGCTGAGGGCAACCAAAAGCAAGGCCAACAGCGCGGAGAACAGGGGCATTCCGGCCCCGGCCCGGGCTGGCTCCGGCCCCCGCCCTGCCGGGGCCCCCCCCGTACGCCGGCTCCGCTCTGCGCCGCCGCGGGCCGACCAGCCGCACGCGCAGGAAGGGCGCTGGACAAGGAAGCGTTGGCGCGCGTACACCCCGCCCCCCGCAGCCCGCCAGCCAGCCAGCTGTCTCCCTGCTCCACTCCTCCCCGCGCCAGCGATCCGGCAGGGCCGACCGACGGCCTGCGCGAAGTACAGGCGTGGCTCCAGAAGAGACGGGGCGCGGGGGCGAAGGGGGGCGGACCTCGCGCCGACACTCACGCCCCGCCCCTGGACCCACCCTTCCGCACCCGGAAATGCGGAGCCTGGGGCTTGCAGGAGACCTGAGTCTGAGCCCGTCTCCAGGCTGGCAACAGACTTGGCTGTCTCATTTCAGTGGCGGAGCTCCACTTTCAAAGCACTTTTCCAGGGTGGTTACAGAGTCCGCTTGGCCACTTAGGGTCCGGACTGAGGGTACTGAGGAAGTTTTACCCCTAGGTCATACGAAGTAGCTGTCCTATCTTACTCAAAGCCTCGCCTTAAAACCCCTGAGGAGGGCGCCTGGGTGGCTCAGTTGGTTAAGCGACTGCTTTCGTTCGGCTCAGGTCATGATCCTGGAGTCCTGGGATCGAGTCCCGCATCGGGCTCCCTGCTCGGCAGGGAGTCCTCTTTGCCCTCTGACCCTATCCCCTCTCATGTGTTCTCTCTCATTCTCTCTCTCTCAAAATAAATAAATAAAATCTTAAAAAAAAAAAAAAATCCCTGAGGAAAGGAAGAATTTAAAGACGTCAGTTAAAATTCATACCTCATTCCACCCACAGAGGAATGAGTTTTTCATTCATTTTACTGTTTGAATACTGTTCTAGTCAATTAATATGTACTGACCTACTGTGTGAGCAACGCAATTTTCTGGACACTTCGTTGGACAAGTTTTCAGTTTCTACTGTGTACAGCACAATTTGGGCACTGAGCTGAGGGGATACTACAGAAATAGAGAATATTGTTCTTACCTCTCAACAACAAATAGTTTATCTTGGAAGCAAACATAATTGCAGGAAATAGATAATTAAGGATCAACTTTATTTTGCCTGTTTCCTTCTCTGTGAAATAAGGAAACTGGACAAAAATCCCAACTCTAATACAGTGATGCTAATACAAGCTAAACAAGTTCTGAGGATTTGAAAATAAGTACTCATATCCCTTTGCTCTTACATCCTAATCTCCACAAATGTCCTTCAAGATTTTACTTGGAAACTCTTTTCCACTCCTTCAGAAAAGCACCATTTCAATTTTCACATTGGGTTGCCCATAGTTTTTACCCCTCCAACTGGTTTCCTTCCTTATCTAGTCCTCTTGTTAGTCATTTCACATCTCCCCAAAGACTCCGTTTGTTTCAAATTCATACTTCTCTCTCAAGCATTATAATATGCTTGCTCCTAGCAAGGTAGGTTCTGTCTGTGAACCCTCAGGGAAGGGCCAACAACTCAGTTAAAACTCTGTTCAAGCCAAGTCGGGGTACCTTGCAACACACCTCTCTATCCATATTCATCTTGTCCAATCTGTTCCCTTTACCCAGCTGATTCCTATCACTTCCTTTCTTCTCCCCAGACTGTTTCCAGCCTATTCCCAGTATTTCAATAACCTGAATTGTTGATTTTATCATTTGTCTACTTCTTTCTGGAAAGATCTCAAATGATCAATGCAACTGAAGTGGAAAGAGACCAAGTCTCTAATGTCATGGGCTATGTCTGGCACAGACCCAGTATGCCCAAATGTTTCACATTAAGTCCCTCTCTAAAGCAAAGGATGGGGGAGGTGGAAATTATTGTTTCTAAAAATAAAAAGTCCTGCTAGTCAATGAAATTCCAGCAGATGGCAGACACCTCTGTTCACCACTACCATGCTCAGAGGACCTAGGAGCAAACTTTCTGGAATTGACCAGCAGACAGAAAGGAAGAAATGAGGTAAGCAGAGGACAAAAGTTTTCTACCCCCCTTTTCAGAGAAAGCTATTCCTACATTTATCCAAAAAAAAGCAGTTATTATCCAAGAGTGAACACAACTGTAGTGTAGTAAAAAGATTGTGAGCCAGACACAGTTGGATTCCTATCCTTATTTACTAGCTTTAAGAATTCAAGCAGGGGGCACCTGGGTGGCTCAGTCGTTAGGTGTCTGCCTTCGGCTCAGGTCATGGTCCCAGGGTCCTGGGATCAAGCCCCTCATCGGCTCCCTGCTCAGCGGGAAGCCTGCTTCTCCCTCCCCCACTCCCCGTTTGTGTTCCCTCTCTCGCTGTGTCTCTCTGTCAAATCAATAAATAAAATCTTTAAAAAAAAAAAAAAAGAATCCAGGCAGTTACTCAACCTTCATGTTCTGCATTGGTAATACTGTAATACCTATGCTACATCTGTGAAGATTAAAGGAGCTAAGAGCTATAATACACCATCTAGTATTTAGCAGACAGTGAATATTGTCTACCCTTACTCTTTTTTCTCAACTGCAGTAACAGATCCAGAGTAAAACATTTTACTGGCTATTTATTAAGCTGAATTCCTTGAGGGTCTTTAGCCATAATTAGTTAAAAATCTAGTAAAAGTGAGGTGCTAGGAGAGAAATGAAAATAGAGAAAAAGTAAAAAAAGTAAAGCTCTTAGGGGCACCTGGTTGGCTCAGAGATGGTTAAGCATCTGCCTTCGGCTCAGGTCATGATCCCAGGGTCCTGGGATCGAGCCCTGCATCGGGCTCCCTGCTCAGTGGGGGGCCTGCTTCTCTCCCTCCCTCTGCTTCTCCCCCTACTCATGTTCTCTCTCTCTCTCTGTATGTCTGTGTCTTGAATGAATAAAAAAAAAACTTAAAAAATAAATTAAAAAAATAAATAAATAAAATAAAATAAAAAAGTAAAGCTCTTAAAAGGGCCCACACCAAAGGCTCCCAGCATCTCTATTTTTTTTTTTTAAGATTTTATTTATTTGACAGAGAGAGAAATAGCGACAGCAGGAACACAAGCAGGGGGAGTGGGAGAGGGAGAAGCAGGCTTCCCCTTGAGCAGGGAGCCCGATGCGGGACTCGATCCCAGGAAGCTGGGATCATGACCTAAGCGGAAGGCAGACGCTTAACGACTGGGCCACCTGGGCGCCCCTCCCAGCATCTCTAGAGTGACAGCACTGACTCGTGTCAGACTCAAGGATCAATGAGATTATGAAATAGCACACCTAATAAATGACAACACTGGTGACTAATAATGAAATTCTTTATCATTTTAGAGAAAGGAGAAAAGTCACACATCAATAATCCATGATGCCAAGCTTCTGATGAGTAAAAATTTCCCAATTAAGAGGAATATCTCCCTCAGTTTCTGTTTTATCATTATGAATAAAAATATCTGCTCCTTCACCAGCAAGTCCTGTACTCAAAAAGAACTGACCCAAACTCTGGGAGAACAACCAATTCAAGTGTGAAGGGCTGAAGCTTCCAAACACAGCCACTGTTTTCTGTCATGCGTCTTCATCTCAGTGCTGACATGGCCACTGCCCAGGGAACCTGGGGCAGGGACCCCAAGGTGGAGCAGATGTCATGAACACTGTGTGGTGACATGGGTCACAGCTTCCAGACTCATAGCTCTGCGTGATGAGCTTCTGCCTTTAACAACTCACTGGGCTTCATGAAGATGCCTTCCATGGCTTTCCAGTAGTTGTTCTGGCTTGGCTGGGCCATGCCATGTACCTCCTTTTGCCCACTAATGGGTCGACCATATTGTTCTCCCGTGACAGACAGCAGAACTTCGGTGGAAGAATGCTTGAACCGCACCTCACCATCCCTCACCCAGTAGGGCCCATTACAGAGCACCGTCCAGTCATCCAGATAATCGCCTTCACCTTCCTCACCAAAAGCACTCACTTCCTAAAAGACACAAATGGTAGCGATATTAGCATGACTGACACACAGGCTTGGAAGGGAGAGGGAAGCAACAGAAGAAAAATAAGGCTACCTAAGAGTAAAAAATAAGAGGCTTTCCAGTGTTGTTTAAAAATAAACTGTGGGAAAAACATTTTAAAAATTAAAATAAAAAAAAGAAACTGTGAAAAAAGAAAGACACAAAGTACATGAAATCAGTTGCCCTAGGATTATGTTCCAAACATTTACTTTGCAAGTAATCCTGTATTGGCTTTATATTTTCTATTACAGCCTTACTGTTGTTATTTGACTTTAAATATTCCTGCCTCATTCCCTTAACTACATTTTAACCGACCCAGTGAGCAACAGAAGTTGAAAGGGGGGCGATGGGCTCTGGAAACTGGCAGACCTTGAATCTCTGCTCCATTCCATTCCTTCCTGTGTAACTCCTTCATTTTCTCCTCTAAAAACTCATGACAGGGGTGCCTGGGTGGCTCAGTCGATTAAGCATCTGCCTTGGGCTCGGGTCGTGGTCTCCAGGTCCTGGGATCGAGCCCCATGTTGGCTTCCCGGCTCAGCGGAGAGTCTGCTTCTCCCTCTCCCTCTGCCGCTCTCCCTGTTTGTTCTCTCTCTCTCTCAAATGAATAAATAAAATCTTAAAAAAAAAAAAAAACAACTCATGACAGTATCACCTTATAGAATAATTGTGAGAACTAAATGAAATAGAGTAAATAATAGCAGAGTTCTTCCACTTCTCTTCTAATCCCATTCCTCTTAAGGCCAAATATTCAGAGTTTCTATTGCAATAAAAAAGTTAATGGGATGCCTCGGTGGCTGAGTTGGTTAAGTGTCTGCCTTTGGCTCAGGTCATGATCCCAGGGTCCTGGGATCGAGACCCGCATCGGGCTCCTTGCTGAGCAGTAGCCTGCTTCTCCCTCTCCCTCTGCCTGCCACTCCCCCTGCTTGTGCTCTCTCCCTCTGACAAATAAATAAAAAAACCTTAAAAAAAAAAAAAAAGGTGGAAAGTCATTAAAAAAAAAGTTACTGATTATTTCAGAAATTTATAAAAACATGCTAAGCTATGTAATTTTAGATTAAAAGCATTCATTTGTAAATAGAGTCTGTAAGACTAAAGGCAAAAGGAACAATTAATTAACAATCCTACTATACTTGTAAAGTTTTTTTTTCTTTTTTTTTAATTTTACCTATTTATTTGACACAGAGAGAGACAGTGAAAGAGAAGGAACACAAGCAGGGGGAGTGGAAGAGGGAGAAGCAGGCTTCCCACCAAGCAGGGAGCCCGACGTGGGGCTCGATCCCAGGATGCTGGGATCATGACCTGAGCCGAAGGCAGACGGCTAATGACTGAGCCACCCAGGCGTCCCTATACTTGTAAAGTTTTGAGTGCAACTTTTGTTGATTGTGTATTTGTTTATTGCTGTGTATTTTTTTTTTTTTTTAAGTAGGCTTTAGGCCCAGCATGGAGCCCAACACGGGCTTGAACTCATGACCCTGAGATCAAGGCCTGAGCTGAGATCAAGAGTCAGACACTTGGGGCACCTGAGTGGCTGTCAGTTAAGTGTCTGCCTTCGGCTCAGGTCATGATCCCAGGGTCCTGGGATGGAGTCCTGTGTCAGGCTCCCTCCAGGGAGCCTGCTTCTCCCTGGCCCTCTGCCTGCTGCTCGCCCTGCTTGTGCACTGTTAAATAAATAAATAAAATCTTAAAAAAAAAAAGCATCTGACTTTGCTGGGGTCTTAATCTTGGGGTCCTGGTATCAAGCCCTGCATCAGGCTCCACGCTCAGCAGTGAGTCTGCTTCTCCCTCTCCCTCTACCCCAACCCCTGCTCGTGCTCTCTCTCTCACATAAATTTCTTTTTTTTTTTTAAATGCTGATGCTATAACATCTTTTTTTTCTTTTTTTTTAAGATTTTATTTATTTATTTATTTGACAGAGAGAGACAGCGAGAGAGGGAACACAAGCGGGGGAGTGGGAGAGGGAGAAGCAGGCTTCCCGCAGAGCAGAGAGCCCGATGCGGGGCTCGATCCCAGGACCCTGGGATCATGACCTGAGCCGAAGGCAGACGCCCAACGACTGAGCCACCTAGGCGCCCCTCACACAAATTTCTTAAAAAAAAGTCATTTAACCAACCAAACCACCCAGGCGCCCCACAATTCTATACTTGTATATGGAACTGAACAAGTAAATAGATGACAGTGGTGGAAACCAGGTATCTGTGTGGAAATTTACAAATAAGTAAAGGAAGGAGGCTAGAATGATCTAAATGGTAATGGATTATAGTTGGAGACATCAATAGGAATTCATGTTTAACGTAATACAGATACAGATGTTATACATAAAAATACTCATAGTTATGTCTATATATACATATACATCCTTCTTTGTTCTGTCAGGTGAGAAGGCCTAAAAGAGACAACACCCCAGCAGCAACAAGCTCATGTAAGGGCTAAGATCATGGTTTCTAATATCATTCTCCAAAAAAAGGAAACAGAACTCCTTGGAGAAATAGCTGATTCTAGGACTGGGGCAAGAAATATACAAGATGAGCCTAGAGTATCTTTCAGTGCCAGAAAGAAAGGAAGGGTTAACACACACACATACACAAAAATGGGAATATGTCAAATGGACACAGGAGACAAGTAAAAGAGCTCCCAATGGCCAAAGTTGGAACAACTTGAGCAACAAAATAAAGGCAGTGGTATGGGATCATAACTCAAAGTATAAAATATTCATGAATCCATACTGATATGAATAAATGATTAAATAAATAAGTAAAGGAGAGACAAATACCCATGCAGAAAAATTCCAAATAAATTTTTTAGCTAATCTATCTAAAGGAGGGGGAGCATAACTCTGCATTCCTTAAGTGGGGGCTATGCATAATGACTTACTTCCAAAAACACAATATAGAAAGGTGGGGGGGCGGTGAGATGAAAAGAATAGCTTTATAGGATGGGCGCCTGGGTGGCTCAGATGGTTAAGCGTCTGCCTTCGGCTCAGGTCATGATCCCAGGGTCCTGGTATCGAGCCCCGCATCGGGCTCCCTACTTGGCGGGGAGCCTGCTTCTCCCTCTCCCTCTACTGTTCCCCCTGCTTGTGCTCTCTCACTCTATCAAATAAATAAATAAAATCTTTAAAAAAAAAAAAATAGCTTTATAGGAGAAACATCACAAACACTATTTCAGTAGTTATGAATCATGTAGATAGTATGTACCTGTGACATGATGTGATAAAAATGGCACTTTACCCCTGTGGCCTTCCTCCTAAAAACATTTCTAAGTCTGATCTAATCATGACAAAAACATCAGACAAATCCTAATGGAGGAGCACCCTATAGTATACTTGACCAGCATTCCTCAAAACAGTGATATTTACAATATCACTGACTATACTCCCTATGCCCTACCTTTTATCCCTGTGACTTATTCGTTGCATAACTGGAAGCCTGTAATCTCCCACTCCCCTTCACCCATTCTGCCCATCTCCCCACACCCTTCCTCTCTGACAACCATCAGTTTGTTCTCTGCATTTATAGGTCTGATTCTGCTTTTTGTTTGTTCATTTGTTTTCTTATATTCCACATATAAGTGAAATCATATGATATCCGTCTTTCTCTGCATTTCATTTAGCCTAATACCCTTTAGGTCCACCCACGTTGCCACAAATAGCAAGAATTCATTCTTTTTTATGGCTGAGTAATATTCTATCATGTATATATGTATACACTATATCTTCTTCACCCATTCATCTATTTTTTTTTTTTTTTAAGATTTTATTTATTTGACAGAAAGAGACACAGCGAGAGAGGGAACACAAGCAAGGGGAGTGGGAGAGGGAGAAGCAGGCTTCCCATGGAGCAGGGAGCCCAATACAGGGCTTGATCCCAGGACCCTGAGATCATGACCTGAGCCGAAGGCAGACGCTTAATGACTGAGCCAACCAGGCAACCCCCCATTCATCTACTGATGTACACTTGGTTTGCTTCTGTATCTTGGCTATTGTAAATAATGCTGCAATAAACACAGGGGTACACATCTTTCCAAATTAGTGTCTTCTTTTTTTTAAGAATTTATTCATTTGACAGAGAGAGACACAGCCAGAGAGGGAACACAAGCAGGGGGAGAGGGAGAAGCAGGCTTCCTGCAGAGCAAGGACCCCGGGATCATGACCTGAGCTGAAGGCAGATGCTTAACAACTGAGCCACCCAGGCGCCCCTGTTTTCATTTTCTTTAGGTAAATACACAATAGTGGAATTACTGGATCATATGATATTTCTATTTTTAATTTTTTGAGGAACCTCCATACTGTTTTCCAAAGTGGCTACACCAATTTACATTCCCAACAACTGTGCACGAGGGTTCCCTTTTCTCCACATTCTCACCAACACATGTTATTTCTTATTTTTTGATTATAACCATTCTGTCAGGTATAAGGTGATATCTTTACTATGGTTTTGATTCACATTTCCCCGATGATTAGTGATGTTGAGTTCTTTTCATGTGTCAACATTGGGTTTCTTTACTGTAGAATTTATCAAGATGACTTATGATATGCTTCTACCTATTTTATCTTTTCTCATTTCTTGATTTCATCTAGATGTAAAGTCTCTATTTTGCCCAGAAACAATTTCCTTCACACTTATGAGACAAAGCCAGTTCTCCATGTCTGCACAAAAAAGAACAACTACACCTAGAAAAGAAAGGGCTAAGAACCAAGATATTAGACAACTCAACTGAGTAATGCACAGGGCACGAGTGATCCACAGGATGCCACCTCACCTGGTTTCCAGAAAGAGGTGAGGTGAAGTGGTGACTATGGAGATTTCGGCCAGTGTTGACATGTGTCAGCCGGATGGGTTGGCCACATTTGATGGGGGTTCCTCTCTCACACACTGTAGCCGTCTTCCCCCGTATCCTCCAGTAACTATTGCTGTCGTCCACAGAGGTTACACCTGTAACTGACTGCTGCCCACTACCTGCAGTCCAAAAAAAAAAAAGAAAAGAAAAGAGTGAGCTCAACCTAATCCCCCTCTTTCCTAAGGCCAATAATGTGCCCTGTATTATAAACCTTTTTTTTTTTTTTTTTAGATTTTATTTATTTGACAGAGAGAGAGATACAGCGGGAGAGGGAACACAAGCAGCGGGAGTGGGAGAGGGAGAAGCAGGCTTCCCGCGGAGCAGGGAGCCCGATGAGGGGCTCGATCCCAGGACCCTGGGATCATGACCTAAGCCGAAGGCAGACACTTAACGACGGAGCCACCAAGGCGCCCCGATGTGCCCTGTATTATAAAACAGGTTTGGAGGAGTGGAGAGGAAACCCTATGCTTGATATTTCTTTGTCTACAACATTATAAAAATACACAAAAAATACTAAATAGGTTTATATAGTATTGTTATCTGATAAATTATACTTAAATGTGTGATAGAAAACTCTTAAAGAATTTGCATCAAACAGAACTAAATAAATAAACTTACGTTCATTTTTCTGAAACACAAGTATTATGTACCTATATACAATAACCTGGATAGCCCCTAAAATATGTCAGTACATGTACATATATATACAAGTATTATATACCTATAGACAATAACTTGGGTAGCCCCTAGTATATGTCACATAACTGAAACATGTTTAATATTATTCAATGTTCACTATGCATGACAATCAAAACATCTGTCACATTTCACAACAGAGACCAGCTTTTGCTGTCAACTTTAATCCAAGCAATCACTGCAGCTCCCGAATTCCCCCATGAGTGATCAATAGGTTATAAAAGTATTCATAAGTCCTCTAAATTTGGTTAATACTGCCTAAAGAGGTACAGTTATGGTTAAAAGGTACCAGGTTAAACACATAGCTGCAGGCTTAAAAAGAAGAAGGAAAATATACATCTAATAATTGCTAGCCAGCTAATGTGTACTGAGCACTTTCTAAATGTCAGATACCAGGGCGCCTGGGTGGCTCTGTTGTTAAGCGTCTGCCTTCAGTTCAGGTCATGATCCCAGAGTCCTGGGATCGAGCCCCGCATCAGGCTCCCTGCTTGGCGGGAGGCCTGCTTCTTCCTCTCCCACTCCCCCTGCTTGTGTTCCTGCTCTTGCCATCTCTCTCTGTCAAATAAATAAAATCTTTAAAAAATAAATAAATAAATGTCCGATACCAAATCAAACCTTTTACCTGAATATTCTTATTTGATAACATGCGTATATTCTCTAAGGTAGGTATTACTGTTATCATCATCCCCAATTTACACTGGAGTCTCAGAAAAGCTAAATAGTACACCCCAGGTCACACAGCACCAAGACACAGTGCTGGGGTTTGAACTTAGATGGCCCTACTCTAGAACTCACACTCTTAACCACTCTACCACATGGCCTCCCAAGAAACTATTTTCTGTCAAGTTATATCAGAGACCACTCTCATATAAACTCCAGGGATATTCTCTTCCCTAAGCCTTCATCTACTACTCAATTCTTTAAATGCACTCAAGACACTTTCCTAGTTACTCTCGCCTGTTCCTCCTAGCTTTGCCTTCAGTCATTGCCATGCTTCACTAAACCACAGTCTATACTTTGTGCCTTCTAGCTTTTCAGGTTCTGTTCAACCCTTCACTTCCTCTCCCATCATTCAGAGATCAGACAGGATGGAGTGCGTTCAGGGTGGTATGGCTGTAGACTCCTCTCCCACCCTTAAACCTTGGGATTACCCAGAGTTCTATCCTTATCCATTCTTAAATACTTATTGGAGATCAGAACAAAAGCATCTATACATGCTTCAACAGGTTTTTCAAGTGATTCAAATCGACACCAGATTGAGAACCACAGTGCATCCTGCGCAATCTCACTCTCCCCATATCTTTAACTCCCCCCCAACCCCCACCCAGTACCATGATGTACTTAACTCTACCTCAGGCTCCGCACAGACTGAATCTGGTTCTCAAATCTGGCTGACCATTAGAAGCACCTGAAGAATTTTTCAAATCTACAGATTCCTATTGTCAGGCCTCTCTCCCACATTCTGATTTAGTAGAGCCAAACTAGGAAACTAGATCAAATTAAAAAGTAGTGAGCTGGACACACAGCAAGTGTTCACTGACTGGCTGCTAGGATCATAAAACATACCAACAATGACAACTCAGTCCTTTCCTAGTCTAACTAGTCAGACACATTTTGAGAATCATGAACCGTAGACTAGCCCCCATCCTCTCTTACTTGATAACATCATCAGTCATCCAAGATAGAAATCTAGCAATCATCTTAGATGCATCTCACATCTCACCAACTGAACTTTTTTCTCTTTGTCAGTTTTTGTTTTCCTGTAACTTGGTGACTGGCTATTATATCTCCTCTATCTAGAATATTAGGGACGTAATAAGAGTTTATTAAATCTAGGGGCGCCTGGGTGGCTCAGTCGGTTAAGCATCTGCCTTCGGCTCCGGTCGTGGTCCTGGGGTCCTGGGATCGAGCCCCGCATCGGGCTCCCTACTCTGCCAAAAGCCTGCTTCTCCCTCTTCTACTCCCCCTGCTTGTTCCCTCTCTCGCTGTGTCTCTGTCAAATAAATAAATAAAACCTTTAAAAAAAAAAAGTTTATTAAATCTGTACTGAATGAATCCACAAATAATTGCTAAATTATAAATGAATCCAAATCAAGCATTTTAATATCCTATGTTAAAAAGCCCTCTAAATTTCCTCTCCAATTCCACTGAGTGCTTTAAATTCTTCACAAGAAAAGTGTGAGTAAAAAGAGGCCAAAGGAAAAGGGTTGAAAAGCAAGCTTAAGATGCAAAACAGCTAGAACAGAAAGATATAGTCAAACAGTGAGGTCTTGGAGTTCAAGACTTCAGAGGTACAGCACTTACTGTAATTTTCTACATGTCTGTCTCTCCCGCACTGAGTAGTGCCAGCCTGGAGTAGCTGAAAGCAGGCTTTGAAACTGGACAGATTTGGTTCGAACCCCGTCTCTGTCATTCACTAGCTGCAAGGCTCTGAGCATGCGATTTATTTGAGTTTGTTTCCTCATCTGTAAAATGAGGATAACAATCGTCTCTACCTCGTAGGAATGTTATAAATCCAAAAGAGTATATGTGTAATGTGCCCGATACGTAGCTCACCAGATAGAAGCTGATATTACGCCCAATTCTCCGATTCTCCGCCTCTAGACCTCAGGAACCGCCCCCGGGCTCCCCTAACCTTCCCAGACCACACCCCTCAGATTTTCTCTTGGCCCCGCCCCCTCCGGAGCTTACCAGGCCCTCCCAGCCCACCCGAACCCGGGTGGCAGTACCTGACCCATAGCGCACGTCGTGCGAGTGCAGTCGCACGTTGTGGCGCGTATTGAGTAGCTTCACCACAGAGCCGCACGTAACGACAGCCAGATTGGACGCTTCCACAGCACTCCACAAACCCCCCAACAACAGTAGGGACACCACAGCCATCCTAGCTGTAGCGCAGAGCCCTTATCTTCGAAGGAAACTCGGCCCCTCCCCGGAAGCGGAAGCTGCAGGCGGAACCACAGAGAGGAGGAAATGAGGAAGCCCTAAGTCTAGTCTTTATGGTTCCTTTGGCTAGAGCGGCCCTAGGAAGCCACTAGTCTTGACGCTTCCGATCCCCAAGCTCTGTTCCCAAGTCTCTGTGACACTTACCTTCCTGAACCGCTTCGGCCAGTTTTCGCGCCCTCCTAAACGAAGCCCCGAGAGCCGGGTGGGAGAAGAGAACAAGGAATGGCCCGCCCACTCCCAGTGACAGGGAGCCGGAAGTGACGTAGCACGTTGACGCAGCAGCGGCGGCGGTGGCGGCGGAGGGGCCATACGGTGGGTCCGTACTATCCCTTCCCAGTCTCGGTTCGACGACTCCATTTTCCTCGGTGGGGGTTTAGCGTTCCGGAGTAGCGGCGGGCTTCAGGCAGGTAAAGTTCGAACTGGAAAGCGTGTTTCTCGAATGGGTCAGGTGAGGAACCAGGCTCCTAGGGCCTGGTCCCGAAAGGGAAGAGGTACTGGGGAGCCGTATGCGGGAAGAAGGGGGCCCCCCCCGGCCTTCCCTGGTCTATAAGGGAAAAGGAGAAGGAAACCGGAGTAGTTGCCTAGAGTCTCAGAGCTTTTCCCAGCCCTATGCTACCCGGAACCCGTGAATTGGGCGCCGTGTTGTATCAACAGGCTTCCTGGGATTCCGTCCTCTCGAAAGCTTGTGAAAATTGGGCCACGCCAAAGGATTTGGGAATGGAAGGGGCTTGGGGCTTCTGAGTCAGGATCAGGTGATCAAATTTTTTGTTCTGGGGATGTTAAACCTACGGATCTTTCAGCAGCTAGGCCATCAGGCTAGAGGGCGATGCCAAATACCATCTTTTTCCGTATTGTTGAAAATAAAATTAGAACTTTTTATAGATGGTTGCATCCATCAACCGCCCACCGCAAACCTCAGAATGGGCTATTGAGTCAAAACTTCATTATCTTCCAGTTTCTGCCTTTCTCTTCAGGCAGTCCCTTGAACCAGCTGGAGCAGTTCGTTTCTCTTGGTTGTTTCAAGAAGTGATACTTATATTTCTTTAATAAGAGGCCTAAGCTCTCTGAAAATACATCCTTGGAAATTCACTGTAATATCAGAAGTAGCAAGGGAGTATTGAGTTACACCGCTGCTATTAATGAACATGGAGAATGTAAACAGTTTGGAATTTGATTAATTTCTTCTAGAAAAAAAGCTTACTTGCACTGTTTATTTGGAAGGTACCGGTTCTAAAGTCTTCACTGTATTGATTACAAAAGTATGATTGCTCCCTCATCACCTGAATTTAGAGCCCTTTTCCATCACTTGTGTCCCCTCAACCAGTGCAAATACATTCTTCTTTAGATTGCTTCTATGGCTACTAGATTAGATTAGCGCAGTTACTCCCTAAGAGGTTTAAACCTTATTAAGAGATTAATCACGTCTAGAAGTGGTGCAATCTAGAGAGGCTGTCGCGTTTCACAGTTCTCCCTCAATAGACCTTCGCCAGAAGGGAAGCCCACGTAGTATACTGGAAACAAATGGTCTTTGGAGGCAAATAAATTTGCCCTTGCTCCTATGTTCTTGGTCTCAATAAATGGCACTGTGATAAGGATCCTGTGTAAAATCCTTGGATTCTTCCTCTCCATTATTCCCTGATAAAATCAATCACCCAATCCTACCTCTCCATAAAAATCTTTTCCCATCACATACAAATTATGTTCTGGTAACCTCCCTCATCCCCCTCCAACTATCATCCTACTTTTTTTATTTCCGTTCACAGCCAGATTTCTATCTGTGTCAACTTTCTCAAATTTTATTCATTTTTCAGGCTCTACTAGTCTGGTTTCTCTTCTGACCACTTGGTTGAAGTTTCTCTGGTCAAGGTTACTAATGATTTCTTTATTGCCAGATCTCATGGATACTTTGTTCTTACCTTCCTCAATCCCTGGAATATGCAACACAGTTTACTCCTGTCTTGAAACTCTCTTGTCTTGGGGCTCCTGGGTGGCTCAGTCAGTAAGCATCTGCCTTCAGTTCAGGTCATGATCCCAGGGTCCTGGGATAGAGCCCCACATCAGGATCCCTACTAAATGGGGTGTCTTGCTTCTTCCTCTCCCTCCCACTTGCTCTCTCTCAAATACATAAATAAAATATTAAAAAAAAAAAAAACGACGACGAAGAAGAAACTCTCTTCTCTTGGTTTCATTAACACTTAGCTCCTGGATTGTCTCCATTTTTCTGGTTGCTCCTTCTCAGTGTCCTTTGCTAGCCACTTTTGCTCCCTACCTAGGGTCTAAATGTTGAATTTCCTTCAGAGTTTAATCTTGGGCTCTCTGCATACTTCCTTTAGATGATCCAGTCTCCGTGGCTTTAATTACCATCTGAAAGGTGGCAACTGTCAAGTTCAAATCTCTAGCCCTGCCTCCTCTATGTTCAAGAATCGTACACAGAGGGGCGCCTGGGTGACTCAGTCGTTAAGCGTTTGCCCTCAGCTCAGGTCATGATCCCAGGGTCCTGCTCAGCAGGAAGTCTGCTTCTCCCTCCCCCCCTGCTTGTGTTCCCTCTCTCACTGTGTCTCTCTCTGTCAAATAAATAAAATCTTAAAAAAAAAAAAGAATTTTATACAGAATGCCTATTTAATAGCTCCATTTGGATGTTTCTTAGACATCCCAAATCTAACATAACAAAAAGAACATTTTGGTTTTCCCATCACTCCAAACCTGATCTTCCCTCTCTAAGACGTACTCTCATCCACGTGGTTACCAAAGCCAGACCTCTGGGGATCATCTTGGATTCTTTGCCTTTACTACCCTCCTTCCCAAGTTTGGTAAGTCCTGTCACTTCTTCCAAAATATGTTTCAAATCTGTTTTCTGTTCTCTATCTCCGCTTTTACCACCCTATTCCAAACCACCATCATCTTTTGCCTGGGCTACAACAGGGGTATCCTCAGTTTTCCCTGTTTCCACCCAGGTCTCCCTGCTTAAAGCACTCCAGTGGTTTTCCGTGGCTTTCAGAGCCCCACTTGAGCAGGCCCCTCCTCTTTTTCCCATTCTGCTGCCTTCACCATTCTCTGGTCACATTGGTCTTAGGACATTGCCTACCATATGCCAAGTTCTTCCCCACCTTTTCTACCAGGAACCTCTTCCTACCCATTGTTGACATCTCAGCCTAAAGTCACCCTCTCAGAGGTGAGGGTATTTATTTCCTTCCTAGTACTTATAGCAAGGTTTCTTTTGTTTGTGGTTTGTCTCCTACACCAGAATGTAGATATCCTAGGAAGAAGGACTTTGTTTTTTTCTACGTGCCTGACAGGTAGTAGGCACTCATTAAATAAATCTTCTTTGAATTAGCAAGTAAACTAAGTTCAGTTTAAAACCCTGCAGGGGCTTCCCAGCACCTTTTAGAGTCCAAAATCTTTAACTTACCCTATCAAGATCCTTATGACTTCACTCCAACTCCATTATGAACCCTCCTCCCTCTCTCTAGTCAAGCTGGCCCTCACTGGCCCTGCCACTGGCCTTGGGCCTTGTGCTGGAAGTGCTCTCCTCCAACACTACCGCTCCTTGCATGACCACCAAAGAAGGCAGCTCCTCCCTTTAGCTAATTCCTCCACAGTCTTACAGTCTTTATTCAAAGTCACTTCCTCAAAACCAGATTGGAGTCCACTCTTACAGGCTCCCATGGTACCTCAGTCACCAGTTCTTTCAATTACTCCTGTACTTCTAGATCATGGGTCAACAAATTAAAGCTCCTTGGCCAAATTAGGCAACTCCCATTCATTTACATATCATCAGTAAATTAGGCAACTCCCATTCATTTACATATCATCAGTGTCAGATTTTGTGCTACAGTGGCAGCTCTGGCCCTCTGTGGTTTGATAACCCCTGTGCTAGGGCAGGAATATGTTCCCCAGTGTGTGTGGCACAAGACTCGGTAAGTTAACTCCCAGCCTCTGTTGCAGGGATTCTGATTCTGGTTACATATTTCAGTTGTTTCTGCTCCTCTTTTGTACTTATTCTGCAAGGAAATGTGGAAAGAACAGAGATAACTTGTATTCTTAAATTACTTATGTTAGTCATCATTAACAATAATGCTTTCTATACTCTGGTATTGCAAGATCCTAAGAGGGGCGCCTGGGTAGCTCAGTTGGTTAAACGTCTGCCTTCTGCCCAAGTCATGATCCCAAGTCATGGTCCCAGGGTCCTGGGATCCAGCCCCGCATTAAGCTCCCTGCTCAGCGGGGAGTCGGTTTCTCCCTCTTCCCCAGCCTCTCCCCACCCCCACTCCCGCTTGTGCTCTCTCTCACTCACTCTCTCTCAAATAAATAAAATTCTTTAAAAAAAAAATAGGAAAGATCCTAAGATTGTTATTTCCTGGGGTGCCTGGGTGGCTCAGTCGTTAAGCGTCTGCCTTCGGCTCAGGTCATGATCCCGGGGTCCTGGGATCGAGCCCCGCATCGAGCTCCCTGCTCGGCAGGAGGCCTGCTTCTTCCTCTCCCACTCACCCTGCTTGTGTTCCCTCTCTCACTGTCTCTGTCTGTCAAATAAATAAAACTTTAAAAAAAAAAAAGTTATTTCCTATAAATGTGGCGTGCACATTAAAATGACGATAGGTAGAGTTAACATTTTCTGTTTTGTGTGTGTGTGTTTTATGTTTTAAGATTTTATTTTTAAGTAATCTCTACACCCAGCGTGGGGCTTGAACTTACAACCCTGAGATCAGTGCATGCTCTACTGACTGAGCCAGCCAGGCATCCCTCACTTTTTCTTTATTTTATCATCTTGATTTGGTTTGATTAGGATTTTTCTTAAAGATTTCTGAATTTAAAAGAACTTGTCTTAAGTGGATTCTGAATACTTCATTTATTAAACTTTCAGGTTTTTGAATTCCAAATTGGGTAGTCACTTGTGAACACTTTTGGAATAGTCCCAGGCTTTTGCTCATAAAATACAGAATGTCTTAGAGTTGAAACTCCACACCAGACTTATGGGGCTGTTCCCCATACCACTAGGCCCTTTCAAACCTAAGCCTTTGCTCATGTTGCTTTTTCCAGATTATTCTCTTAAGTCCTCTCAACTCAGGCATCACCTTTTCTGAGGCATTCTCTGACATCTCTCTCTCATATTGCTCCCGTAGTCCTGGTGTATAACTATAATACAACATTCATTGTGCTTTGTCATAACTTTATTTACAAGTTTTTTGATATAGATTGTGAATTCTACCAAGTAAAACATATTTTACTCATTTTTATATACCCAAGTCCCAGCACAGAGCTTAATCCTATATGTATACGTATATATAGAAGTAAATGTTAATTGAAGCTGGCAGTGAAGGGAATTAACAGACATCTTTTTTTGCTCTGGTCTCCTTTTAATTGCCTCCTACATCATCTTGTTCAAAAGGAGGGACTGCCGAGGGCCTCCCTGTGGCAGTGTGATCCCAGCTCCATTCCTCTCCCAGAGAATGTCATGGTAACGGCCAACCTCTCCCTTTGAGCCACATCTTGGACTGCAGCTGTGCTTCTGCCTGGAGAAGCCTCCCTTCGCTACCCCGTGCCCCTTCTAGACCTGTTTCACTAGCACATTTAACTTACGGTCTGAATGTGGGGAAAATTCAAGAGCATAAGTACTAAATAAAAAACCTGAACTGTGCTGGGCTCAGCTGAGATATCATACATTAATAATAATCATACGCTAATAAAGAGTATTTTTGTTGGGGAATAGTAGCGACTTGCCAACCTCAGCCTGCAGTGCTGCTGCGGAACCCTCCGCACATTTAGCTCCTGCGAGTTGCAGCAAGTCAGGCTTGCTTCTGGCACACCTCTTTTAACTGAAAGTCTTGGCAGTGAGCTAGACTGGAAGCATTCCCCCCACTAGAGCACAGCATGTACTCTATTGCTAACCTAGGCAATGGGAGAAAAGCTGCGTGTAGCACAGAGCACCAGCTGCCTCCCGGGACAGAAAAAAAGCTGTTGTTTTCATCAGGTAGGCTGTCTGTTTCTCTCTGTTAAGTAGACTGGAGGGCATCTGGTCTGCAGGAGCTGGCATTTAATGTGAAGATGTTGAGGCCTTGTAAGACTGAATTTGTGGGTCTGATAGCCTAATTAAAGCAAGCCATGTGTGGGGGCTGCTGTACCCAAATCTATTTTTAATGGCTTAGTTCAGGGCCGGGGCAGGGGGGGTGATGTCAGAATTCAAATTAGAGCACCAGATTTAATTAGTAGTTTTAGATCCTCACTTTCTACAGTACTGAAAGTATATTACCTTAAGGACACAAGTCTTGGGGGAAAAAAGAGCATCAATCTCACCGTAAGACTTGTATCACCACCCTGTGGGGTATGTCACTGTATAGTGTAGCAGCTCTCAAACATTTTAATCTTAGGACCCCCTTTATAAATGTAATTGAAGATTGCAAAGACGTTTATGTGAGTTGTATCTGTTGATGTTTGTGAGATTTTTATACTTTGATGTTTACCAAATAAGAAATTTAAATTGGGTATATTAATTCATTTTGAAATCATAATAAAACACCACCAAAAAAGTAATTATTTTGCAGTATACAGGTATGTTAAATTAACACATCATACACCTTAAACTTACAGTGTTTTATGTCTATTATATGTCAGTAAAGCTGGGGAAAAAATAATAAGCTCACTACATTTTAACATAAATAATACTTTTATAAAAAACAATTGTAATCTTCAAAAGTAGTGAGAAGCGTGACACTGTTCTACTTTTTTTCCCCAAATCTTTTTAAAGATTTTATTTATTTGAGAAAGAGAGTGTGTGCGCAGGAGTGTGAGGGGCGGGGGGCAGAGGGAGAGCAGACTCCACCCAATGCAGGGCTAATCCCACACCCTGCGATCACAACCTGAGCCGAAACCAAGAGTCGACGCGTAACTGACTGAGCCACCCAGGCGCCCCCCAAATCTTTTTAATCTTCATATCTGCTTCTGCATTCAGTGTTGTGATACTGCACATCATACTACCTCTGGAAAACTCCACTGTACACTCATGAGAGATGGGAGGAGGTGGTCCCCTGACCACACTTGGAGACCTACTGATATATTAGAAACAACTGTACAACTGTGACTTCGGAGTGAGACACACTTTAACTCAGACCTCAGCTCTTGCAGTTGGTATTTGTATCAACTTGAACAAGTAACTTTGTGAGTCTGTCATCTCCTTTGTTGAATGGAGAAAGTGCACTGTAACTCCTAGGACAGTGTAGGGGTTAACAGGTGTTCCTTCCTTAAGTGTCTGGAACTTGGTAGAAGTGTGATTACTATTGCTCTGGGCGCTTTTTTTTTTTTTTTTAATTGTTTAAAGGAAAGGCCTGTATTAGTTTTGCTTGGGTTTTGTGTGAGTGTTGTGGGTTGGTTTGTTTCTAATTCTCTTCCTGTGCCTGCTCTCTACATAGAATACGTAAAATTGTTCTGTGGTCCTTATTTTCATATCTCTCTCCCTCTACCAGAAGTCAGCTCCTTGATAACAAACAATCCTATTTATCCTCAAATCCCTAGGTCCAAGCAGAATGTATGTACACAGCAGGCATTCAGTAAAGCTTGAATGGCATCTGAAACCTCAGCCTGAAATTGAACATAAGACCATATCATTGCCTCTCCCTTTCCACCAGAACTCAGTACCTTCAGTTTTGTTTCTTGAGTTCAATCTTAAATTAATTGGTTGTGGTATAAGTTGATATCAGTAAGGTAATTTTCAGAAAAATTAGAGCCATAGCACTTAAGGCTCCTACTAGAGCTCAGACCATTTCAGGTAACTGTTAGCCAGCCTCCTCTTTTTTCCCATCCCACTGCCATCTTTCCCTGGGAAGGTGGCAACAATATGAAAAAGCAAGTAATTTATTTAACAGATATTAGCTGTTCCTGTTTTGTGCAGAGCACCTAGAAGGATATGTTACTTGGTACAGAATCACGAAGTGCCTTCTGATGCTCTCGTGTTGTCATTTATATTTTCATGGTTTTTATTAGCCCTTCAATTAGATTTGGTCTCTAACATCCAGAAGCTTATGGTCTTAGTTGTGGAAAATGGGCACATACACGGTGGACCATAATTCAGGACAAGGTGAGGACTGATGCTGAGTTTATCAGCAGCCAGCTTCAGGATTCCAGAATCTAGAATCTTGATGTTACAATGTGTGTGATGTGTGCTGTTTTTTAAAGTCCTACGAGGCGTGGGGTGCCTGGGTAGGATAGTCATTTAAGCATCTGACTCTCGGTTTCGGCTTGGGCCCTGATCTCATGGTGGTGAGATCCAGCCCTGCGTTGGGCTCCGTGTTCAGTGCAGAGTCTGCTTGAGAGTCTCTCTCCCTCCCCCTCCCTTTATTACGTTTAAATAAATAAATGTAATAAATAAATTCTACAAGGCCCAGAAAACTCCCATGTTATGGTTCTGCCATTTCCAGGCTCTGGATGAGTCCGAAAGCGGGGAAGTAGAAGAAAAAGTTGGGACTGGTTGGTACAAAATTACAGAATGCTAAGGAAAATTAGACCCACAATTCAAATTCACACTCAGTTAACATTTATTGAAACCGTAAACTAGGTTCTTTCCCCTGTGTCATGTAATAGTCTTAACTACTCTACAAGGTAGGTAGTGCTATTCCTGTTTTCCAGATGAAGAAGTTGATATCCAGACAAATTCAATAATTTGCTTAGCTTATATATTTGGTAGATGATGGGACCAGGTTTTGATCTTTTCTCTTAAGCCCAGCAATCTTTGCACTTAACTGTGTTGGCTTTATTTTGTAGGCCATGGAAGTCACTTTCAATTTTTTTTTTTTGCTGGGGAGGTAAATGGTAAAAATAGAGTTATGGTAAAAATAATGTTTCTAAAGAGACCCCTTCTCCACCCAAATGCTCCCAACCAGTAGTCACACAAGTGGCTCAGGTTCATGAAGTGTCGTTTAATCTGTTGGAAAGAATTTACCTTTTGACTCTGTCAGCAGCCAGGCATTAAGTTCACACTTGTTTCCCAAATCTCTTATGAGCGAGTCATATAATCTCACTGCTACGTATCCCTACCTCTGTAATCACTCCTACACTAATTTCTTTCCTCATTCACCCCTTCCTGCCCCCAAATGATAAATGAGATAAAATCCTTTGTTCTACAGTTGACCCTTGAACAACGCAGGGGTTAGGGGCACTGGCCTCCCCCGCAGTCAAAGATCTGCATATAACTTTTGACTCCCTGAAAACTTTACTAATTGCCTACTGTTGGCTGGGATAACATAACATGATAAACTAAATAGTCAATTAACACATTTTGGACGTTATATGTACTATAACCATATTCTTAAAATAAGCTAGAGAAAAGAAAATGTCAAGAAAATCACATGGAAGAGAAAATACATTTACAGTACTCTATGTATTTATCGAATAAAATCTGTGAGTGGACTCATGCAGCTCAAACTCCTGCTGTTGGAGAGTCAACTCTATATAAGAAGTCCAGTGTAATCAATCATCTTTTTAAAGGCACATGAGAGAGGAGTAACCATGGGAGGAGTGGAAAATGGATGCGATGGAGCCATCTGATTCTTACTGTCTCCTCCTTAGGTGGGAATGATTGAGGAGGCAGAACAGTGGCATGTGGCTAAAAGGCTGTTTGTGGAAAGGTTTAAGGGCACTCTGTAAAGTCATGTGTCTCATTTTTTTTTTATTCCCATCTTCCTTCCTTCCCTAGTCATCTTTAGGCAGGCCGTGAGAAGCTGCAGCCATGTCTGATTTTGTGGAAAGCGAAGCCGAAGAGTCAGAGGAAGAGTACAATGATGAAGGCGAAGTGGTGCCCCGAGTCACCAAGAAATTTGTGGAGGAGGAGGATGACGGTGAGGAGGCCCCAGCCTCAAGCTTCTCCCCACTATTGCTAAGCTTTGGATAGTTGGATTCTTGCTGATGAAAGGCTCAGGCTGAGCACAGAAGTTATCACACATGAGGTACCAGCTTGAGAATTTTCAGTAATTTATAGAAAATACTTACTGAGCATCTGCTATATGCCAGGCGCTGTGCCTAGAACTAGAAATATAAAATAAAGACCCTGCTGTCGTGGAGTTTACATTACTGGGAGGGGACAGACAGTAAACCAACAAATAAATACATAGGTAATGTTTTCCTCTTGTAGAGACCTAGGAGTGTTGGTATTTATGTGCCCAGTTTCCTATTTCTCTGGCCAAAGTCAACCATTAGTGACCCTCAGCAGAGTAGAACCATGAAATAGCTTTAAAGACAAAGGTAAACGTAAGTTTTATCAAAAGAATTATGGATAAAAGAAGTAATATAGCCGCTGAATTTATAAACTAAGAGGAAAACAAAGATTATTGGTGGCTCTAAAGCCCCTAGTGTGATTTTGAAGAGCCCAAGTAATTAGGAAAATCATCTTGCCTAAAGACAGATGGTGAACATAGAAAGGAGATCGTCCTTTTCCAGATGCTGCTCCTCTAAGTCAGTGGCCATGTTTTACATCTTTAGATGAGGCTGAAAAGTTAACATGGCACTCATATCCTTAGCTTCAGAGCAGAGAGAGAATCACAGTAAAGCAGGTGGCCCTGCCCCACCTCAGCCCGTTACCCAAACTCCATGCCTCAAACATGCATGTTTTCCAGATGAGGAGGAGGAGGAGGAGAACCTAGATGATCAGGATGAGCAAGGCAATCTGAAAGGCTTTATCAATGATGATGACGATGAAGATGAAGGGGAGGAGGATGAGGGTAGTGACTCTGGTGATTCAGAAGATGATGTTGGCCACAAGAAGAGAAAACGCAGTGAGTAGTCTCTCCTCAGTCAAGCGAGGCTGGGGTGGAAGTTGCAGTGGAGAAGGGGACTCCCCGTCACCATGCGTAACACTTTGTTTTCTCCAGCATCTTTTGATGACCGCCTGGAGGATGATGATTTTGACCTCATTGAGGAGAATTTGGGTGTCAAAGTCAAAAGAGGAGTAAGTGTCATTCTTTGTCTCTGTCCCTGGGATGAAGGAAAAAGGCCTTGAAATTCAGTGATTTCTGGGGGATGAGGCACCTCCAGAACAGTGTGGGAAGCATCAGTGAAGAGAAAGTTGCTCTGTGCCCTTGTGCTGTGGCAACTAGATTTGCATCCCAGTTCTGGGTACCTATTAGAGAAAGGCTTGTCAGAGTTTCAAGGGTGGGCCTTGGTGCTGAAAGAGCATCACGTAATGTGTTCTTTGCCATCCCCTTGGTCAGCAGAACTTTGGTGGGGAAATGGGAATGAGATTAGAAAGCAAGCATCCTTATGCCAGTCCCCTCAGACCCTGATGAGACAGGTTTTCCCACCCCTAGCAAAAATACCGACGTGTCAAAAAAATGTCAGATGACGAAGATGACGACGAGGAGGAATATGGCAAAGAGGAACATGAAAAAGAGGCAATTGCAGAGGAGATCTTCCAGGATGGGGAAGGGGAAGAAGGGCAGGAAGCCGTGGAGGCCCCCATGGCTCCTCCAGAGGAGGAGGAGGAAGATGATGAAGAATCAGGTATGTGGCATCAGGCTGGGAAGCCTGGGTTTGGGTGGGTGTTGGGATTGCTTAGCCCCTACGAGCAGGGTGGGAAACCATTCTTCAGCTACAGGCCCCCAGCATTTGACAGAAAGAAGTTCATTTGCAGGAGCCTCCCTACTCTTCTCCTCACTGGCCACTCACATAGGAACTAAAGCCATTCAGTCCTGGGTCATGCCCTGCCTCTGAGTACTAATCCCTTCCTTCCCTGCCCAGACATTGATGACTTCATTGTGGATGATGATGGACAGCCTCTGAAAAAACCTAAGTGGCGGAAAAAGCTTCCCGGATACACAGATGCGTGAGTGGGGTCTGGTACGGGGTGGTGATAAAGGCATCTGAGTAGACATAGTCAGGAAGGAGGATGTCAGAGGTTTCTGCCAAAAATGGGACGTCCCAGCTCTCAACGTTTTTGCTTCCCCACCTCAGATAACCTTTACTAGGCAGGAATGTCAGACTGCTCCAGAAGCCCTGAGAGCTCTCTGCATTATAGGGCCAGTGTGGGCTCAGGGTGGAGTCACACGTGTGTAGGCCTCCATCCAGCCTCCCTCTACACCTGCAGCTCCGTGTTTATTTATTTATATGTTGGTCTTCTAAGTATAATTTTGTTGCAGGAAAGCTTTTGCTCTAAGGGAAAACTGTAATGTCTTAGGAAAAGATGGATCTGCTGAGCAGAGTATGGACCTATCTGCCCTGTTGCTGTTTGATCCCTGACACTGGCACATACCAACCATGGGCTTTTTTTCTTCCAGAAATATCCCCCAACTAAGTCTTTATTCCACAGTAAATATGCTTTTTTCATTTACCTTTCTCTTAATCTTGTTTCCTTTGGGGCAAGTCAAGGACCTATGCATGGGCTGCATCTCTCTCCTCTCACCAGAACCTGGGCCAACTGCCTCTTGCTGTCACCCACAGGGCCCTGCAGGAAGCCCAGGAGATTTTTGGTGTGGACTTTGACTATGATGAGTTTGAGAAATACAATGAGTATGATGAAGAACTGGAGGAAGAGTATGAGTATGAGGATGATGAGGCTGAGGGTGAGATCCGAGTGCGCCCCAAGAAGACCACCAAGAAACGTGTGAGCCGCAGGAGCATCTTCGAGATGTATGAGCCCAGCGAGCTAGAAAGCAGCCACCTCACAGATCAAGACAATGAAATCCGAGCCACCGACCTGCCTGAGAGGTTCCAGGTAAGAAAGCTCCAGCTTCTGTAACTTCTGCCCATCTGTAATCACTGCCCTGAGCCTCCTTGCTCCAAGTGCTGTAGCAGAGGAACAGTCTAACAACAATCTGATATTGAATGGTATGTAGGAAGTTGGCTTTGAACCCCACCTGACCAGGGGGTGCAGGGAGTCCAGCTCTTAGAGAAGGCTCTTGTGCTGCTTATGGTTCTTGAAATGGCACTCTTTCTTTAGTAGATACATAAGGTATCTACTTCATGCCAGGACAACACTCTTCCAGGGTGCCGGAAATATGTGTCTGGGACACACGTTTCTCTCCTGAAGTGGTATGTGTTTCCCACAGGGGATACAGGATAAAGTCAGTCTCATTGTTGTCTTATCCCCCACAGCTCCGCTCCATCCCAGTTAAGGGGGCTGAAGATGATGAACTAGAAGAAGAAGCTGACTGGATCTACAGGAATGCCTTTGCCACACCAACCATTTCTCTGCAGGTATCCAAAAAAAGATCCTTCTGTTTGACATGAACTGGAAGCCACTTCATCAAGATGAAGACCTCCTCCTCCCATGCCCCAAACGTCTATGTGCCTAGTACAGGACAGTATGAGTGTGTGTATGTGTATGAGAGATTTTTCTGGATTTCATCTGACAAGGTTATCCTTTGACATGAAACAGTTTCACGCATGGTAAGACAAAACAAGTAACAGCATTGTTGCTGTTTCTTTTTTCTTCTGGCTCTAGGAAAGCTGTGATTATCTAGACCGAGGGCAGCCAACCAGCAGCTTCAGTCGAAAAGGGCCCAGCACAATTCAGAAGATTAAAGAAGCCCTGGGCTTCATGCGAAATCAACACTTTGAGGTAGCACCTCAAGCTCTCTAATGGCCCATTGGTTAGAAATTCAGCTGGGGGGGCGCACCTGGGTGGCTCAGTCAGTTGAGTGTCCAGCTCTTGATTTCGGCTCAGGTCCTGATCATGGGATCGAGCCCCACGTCAGGCTCTGCGCTGGGCATGGAACCTGCTTTAGATTGTCTCCATGTCCCTCTGCCCACCCTCACCCCCACCCCCCACTTGTGCGCATGCTCTCTCTCTCTCTCTCAAAAAAAATTCACCTGGGGGTGAGGGAAAGGGGAGCTACCTGTCAGGTGGGGAACCCCCTTCTGTTCTCAGATGTGGTCCGTTGGCTCAAGAGTGTGAGAACCAAAGGAGACGCTAGTGATCAGGAGAACGATGCTACCTATCTGCAGCATTGTTTTCCACTATGGGGGAGAGCACGTGCCCTTAAGGAGCCTGTGAGGGAGGTCAAGCTTCCGACTGTTGAATTTTCTGGTGCTATTTTACCCCTCTGGCAAAGGAGCTCCTTACAGATCTTTCCACTCTGGTTGACTGCAGTCTCCCTGCCATTCTAGGTGCCTTTTATTGCTTTCTACCGTAAGGAGTATGTGGAGCCTGAGTTGCACATCAATGACCTGTGGAGGGTGTGGCAGTGGGATGAAAAGGTAAGATGGATCCGTGCCCCGCTAAGAGGCTGAGGTGTGGATTGGGCACCACTACTACCGGAGCCCAAGCCTCCTATACATACCATGGCAGCCCAAACCTCCCCAGCCTGTCAAGCTCCCCGCCAGGGTCTCCTAGTAAGGAACAGAGCAGCCTCAGGTCTCCAAGGCCAAACACCAGCCCCTACTCCTGCCTTGTCTCCTCCTAGTGGACCCAACTGAGGATCCGCAAAGAGAACCTAACACGGCTATTTGAGAAGATGCAGGCTTATCAGTACGAGCAGATATCCGCTGACCCTGACAAACCCCTTGCTGATGGCATCCGGGCTCTGGATACCACCGACATGGAGAGGTGACGTGTGCAGGGTTTATTCCATTACAAGGAATAAACTCAGACCAAAGGCGGGCCCCCAGGGAGCAGCATAACCTACAAAATCCTCAGCACAGGGCCCGTCCCTTAGAAATCCAATTTGTTCCCACATCAAAAGTGATCTTTCTGGCAGGCAAAATCATCTTAGTTATCTATATTGATGTAAAATGTTAAAAGGATAAGACAGTCATGTTTGCCGATCTGAGAATTCCCTGCATGTAAAGTTACATGGGAAACCAAATTATAACCAGAAAGTGGCTTGATGAGTCTGCAATCAGTGTGGAGTGTGGGAGGGGAGCAGATGACTTCAGTGGCCAGTGTCACGAAGCTGGGGCGGGGGGGGGGGGCGGGGGGCGGACTTCTCAAGGACTCTGAACTTTGCTAGAGATATGATTCTTCAACTTCATCTCCATTTCTAACAACCACCGACCACCATTTGACATATTTCTTCTCTAAGATACCTTGGTTGCAAGTAACTCATGGTCTAGTGGTGCTGTATAGCTCTAATAATTGAAGAATACAGGCACCCATCCCAGTTGGGATCTTGCCTCATGGGAATTGGACCTCTTGTAGCAGAAATGGGTTTATATTCTTACTCAGTGGTAATTGAGGTCTTCTGTTCCTTTCCTCCAGGCTTAAGGATGTGCAGTCAATGGATGAGCTGAAAGATGTCTACAACCATTTCTTGCTTTATTATGGTCGTGATATCCCCAAGATGCAAAATGCTGCCAAGGCCAGCCGCAAGAAGCTGAAGCGTGTACGGGAGGAGGGAGATGAGGAAGGCGAGTGCTGGAAAAGAAAACCCAGGAGGCTTGATGGCCACGCCGTCCCCTAGGATGACCTGGGCTGAGTGCCCTTTGGGGCTTCTCTCTTACATGTGTCAGATCCTCGGGAATGACTGGAAACTGGAGCACTAACTCATGATTTCTTCCCAGGTGAGGGTGAAGAGGCAGAAGATGAGGAGCAGAGGGGCCCAGAGCTCAAACAGGCCTCCCGCCGAGATATGTACACCATCTGCCAGAGCGCTGGGCTAGGTATAAGCTAGTTGCTTTGTGTCCTGGGTTTTGTAGCCATGAGCAAGGGGAGTTCCCTGGTAGTCACTGGTGGGCAGGAAGAGGACTTGACATCTGAGAGGCCAAACACCAGCCCCCCTGCACCCACACCCACCCCACAGTAATGACCAGGCCTTTCCCTAACTTCCTAAAGGAATGGGAAGCTCACATGATCAGAGAGATGGAGTCCATCCTATCTCTGAGATGTTCTTTTAGTAAACTATAATTTCCACCTTAGTTCTGAGCCCAGGAGTCACAGAAAATTCTTGTTTCTCCTGCCTCATAACAGCCTGTCAGGTGCTTAAAGGCAGTTTTACTATTCCTTGTAAACTTCCTGGTCCTGCTTTTTCATGACCTTTTTAAAGTCTAGTGCCCAGAATTGCTGCTCTGGATTCAGAGAGCAAAGAAATTTGTCAGCCCAGCTGTTGTCTTACCTTTCACCCTCTTGTTTGCTTCAGATGGTCTGGCCAAAAAGTTTGGGCTTACTCCGGAGCAATTTGGGGAAAACCTCCGGGACAGCTATCAGCGGCACGAGACAGAGCAGTTCCCTGCAGAGCCTTTGGAGCTGGCCAAGGATTACGTTTGCAGGTAGGCGTACAGCAAGTGACTGGCAGGAGGAAGGGCCTGAGGGCCAGACACTGTCATCCTGCAGCTGCCCCATTTTCCCCACAGCCAGTTCCCTACGCCAGAAGCTGTGCTGGAAGGTGCCCGCTACATGGTAGCCCTGCAGATTGCCCGAGAGCCCCTTGTCCGACAGGTGCTGAGGCAGACCTTCCAGGAGAGAGCCAAGCTCAATATAACCCCCACCAAGAAAGGTAGAAAGGTGAGCTGGGTGAAGGGTTTTGATCCAAGACATAGCCCAGCTCTGTGTCAACTGAACTGAGTTTCTTGCTTTAGTGCACAGCTGAGCCATCTGCCTGTGAGCAGGGAGGCAGTCTTTTCTCCCAAGGTCAAGCCAGCTTATCTGAGCCTTCTCTAAGAGCTGGACTCCCTGCATCCCCTGGTCAGGGCATCAGTAGGCTGATAATTCCTCTTGATGTCTGCAGGATGTGGATGAGGCCCACTACGCTTATTCCTTCAAATACTTAAAGAACAAGCCTGTTAAGGAACTGAGAGATGACCAGTTCCTCAAGATATGCTTGGCTGAAGATGAAGGGCTACTCACCATTGACATCAGTATAGACATGAAGGGGGTAGAAGGGTAAGCAAAGCTCTGGGGTGGGGGCTCTTTGAGGAAGGGCTCGATGAGGGAGGGGTCCTTCAAGAATGTGAACCGCAGTTTTAGAGTTGAGCGAGTCATTGTCCCTGGCTCACTCAAGGTTTGTGGACATCTGAGTATCCCCTGTCCTCCATCCCCGACACTGCCGTGTTGTCTCTCCTCAGCTACGGCAATGACCAGACATATTTCGAAGAGATCAAACAGTTTTACTATCGAGATGAGTTCAGCCACCAGGTGCAGGAGTGGAACCGGCAGCGCACTATGGCCATCGAACGAGCTTTGCAGCAGTTCCTCTATGTGCAGATGGCCAAAGAACTCAAGAACAAGCTGCTGGCCGAAGCCAAAGAATATGTCATAAAGGTGAAGACAGAAACTCATGGTCTTTGGTCCTGTGATTTCCCCAAACTAGAGCTGAGAGTGCAGGAACTCCTTAATAGTAGTCTTCTAGCTAATGGAGAAACACTGAGGGGAGGGGGAGGGTAATCACAGGGAGCGCAAACAAGGCCATGGATCACTCCAAAACCTCCCCATTTGAACAGCCTCTTGGCTTGCCACCCCCAATCCAAACATTCTTTGTTTATATTACTGTTCTCTGCGTACTCCCCTGTTTCCAAAAGCAAGGTATGCCTTAGCACCATAAGCCCGCCAAGGGCTAGGAGCAAGTGCGCATGTCAGTACAACCTTGGCACATGCGCACCTGCATCTGTTTCCATGGCACACTTGGTGAGCCTCTCGGCCCTAGTGTCTGGTGTGTCTCCTCCTCAGGCCTGTAGTCGCAAACTCTACAACTGGTTGAGGGTTGCACCCTACCGGCCAGATCAACAGGTAGAGGAAGATGATGACTTTATGGATGAGAACCAAGGGAAGGGCATCCGCGTCCTAGGCATCGCTTTCTCCTCTGCCAGGTACCTGCTCGTTCGTGCCTGCCCAGCCTCACCCCTTCCCTGACTTCCTAATCTCATTCTTTTCTTAGTTATATTCTCTTATTTCTGATTGTTGCACTATTCTTTTCCGGTCTGGTTGTCAGAGATCACCCTGTGTTCTGCGCCCTGGTCAACGGCGAAGGAGAAGTGACAGACTTCCTTCGGCTGCCCCATTTTACCAAACGGCGAACTGCATGGAGAGAGGAAGAACGGGAAAAGAAGGCAAGTGGCTGGGACGGGGTAACCAAGTGTACACCTTAAGTACATTTTACAATTCCATGGGGATATATGTTTATGGTCTACGCAACGTCCCATGCAAGACCCTCGTTATCTCTACCTGGTTGCTGAACCCTGGAGTCCTGGGAGAAGCCTCACTTCCATAAGCAGTAGATGGCGCTCAAGTTGTGGTGCAGAATTTACTTCTGGCTGGAGGCCAAGTCCTAGGCCTTGTGTGCTTCTGGGAGTTGCCATTATGGCCTCAGTTCTTACCAGCATCTGGGTCATCCTGTTCCAGCAGCTGAAAGCCAGTGAGGCATTAAGCCAACCTTTTCCCAGCTTTAGCCTTTCAGTGTTTTTTTTCAAGGAAGGAGAAATTTGAATTCATCTCACTTATATGTTTCTGAATTTTTTTTAACCTAATGGTATCTTTCCATTTTGCCAAGAGAGGTGCATCCTAAAGTAATTTTTAACAACCTTTTTTTTTTAAGATTTTATTTATTTGAGAGAGCAAGAGAAATAGAGAAAGCATAAGCAGGGGGGAGAAGGAGAAGCAGGTAGGGAGCCCGACGTCAGGCTCAATTCCAGGACCCTGGGATCATGACCTGAGCGGAAGGCAGACGCTTAACCTACTGAGCCACCCAGGCACCCCATTAACAATCATTTTTTAAAAAGAAAACACTGAAATGAGATTAGAATAGTCCTGACAACCAAATAGTGGTTTATGTTAGCAAAACCCAAGTATGTTTGGATCAGTCAGAGGAGCATGGGACTCTTGATCTCAAGGTTGTTGAGATCAAGCCCCACGTTGAGTGTAAAGATAACTAAAAAGGAAGGAAAGGAAGAAAAGGAAGACCCAAGTGTGTTTTGTTTTGTTTTGTTTGTTTGTTTTTGTTTTGTTTTTTGGGTTTTTTTTTTTAAAGATTTTATTTATTTATTTGACAGAGACAGAGGTAGCGAGAGCAGGAACACAAGCAGCGGGAGGGGGAGAGGGAGAAGCAGGCTTCCCCCCGAGGAGGGAGCCCGATGTGGGACTCGATCCCAGGACCCTGGGATCATGACCTGAGCCGAAGGCAGACGCTTAACGACTGAGCCACCCAGGCGCCCCTGTTTTGTTTGTTTTTTAAAGATTTTATTTATTTATTTGAGAGAGAGAGCACATGAGAGGGGGGAGGGTCAGAGGGAGAAACAGACTCCCCGCTGAGCAGGGAGCCCGATGCCGGACTCGATCCTGGGACTCCAGGATCATGACCTGAGCCGAAGGCAGTCGCTTAACCAACTGAGCCACCCAGGCGCCCGACCCAAGTGTGTTTGACCACAACCAACTATGAGCCAGAAGAAGAGTAACTTTAGAAAATGTTAATGGATGTATGACATTCAAACCAGAGATCTTAGTTTCCTTGTTTTATGTTTCAGTTAGACAGTGTGTGTGCATCGTGTCTAACTTGGACCTTACCATTCTCTGGTCTTAAAAGGTCTTGGCGCTACTTAGGGAGAGAAAACTGTTAAAGATCTCCCTATCTTCAGAGCCATTTAGTTCCAGTTTTATTTCAATCCAGGCTCAAGACATTGAAACCCTAAAGAAATTTCTTCTGAACAAAAAGCCTCATGTGGTGACAGTTGCAGGAGAAAACAGGTAGGGGCACCAGGGGATCAGACTAAATTAACTGATCCCTTCTTATTGAATCTGGCATATGCCTCTAACAAAGCGGGCATATGCCTCTGTAGACCCTTGGTAAATTTCCCATCCCCGGGGGGGTAGTTCTTTGTTTTCAAAGCCCTTTCCCTACCACCCTACCCCCATCCCAGCCCTGAGTCTGTCTATTCCTGAGAAACAATTCAGAAAGAGCCCTGACCCAAAACCCCTCATCCCTCCAGGGACGCCCAGATGTTGATTGAAGATGTGAAGCGCATTGTGCATGAGCTGGACCAGGGCCAACAGCTGTCCTCTATTGGGGTGGAGCTGGTTGATAATGAGTTGGCCATTCTCTATATGAACAGCAAGAAATCGGAGGTAATGCTGGAGCCCCCATTCTTGGGACCTGAACAAGTAAGAGCTGTCAATCCCAGGGAAGTTTAATAGGGAAACGAGAGTGATCAAGGGCACAGGACTGCACTTATTCACTTACCCACGTGGGGGTGCTTCATTTTGCCAGTCATGGCTCAGATTGGGAGCCCTGCAGATTAAATTGGCCCCAGAGAAGACGAGAAAGTGACTTAAGGCTAGAACACTTTGGATTTCCTTTTGTTGTTCAGAGCTAATGGAACTTAATGGTCCTACTGGTCCTCATTTGACTCTAGGCAGAGTTCCGGGATTACCCTCCAGTGCTGAGACAAGCCGTCTCCCTGGCCCGGCGCATCCAGGACCCTCTGATTGAATTTGCCCAGGTGTGCAGCTCTGATGAAGACATCCTATGTCTCAAGTTTCATCCCTTGCAGGTGAGTAGAGTTTTGAGAGGCAAGCCTGGGCGGACAGAATGGCACAGGAACCTTACCCCTGCCTGCTCTGTGTCCACAGGAGCACGTGGTGAAAGAGGAGCTGCTCAACGCCTTGTACTGTGAATTTATCAACCGAGTCAATGAGGTTGGTGTCGATGTCAACCGTGCCATCGCCCACCCGTACAGCCAGGCCTTGATCCAGTATGTCTGTGGCCTGGGACCTCGAAAAGGGACCCATCTCCTCAAGGTAGGATGGGGTTGAATCAGAAAATTAAAGTTCCCATTTCACTGAGCCTTTACACTCTGCCAGCATGATTTGACAAAAGACCAAGGTCAGAGAGATAAAGGGGCTTGACCAGAGTCCAGCTCGTGAGAGTCCAAGTCAGACTTGAGACCCAGGTGGCCACAGCTGTGCTCTTCACTACTATACTATGGGAAAGATAGCCATAAACCAAGATTTTAAAATGGATGGAAGAAAGTGAGAAGAGTACCAGACACAAACCTCAGGATAATGGTTTATTACAGTGGGAAAAAAAGGGCTTTCAGTCAGGAGTTGGTGGGGGGAAGGGGTATGCAGGGAGCTTTAGAAGTATTAGTAATATTCTTTAAGATGAGTGATGGGTACTTGGGTATATATTTTATCATTAACTTTTTTTTTTTTTTTAAGATTTTTTGGGTTGGGGGGCGCCTGGGTGGCTCAGTTGGTTAAGTGACTGCCTTAGGCTCAGGTCATGATCCCGGGGTTCCAGGATGGAGTCCCATATCGGGCTCCCTGCTCAGTGGGGAGTCTGCTTCTCCCTCTGACCCTCCCCCCTCTCATGCTCTCTCTCTCTCTCACTCACTCATTCTCTCTCTCTCTCAAATAAATAAAATCTTTAAAAAAAAAAAGATTTTTTATTTTTTTAAGTAATACCTACACCCAACATGGGATTCGAACTCACAACCCCGAGATCAGGAGTCACGTGCTCTTCCAACTGAGCCAGCCAGGTGCCCCATTTTATTGTTAATTTTAAGCCATACATTAGTTATGTATTATTTTTGGCAGGTTAACTTAGTTCACTAAAATAATTTTTTTAAAGACAGACAGTATGGAATAGTGCCCAGTTAGATATTGAGGCATGGGGACAGAGTTTCCATCACGGAGGGTTTCCCAGGAACCTGAAAGCAGGCGGGGAGAGTGGGGCCTGCCTGCTGCTCTGGCTCACTCCACACCTCTCCCCTAGATCCTGAAGCAAAACAACACCAGGCTCGAGAGCCGGACCCAGCTGGTCACCATGTGCCACATGGGTCCCAAAGTCTTCATGAATTGTGCTGGCTTCCTCAAGATTGACACGGCCTCCCTGGGGGACAGGTGATGCCCTCTGCCTGGGTGGGCCAGGAGGAATTCCCTTGGGCTTTGCTTTGGGGATTCAGGGAATTAGGGCTGTCAAAGGGCCCGAGGTATTTGAATTAAATATTTTAAAGCAAAGGTGAGGAACCTTTATTAAGTCAAGAGCCTCTGACCTATGGAAAAGATCGGTTCAATTATGTGAAGTTTTTTTTGTGTGAGAAAAACCTAAAAAGAACCAACTTACTTTTTAAATTAAGGACAGGAAACATACAAGGCTTTGTTCAGTAAACACAAACATGTTCTGTTATGATCTGCCATGATTAGATAAGGGTGGGACTAGCAGGGGCAATGGAAAAGGAGTGTGGGGGTATGAGGAAATAAGGAAGGGGGAGAGAGATTCGGTATGTTTTGAGATGATGTTATTGAGAGAAAGTTCTATTCACTTGGACTTTGGACTTCACTATTGACCTCTTCCTCTCCAGAAGTTATCAACTCAGTCTTTGGAGGATCTTTTCCACGGGCACATAGCTCCTCATTCAGTAATGGAAATCAGTGGGGAAATAGGCTTCAAGTTCTAAAACTTCATTTTCCACCCAGCTTTGCTGTAACACTCCACGAATAACATAGGTCCATGTGAGTGCACGGGCGAGACCAGCCTGGGAAGGCTTTATGGGGGAAAATAGCTGCCAGCAAATTGTCAGAAGTCTTTTTCCCCCTTCTTGTTTTATCTTATTATAACACTTATTTAAGTTCGTGATATAAAATTCAATGTATAGCAGTATTATGCAGAAAGTGGAAGTCCCCCATAATCCCACCCCCCAGAGATAACTACCATAACAATTTGGTGTATACTACAACGTTCCTAAATTTTATTTTTGCTATGCATTTACTAACTACCCATTTACTACAAAAATGGGGTCATACGGTTCATAGTGTTTTGCAGTGCATTCTTCACGTATCAGTATATTGTGGTCATCTCTCCATGTCAGCACACATAGACCTACCTCATTATTTTTAATGGCTGTATAGTACTCCATTGTATGGAGGTACCCTAATTTATTTAACCAGTTCCCCATTGGTGGACATTTGGGTTGTTGCTAGAAGCTTCTCGTTCTATATCCTTGCCCCTTTTCTGCCTTTCCTTCAGCACTGACTCATACATTGAAGTTCTTGATGGTTCCCGAGTCCACCCTGAGACCTATGAGTGGGCCAGGAAGATGGCAGTGGATGCTCTCGAATATGATGAATCAGCTGAGGACGCCAACCCTGCAGGAGCCCTCGAAGAGATCTTGGAAAACCCAGAGCGACTCAAGGACCTGGACCTTGATGCCTTTGCAGAAGAACTGGAGAGGCAGGTGGGTGACAGTGTAGAGGCCTGGCACAGAAATCATCCCAAGTGCCCTGGTTGGGAGGAGACCTAGGCAGCAAGTCTCAAGAAAACCTCTGATATTGTTAACATGGGAAACTCGATTCTCTCTTCTCCCTCCCCAGGCTATACTGGGTTTTTCAAGTGTTCAGTCTACTTATTAAGGAGCCAAGGAAGTCTCAAACTGCTGTGGCTACTACAGGGGGGTTGGGGCAATAGTCAAGTTTCCTTCTAAGCCTTCTCTCCTCCTCTCCAATAGCACAGCTTTGCATGTGTCTATTTCACACATTAGGGTTTTCTGAGGCATTTTTATTCTAGAACATTGCATGATTAAGAGAAGGTTTGAAAATTTCCTGTCATAAATGTTGAAGGGGGAAAAAAAGAAGAGAAGCTCTGACAGGGGCCAACTGGCCTATTCCTTTCATTGAAAGCCCCTGTGGCTCCAGTTGGGGAATGGTTGCAAGGTTCTTTCTGATGGGCTTCTTCCGCAGGGCTACGGTGACAAACACATCACCCTGTACGACATCCGGGCGGAGCTGAGCTGCCGGTATAAGGACCTCCGTACAGCCTACCGCTCTCCCAACACAGAGGAAATCTTCAATATGTTAACCAAAGAAACACCAGAGACCTTCTACATTGGTAAATTCTGGGTCTAGTTTTCAGTTGGAGAAGGATATGTAAGGGTGGGGGGGTGCATTTACTATATACATTCAAACCAAGCCATGATTCCAACAGAATGAGGCAGGTCTGTAGGGGGAAAAAACCAGGGGAGCCTGTAAGAAGATTATAACTATAAAGCCCTGGACTAGGAGTCAAAACTGAGTCCAGGGTCAGACTGTGCCTTTAACCTGCTGCTGCAGGATCTTGAGGGAATCACTCATAGAGGCTTCCATGTTCTCCCGTCATCAAATCAGGGGAAGATTTGCCTTCTCAAGGATGTGAGGGAAATCTGTGGAGATGCTGTAAGACAGATGTTCTGTCACTAAAAAGTCAGTGGGAAGGAGTTACCCCTCCAGTTTTCTTAGCCTGTTCCCCATTCTTTTCTTTCCTTCCCTATCCTCGCCCTTTCCCGCAGGAAAGCTCATCATCTGCAACGTCACTGGCATTGCCCACAGGCGTCCCCAGGGTGAGAGCTATGACCAAGCAATCCGCAATGATGAGACAGGGCTCTGGCAGTGCCCCTTCTGTCAGCAAGACAATTTCCCTGAACTAAGTGAGGTACGTGCTGCCGTGTTACTGTGGTCACTGGAGTTCCTCGATTGAATGTTCTCTATGCCCTAGAAAGGAGTCAAGAATTGGGCTGTTTTAGGTGGTGCTCTTAACCAAACAAATAACACAAGAGAGGGAAGAGGACTAGAACACATACAGGTCTAATGTGAAGTCCCTTGGAATGCTGGTCCGAAATCTGTGTGCGTCCTTCTATTCTGGCTCAGCCTTTAATCCGAGTTTCTCATTCTCTGGGGATCTAACTCAACCAGATTGGAGAAACAAAGACGTGCATTTCTTACAGGGGAGGCACAGTGTCCCCGTACATGCTAGTTAGAAGGTATCTATAGGCTGTCTTGAATTTTTTCCATTTTCCACACACATTTTAATTTGTCCCACTTTCTTCTAGACATTATCTGCCTCTCTGATGGTCGGAAGTCATTAAAGCCACCCTGAACGCTTTTTCTGAGTCTTCAAATGTTATCAGGCAGTCTGTGAAAGAGATAATTTCTGAACTTTACCTAATAAAGGAAGCTGGTGGGATTTGTCCAGGTTATAAGAAAGCCAGGGGGCGCCTGGTTCACTGAAATGGGTTGTTCTGCGGAGACTGGCATGTATATTTCTTGTGTCTGAACAAAGTGGGAGAAGGGGCCTCAGTCGCAGCTAGAGAGATGTATAGATTCGATTTAACATGAAGGATAGCTCTGATGGCCAGTGGTGCCAGCCACTGACATCATTTATGAGTCAAGGAACATCAGGGATGTTCGGAATCTGTGTTGGTGGGTGGCTGAGTCATTGTGTTTTCAGACCACATTGCCAGGTGTTATGGTAAGAAATTGCAGTGCTCTGGCAGCTCTTTTTTGAACATGTGATCTCCAGAATCTTAATGACCAAGCTCCTCTCCTGATGTACTTTTCAGGTCTGGAACCACTTTGACAGCGGTTCATGCCCAGGCCAGGCCATTGGGGTCAAAACACGGCTAGACAATGGTGTCACCGGCTTCATCCCCACCAAGTTCCTCAGTGACAAAGTGGTAAAGCGGCCGGAGGAGCGAGTGAAGGTAGATGAACGACCGGGCTAAGGCATCTAGTGGGGCTTTCAGCCGCCCAAATTGGGTGCTCCGGAACTTTGGGCAGTGCCCCCCAAAAGTGAGGCTCTGTTCCCAGTGGCTGCTGGTAGGGAGAGAGTGTCAAGAGGATTTATAACTAATTGAAAGAAGCCAGGGTGAGAAGCATGTGAATGAGGAGCAGCTTTTGTTCACTGCCTTTGTGAGATTTCACTGGGTTGCCAGCCCTTCAGGGGAGGGCTCTCTCTTCCTGTGTGGGAAGCTGGGCTTTAGTCTGCAGGCAGGAAGCAGGGCCCAGCATTTCATGCTGTGAAACAGAAAGGGTAAGCTCTCTTTCTGTGCTAGTCTTCTCCTGCCAGCTGCCATCTATTATTGCACCCACTAGATACCAGCACTTGACATTTACGTCTGTTGTCTCCAATCTCACAACATGATGGGGAAGGAAATGGGACCTTCTTTTTCCAGAGAAATTTGAGTGTCTTTTCCAGGATCACCCAGTTAGTTGGTGACATGGCTGGTACCAGATCTGCCAAATGCTGTGGTTCTAAGTGTCATGAACCCCTGAGAACCATGGAGTTGGGAAGGTTGGGGAAAGATCTTCCTGAAAAAGGAAGCTAGGGAGAGTTTCGAAAGGAGAGCCATGCCGTGTGACTGGCTCGCGCCGCTGTTTCGAAGAAAGACACAAGTCAAGGGGAAAGCACAGAAAGCTCTTATATTGCCTCCCCTCCAAAAAGGGCAGCCAGACTTTGATTGCACCCCAGGAGCAGTAATTAGGTAACTTTATGGGAGAAGGGGAGAGTGCCAGTGGCAGGGTAGACACAGTCAGCCCCAGTTGGTTTTCCTGCCTAGAATGAGAGGCATCTGTGCAGGGCATGGCCCGTGTTCTGCAGACCAGACTCAGCACTGAGCTCCTGATCAGTCACTTGCTAGCTGGCTGGCTTTAGGCAAGTCACTGTCCCGTCTTTCTGCCTGGACTTTGGTTTTCTCACACGTAAAATGGGGCATCGGGCTAGATCATCTTTGTCCCTTCCAGCTCAAATGTTCTGTGGATCTAGGTGGGAATGACCGTTCACTGCCGCATCATGAAGATTGACATTGAGAAGTTTAGCGCCGACCTTACCTGCCGAACCTCAGACCTCATGGACAGGAACAACGAGTGGAAACTGCCCAAGGACACCTACTATGACTTTGATGCCGAAGCAGCAGACCACAAGCAGGAGGAGGACATGAAACGGAAGCAGCAGCGGACCAGTGAGTGTGGCCACCACCACACCTGTGCAGCCCAGGTCTCGGCAGCCCTCCCTCCACAGGATGCGCTTGCTGATGGCTGTGCCCCGGTGGGAGTGAGTGCTTAGCTCTGAGGTGCTGAAGCCCAGAGACATCATGGATGGAGTCAGTGGCAGGGCTGGAAGCCAGGGTCTTCTCGGGCCACACGTTCTTTGCTAATGCACTGTGACGTTTAAAGGCTCGTTTTCTGAGCACCTTAGGAGCCCAGGTTCACACATCCTTCACATCAGAGAATCCAGGTCGGTGAGGGTAAAGGAGTCTCAGAATTTGACAGGGGGTCAGAAATGAAGCCACGATTTGTCCCATGATTTTGGGCTCCCAGGCCCCTCACCTGATCTGTTGTTCTTTCCTGCCCTCCTCAGCATACATCAAACGAGTGATTGCACACCCATCCTTCCATAATATAAACTTCAAGCAAGCAGAAAAGATGATGGAGACCATGGACCAGGGTGACGTGATCATCCGCCCAAGTAGCAAGGGTGAAAATCACCTGACCGTGACCTGGAAGGTCAGCGATGGCATCTACCAACACGTGGATGTGCGGGAAGAAGGCAAGGAAAATGCCTTCAGCCTGGGAGCCACCCTGTGGATCAACAGTGAGGTGAGAGCCAGCTCCTGCCCACTTCCCATCCCCTGTCCTGCTTCCAGAAACAAGCCATTTCTGGCTACTTTCAGCTGACGTTAGTGACTTATGTGCGTTGTATGTATTTTAGCTGCACAGAGCAACAGAACAGGAGGTTGATTATGAGATGAGTCATTTGATAACAATTTTTATATATTTTGCTCCTTTTTCTGTGTCCTCTAAATTTTAAAATAGGCTACCTAGAGAGCGCCAGCGGAGGAAGAGGAGAAAATACACGTGCAGAAGCAAATGATCACGCACGCATACACACACGTGTTTCCCTTTTTTGTTTTCGGTAGAGAAAAATTTTACGAAGCTCCCTGTTGTTCCCAAGTAGCAGGGGAGAATCGAAGTTACAGTTTAAAGGATTTTGAGCCTTGTAAGCTGATAGATCTGGGCACAACTCAAACAGCTGGATCAATGGAGGGGACTTTGCAGTGGAGTGAGGCCACAGCAGGGCTGGGAAGTCCACGTCCTCCCATGGGTTCTCTTCTGAGTGGATTGGATGAAGGGCCAGGAGTCTCAGCTGGCAGTGTGACCCGTGGGGCCTTTACCATCTCCCCACAGGAATTTGAAGACTTGGATGAGATTGTTGCTCGCTATGTACAGCCCATGGCGTCCTTTGCCCGGGACCTCCTGAACCACAAGTATTATCAGGACTGCAGTGGTGGTGACCGTAAGGTGAGTCCAGGGCTCTTCAAGGCGTGACCTCTCCCGGTCACTTCAGTATGTCTGGTTTCCCTTCAGTGTAGGGGATGTTCTGGTGAAAGAGGTGTGCCTTGTGTGTGTACCAGACATTGTGTACCGAGCATGCTGCTATCCCAACCTCTCCCTCTCGTTCTACCCCCAGAAATTAGAAGAGCTGCTCATCAAAACTAAGAAGGAGAAGCCCACTTTCATCCCTTATTTCATCTGTGCCTGCAAGGAACTGCCCGGCAAGTTCCTACTGGGATACCAGCCCCGGGGTAAACCCAGGTGAGTACTGGTGCTGAGAAGGTGCTGCTGCTGGGGTCCGCAGATAGGCTAGCAGGGGAGTTAGCCCTGGAGCAGTCCTCTTGTCTGGTTCTGCCTGACTGTCTTTCCCCTCTTAACTTGTTTAGACCAGCAGTGGAGGTTGGAGTTGAGGATAGAGGGTGATGATTTAGAGGCAAAAGGGCAAAGATTCGGTAAGAAAGATACTTTCCTCAGCCCTGTGAGAGAAAGTTTCTTTCACCTCTTTTCTCTTCCAAGGAGTGATGGAAATGACCAGCCTCTCCCCACCTGACTGGCAGAGATGGGGGCCAGGACACAGGTCTCTCCTTTTCCCTCTCTGCTTTGCGCTGGCCAGGGCGGTGAGCACATGGCGGCTCATGGTCGCCGTAGTGTGCTAAAGAACTGCCTGCACTGAAGCGTTGGGTCAGAAGAGCTTCTCCTCCTCCTACCATTGACTCCCCTCTCCTTCCTTCTACATATTCCTTTGTCTGGGTCCCTTTAGAGCTCACTCTGAACCAAAGTCCCTTTTTCCTTTTTTCTTTTTTTGGATCTGCTTTCTTTTTGTCTATTACCCAGACTGATCATTCTACCAGCCTTCTCTGTGCCCTTGGCCAAGGCCAGTGCATTTCTGCTCTTGTCTGCCTATTATTGCCTGCACATGATAAACAGTATAGACTGTAGGTAGGGACTCAGTGGCTGGTGACAAGAAACTCTAGACTCTAGACCCTACACCATCTTGGGCACATGTGGAATATTGTTGTCGTTTCTGAGAAGCCATTTCTGACTCAGCTTCCAGAGGATGGCAGCCAAGGCTCTTGGCTGGACACTGTCCCATGAGAAACAGTTAAACAAATAAGGGACCTTTAAACAAAGGAGTAAAGGCACCATGATAACTTTCCATAGGAAGGCATGCAGACTCCTTGTGTTGCCAAACTAATGACACTTGAGTGTCATTAGATTTAGGAAGCAGGGTTCAACTTACATATAAATGAGAACTTGGTGCTTTTGTAATTGTCTGTTGGTAATTGACAGTTACCCTTAATCGAACAAAACCGTAATTTAGGCACCATGCTAAGTGCGTCCTGTGCACCGTCTCATTTATTCCTCACACGCAATTCTAAAGGTTTAAGGGTTGTTACTCTCATTTTCAAATGAAGCTGAGATTCGGGTTTAGTAACTTCACATAAAGTCATCTAGGTGGCAAGTGACAGAGCCCATCCTCACGTACTCCCTGCACCGCAGTGTTGAGTAAGGTCAGACTCCCCACCTAAACAGGGGTGCTTCCAGATTCCAGTTCATGGGGAATTGTGTTTGCTGCCCTGGGAGGCCCCTCCAACCCTGACACTGTGACCTCAGTCTTACCCTCACCTGCATGTGCTGCCATCATCCTGCAGCCCAGGATGGTGGCAGGATGGTGGGCCAGCCCCCTGCAGGCCATCCTCTGGCGACCTGTCCTAGCATACCAGGGGCTGCTGACTCCTGGCCTTGACCATGCTCACCTCCTCAGAGTGCGGCCTCCTTTGACAGAGTCGGGGCTCTTTCATCTCTCCTTTCCGCCCCAGCACCCAGCTTGGCTTCTTCACATGGTAGAGATCTGTTCTGACCCCTCTCTCAGGGCTGACCCCAAGTGGTGTCTGACGCATGTTTCCTTCCAAAATCCCAGGATAGAATATGTAACAGTGACTCCCGAAGGATTCCGGTACCGGGGCCAAATCTTCCCTACTGTGAATGGACTTTTCAGATGGTTTAAGGATCACTACCAGGATCCTGTCCCGGGTGAGTTCTGCGCTCTGGGGTGTGCTTAAAGGGACAGCTAGGCCCTGAATCCGGATGCTCACTTGCCACCTGTGGAAGGGGCGAGGCCTGAGCTGTCACCGCAGCTGCCTCACTCCTGCTCCAGCCTCCTGGCATCTACTTTGCCGACGCAGCTTCCCTTCTCTCCACCCACCTCAGACGTCCTCTAGCCCCCTACGTTGTGAAACCAGAAATAGGTTTCTGGAGGGACATAAGTAACTTTGGCCGTTTCCTACAGGCATCACCCCCAGTAGCAGCAGCAGGACCCGGACACCCGCTTCTATCAACGCCACCCCAGCCAACATCAACCTTGCAGGTGAGGAGCTCATGTCTGGGACTGGAGCTGGAGGGATGGCACCAGAAGGACTTTGACCTCTGATGTGCCCATCCCCCACCTCTGTGTGCTTACAGATCTGACACGAGCTGTGAATGCCCTGCCCCAGAACATGACCTCACAGATGTTCAGTGCCATTGCAGCCGTGACAGGCCAAGGACAGAACCCTAACGCCACCCCAGCCCAGTGGGCCTCCAGCCAGTATGGCTATGGCGGCAGCGGAGGGGGCAGCAGCGCTTACCACGTACGTGGCTTGGAGACGAGGCTCCCTGCAGGGGATGGAGAAGACTGAACGGGAATGATCATCCATTCCCGACCCTCCTTTACTGACCCGTGTCCATAGACTGGCCTCTGGCCGTGCCCACCACAGGGGGCTTCAGACATACAGATGGGGTCGCCACAGCCGTAGGAACTGTCTGCAACCCACAGTCCTTTGCCCTAGGCCCACGTGAGGGTAAAGGGAGTAAGGTCTGATTTTTCCATGGTCTTTTGGGATCTTTGGAACCCTCAAGTGGCCAGGACTGAGGGTTGTTGTGCCAGGTCCCATCCTGCTGGCCTCTCTCTGCTGCTTGGGACCACATACTGCTCAAGAGATGTTGGTCAGTTAGAAAGCTCTGGGCCGAGCCCCAGCTTTCAGCTTGCCGGAAGTTCGTAGCAAGTCCGAATAAGCCCCAAGCCCTTCCCCATTTGACCGTTCTCCTTTCTCCAGGTGTTCCCAACGCCAGCCCAGCAGCCAGTGGCCACACCGCTCATGACCCCCAGCTACTCGTACACAACCCCCAGCCAGCCCATCACCACACCACAGTACCACCAGCTCCAGGCCAGCACCACCCCCCAGGCGGCCCAGGCCCAGCCCCAGCCCTCTTCCAGCTCTCGGCAACGGCAGCAGCAGCCAAAGTAAGTATGTGGTCCGTGGCACAGGGCAGGCTACTAGGGGCAGGTGTCGCCAGCCTCCAGCGGGCTCGGCGTAGGCAGGGGCTTTGGACCTCGTGAGAGCTGTGACCCAGGCGATAGCTCTGGATGACTGCTTTCTGGGAGAAGCCAGAAGAGGGCCACGGGGCAGCCGGCAACGGCTGCTTTCTGTAAGGACAGGTGAGGGAAGGCTTCCTTCTAGCAAGCTCCCGGAGGGTCCTGATCTCAGAGACCCCTTCTTCCCGTTTCCAGGTCCAGCAGCCACGCCGCCATCGACTGGGGGAAGATGGCAGAGCAGTGGCTCCAGGAGAAGGAAGCCGAGCGGCGGAAACAGAAGCAGCGGCTGACACCCCGGCCCTCCCCCAGCCCTATGATCGAAAGCACCCCCATGTCCATTGCCGGCGATGCCACCCCGCTCCTGGATGAGATGGATCGGTAGGGGGCCCGCTCCTAGGACTCTGGTTACCTCTGAGGCTGGGAGAGGCCCAGCCGCCCACTGCCTCACTCCCTGCCCCTCTTTTTCTGTCCATAAAGTGGTGTGAGTTGACATTCTCTTTGGTGGTCAGCCTGGATGGGTGACAAGCTGGACGGCCTTGCGAATTTGAGCTCAGTGTACGCTAGGCGACAATTCTCCCACTCCAGGCCCTCACCGACCACCTGTCCCGGGACCAGGCTGGGAGGGGAGTGTGGCGGGGAGGAAGAAGAGGAAGACGAGAATGAGAGTGGAACAGTTTTGTATTCTGCTCCCTACAAGCCATTTTGAGCTTCTGCCCTCACCTGACTCTGGGCTGTGACCCTGGGGCACCAAGCTCAGCACATGAGTTTCCCCCAGCTCTTGAGGGGAGAGGAATGCTATTTATTCAGTTTGGGGCAGGAGGGAGAGGAGGGAAAGTATTTCTGACCCTGATGCCGACAGCTTGGGTGGCTAGCAAAGCAGAATTGCAGGGGACCTGGGGGAGCAGTGCTAACCTGCCCCGTGCCCGCCTGGCCGCCTTCACCCACCTGCTGCTGCCTCCGCTTCCTGCCTGTCATTTGAATAAACAGTGTTTCTACAGAGCACTTGGCAAAGCCTTTCTCTCCAACACTCCGGCTCTTGAAGGGTGGCTTTCAAAGCAGTGTGTGGAGCTCTGGGGGCTCCCCCTGACTCCTTCCAGGCCATCAGAGAGACAGTGACTCTGAACAGCAAGCGGCTTCTGTATCTGACTGCCTGGGGTCACGTACCTGCTCCACTCCCCAGCCCTGTGCCTGTTGTCTCTGTAAAATGGAGTGATCGATACCTGCCTCGTCCGGGCAGCTGCCAGGACTGAGAGAGGACGTGTGCGCGCTCAGCCCAGGGCCTAGGACCTCGTGAGGCCCCAGGACCCGTTAGGTGCTGTTACTACACTTGCACACAGCCCACCATCTGCGCCCGCTCGCTTCCTCTGGCACAGTGAAGAGGGGCTGCGCGTAACTTCCGGTTTCTCGAGCCCCTGCACCTCTTCCCCGGCTCTTTTTGCCAGCTGGGCCTTGGTCTGTGATAGTAGAGCGCCTCTACACAAGCACGGCTGCCCCAGGATGGGCCCCATGCTCGCCTGCTCCCACACACGCCCTGGAAAAGGAAGTGCCGGGCTGTGGCAGGGGAGGCCAGTCCCCCCTCTTACCAGCTTGGTCCAGCCAGCCCCCTGGCCCTGGCCCCTTCCCCCAGCCTGACTGCCTCGTTGTGTTCTAGACTCCTGGTATGCCGTGTTTCTTCAGAAGGGCTTCGCCTCACAGCTTTGCAAGTTGGTGCTGGGAAAGTGAGGCTTTCCCTCTCCCTTTCCTCTGCTTGGGGCTCAGCAGAGAAATCAGGAAAGGTCACTACTGCCCAAACTTGATGAGCCTCCCATCTGGACTTCATCCCGTCATTCAAGATCTCTTTGGCTGTTGACAAGAGTTGGGAGGGAAAGGCTGCTCTTCTGCCAGGAACTCGTTTCCATTCCCTTCAGCACAGAGGTCTGGAAGGGCCTAGCAGGAGTGGGGACACACCAGCTGGGAAGATCATGTTCCCTTCGGTGCCACCAGCATCTTCCTGAAGGCCACTTAGAGGAGGGAGAGGCCAGGCACAGTGGCACAGAGTGGGTTAAAAGGTTCAATTTATTAGGGGTGTCACTGCAGACAGCACTGCCTGTCCCTGAGCGGATTGCACACAGACCAGTCTCCCAGGAGACGGGCAGCCTCCTTCCCACCCCCCCCAGATGTGCTCCTCTCCTGCCCCGAGCCTAGGATGTTACAGAGAAGCAGGCCGTGTCCCCCACTGTCCTCCCTCCTACGTTCCCATGGACTCCCTCCTGAAAGACAGATTACCCTTCAGAAACCCCTGCAGCCCCCTGGCCCCTTGGCTCCAGCTATGCCCAGAGCCCACCCCCAGCCCCAGGGACAGGTTGGAGGGAGAGAGAACAGCAGCAGGGGGTCAGCTACAGGCTTGACGCATTTATTCTTCACCGTGGACGCCCTGGCCTCAACTGAGATTGGGGTTTGATCCTGGGGGAGATTTCCTCTTGACCTTGACTGGTGAGGTCTTGGCCCCAGGTTTCTTAGTCTGGACCGTGTTCTTCTTTCTCTTCCTGGGTGACGAAGACTCCACAATATCCTCGCTGGAGGGCTCCTCCCGCCTGGGGTCATTGTAACTGTCCTCACTCTCCAGGTCTTCCCGGCTGTCTGGGCTGGACTCGGACATCCTGGTCAACTCTCTCGGGCTTACTGATCGGCTCAAGTCTGGAGGTGAAGATTCCAATTTCACCGGGCTTTTCTTCTTAATCAACTTGCCCTTCTTGACTTTTTTCTTCGGCTTTACCTTCTCATCCGTCTCCTCTTCCTTGTCTTTCTCTTTTTCTTTTTTCTTCTTCACCTTCTTGATCACCTTGTTGCCTTGGGACTTTCCCGTGGGGCTCTCGGAGCGCCAGATCGTGATGGGAGCTGCTGAGTCCAGGGTACCTGTGACTGCGCCCAGGCCTGTGTCAGCGGGTGCAGGGGTGGCGGGCCCTACTTGGGTCGGGATGGGAGGCTTGCTTTCCTCCTCCTCCTCCTCCTCCTCCTCCTCCTCCTCCTCCTCCTCTTCATTCAGGTCGTCTGCCACATAGTCATGGTGGACTGGATGGTGGATCACTGCCACAGAGACAGGCCTATAGCTTTTGCACCTGGGAGGGAGGGGGACAGGGAGAGAGAGGATTGACAGAGAGTGGGGGGGCCGGTGCCCCTTAGTGCCGCCCCTGTCAGCCTGCCAGCACTCACCAGCCATACCAGAACCGCTCCACACACTCTTCCTCTGGGATGAGCTCAAAGCAAGGGGACTGGATGATGTTGAAACATGTTGAGCCCTCCTCTCGGGAGCAGGTTGGGCCCACATCTCGGGAGTTGTCGCTATTTGTCTTCTCTGAGCAGTCCTTCAGCCTGCCACACAGAGGACTCAGCCTGGCTTCCATGCCTCCGTGACTCCCCCCGGGACCCAGAGCGAGAAGCCTGGGGGACAGCTGGCCTCTGCTGGACTCAGCCCAGGCTGCCAAAAGACCTCCTCCCCATGGCTCTGGAGCAGAGCCAGGTTTACAAAGCTGGGGCCGGGCTAGCAGTGCCAGGTCAAAGCTGAAGGGGGAACCACAGGGAAATTGTGGGCCTAGCTCTGCCCAGCAGTCTCTTCTGGGCTGCGGGTCTCCCAAGAAGGAGGGCCCTTACCTAGAATCACAGTCACAGTGGCTGGCGGAGTGCAGGTGCAGGTTGTGGTGGCCATAGTCTGAGGTGAAGGGGTGGATGATGTGCCCAGTGCACTGCTTGTGTTTCCAGCAGCACCTGTCCGGGTCCTTGAATTCACCTGGGGTGGCGACAGTGGCACACCTCTGGGTCTCCCCTCCCATAGCTCAATCTAAAGGCTTCGCCAGATTCAGCTGCTGCCACCCACCCTCCCCTTCCCCGGCAGCTTTCTACTTCAGAGTGGTAACCACCTCGTAGGAACCCAGTACTCCCCTTTCCCCTCAGGTCCCCTGCACAAATCCTCCCCCACAGACTCCGAGGAAAATGTCTCAGCGAGTCCCCTTTGCTGCCCCATGACACCTGCCTCTTCCACTCCCCGCCTCCTGCTGAACCTGCTGGAGCCCTCCACAGGCTGCCCAGGGAGGCGAAGGCCCTCCGGCCAAGCAGACCGTGGAACCATGTGGCCGACAGGAGCACCAGTTCAGAAGTCCCCCGCCCCCCCTGCACAGGCCAGGAGGCCCACTCCCTACCACTCAGCCTCAGGGTCACTCCGGCCCCAAGCCCTGCTGTGGCCTGGAGGGGAGATAAGGTCAGGCCCCTCAGCTTCTCCACCTGACTCTGGCGCTTGCTTTCCCCTCCTCGTCTCCAAGATCCGCCTCCCTTCTGACACCTTCCTCCCTTTCTCACTTCTCTCCCATTACCCATGCTCACACTTTGCTCCATGCTCATCAAGGCCCCGTTGCCCATCCCATCTCCTTAGGGCCACAGACTTGAAGGACCCGCCCCCACCCCGAGCCTGGCCACCGGTTGGAGGCAGCACAGGTACCCTGGACACAGCGAAGCCGCTGGGGTGAGGATTTGGCATTTGGGGAAAGCCCTGAAGAAAGGCTCCACCTCTTTTGCTCAGGCCAACACCAGCCCTCTCCCATCCTCTACCCCTACCGCCTCCCCTCTGACCCTGCCCAAGGCTCCAGTCTACCAACGGCTCTCCCTCAGGCTGCCATCTAAAAGGTGAGCCTGTGAAGTGACTCTGTGCCCAAGCTCTCACGTACCAGGACAGAGAGAACAAGGTGCCTTCTTGCAGGTCCCCCCTTGGACTCCAGCTCCACCCACCCCTGCAGGAAGAAGTGAGCTGGCACTGGTGAGTTCCAGCCTGGTATGGGGCGCTACGGTGGCCTTATCCCTCCAGACAGGCAGGGAGAACTGAGCCTTTACCCAGCCTCTACAATGGTGGACCTGGGACAAGGCCTCACACTGGCCACGCCCCAGGAGGTAACTCAGGCTGGGGGTGTGTTAGTCCAATGGCCTTGAAAGTGCTTGAGAGATGAGGGGACAGCAGCTTCCTCCCTTCCCCCCACCAGGCCGTGAGGGCCCCGGGTCCCCCATCCACCCCTGACCCACTTGGTGGCCTCCCTTTCTGCTTCTCTGCCCATGCCCCCTTTCCATCCTGGGGGAATAAGGCATGTGAGGCCGGACCTTGGGTCACCACCACCACCACCTTCTTCAGCACTGCTGAACTGGGGACAAGGGGCAGCAGAGTGACAAGTGCCCTGTACTTGACATCAGACCGGCCTGAGTACAAGTCTTGGCTCTGTCACTTACTAGCTGGGCATCCCAGGGCAAGTTACTTCTCTGCGCCTTCATTTCCTTATCCATAAAGTGGGGATGGCGGTAATATATATTTTGCAGGATTGTTGAGAGGGCTCAGTTCATATACGTCAAAGAAGTCTGTGCACATAAAGTGCTAGGCCAAAGATAAGGGTGATTATGGCCTCGGGGAATGGGGAATGGGCCCTCCCAGCCTGGGCCTGGCAGGAGTAGGGGATGGGCTGGGGCTGGGGCAGCTGGATAACCTGTTCAGGACCAAACACTTCCCTCCCTCCTGCCTGCCACCAAGTGTCAAGTTTTCCCAAGTGAGGGGGGTGGGGAACCCTGGACCCACCTTCAGAGGAGAAGGTAGATGCATTGGTGCTAGATGGCACACCAGCCAGCCGATGTCCTCTCTCCCAGCCGGGTAACCTGTTTACATCTGAGAGAGTATAGAGTGGCGGCGGCGGCAGCCCCCTCCCCATGCCATCCATGCCTCAAACATTCCCTGACAAGCTCCGCCCTCGCCCTGGAGATGCGGGGAAATTAAAAAAAAAAAAAAAAAAACCCAACAGCCCCTGTTCTCAGGGAGAGGAGAGGGACACAGAGGATGAACAGTTCAGGGTGGCGGCATGATGCAGACACTGATGGGAAGGGAGGTGGGAGGAAGGCCTGTGGGAGCAGAGAACAAGAGAGGCAGGGCTGGGGGTGGGGGGTGATGAGGAAGACTTCCTGGAAGAAGCATAACAGGAGCGGAGTCTGGAGTAACAAATGGGAGTGAGCCAGAGCCTAGGCAAGGAGGGACAATTCCAGGAATTTCCAGGGTGTGTGGAGGCTGGTCAGACAGTGTCCCTCGGCTGGGGCCACAGCTCCATCAGCAACCAAGGCAGAATCTGCCACTTGCCTTGCTTTCCCCCAATTAGCTTTGTCCTTTGAGGCATCAGAGCTGAGTCCTGCTCCTTGAGCTGATTGCTTGGGGGACTTTAGCAGGGCCTTCAGTGGCACTTGGTCATCTTTCTACAGGTCCCTGGTCAGCTCCTTCTATTTTCCACAGTTCAGTAAGTACCCAAAATGTATTGAATGAATGAATGAATGAATGAATGAATGAATGAATGAATGAATGAATGAAACTTGCAGCACCTTCCTGGAAGTTCCTGCCCTGCTGCTGTTCCTCTCAGCTCATTGCACCAGCATTACCTGAGGCTGCTCCCACCCTCATCAACTCTCCTCCAGCCTGGGGAAGTACCCCTCCACCTTCCTCCTGCCCAAAGCACCTAATTCTAGGTCTCAGCCAGAATTTTTACCTCTTCACTGTTTTTGTTTTTTTCCTACAGGCAATGAATATCTTTAAACAAAACACTCTATAAACCCCATTTCTCCCTCTACCACTGCATATCCCACCTCTCTTCCTTTTCAATCCAGATTTATTCATGCCTTCATTTAACAGACATATTAGCTTCACTAGGCACCAGTGAAGGAGGCCCAGTCCCTATCTTCAGAGAATTCAGAGTCTCCACCTCTCTTCTAGGCCAGCCACATACAACATGGCAGCTACTGGGCCCTTCTATCAAAAAAGCCCAGGCATAGGCCACCAATGATTTCCTTTTTTTTTTCTTTTCTTTTTTTTAATGATTTTTTTAAGATTTTACTTATTTTTTTAAAGTAATCTCTATGTCCAACGTGGGGCTCGAACTCACAACCCCGAGATCATGTTCTATTGACTGAGCCAGCCAGGTGCCCCCCCACCAATTTCCTAATAGCTAAACCCAGTGGCCTTCTTTTTGTCTCATCTCACCTGACACTGTTGACCAATCAATCTCTTTTCTCCTGCAAACTGTTCTTCTGACTCCCATGACAGGCCTCTCTCATCTCATCTGCCTTCCTTCTCTGACTAGCTGTTTAGTTCTTTCCTGACTTCTTTGCGGTTTCCTTTTCCTCTGCTGTACCCCTAAAATTGGTGATTACCAGGGTTCTGTGTTTGGCCTCCTTCTCAAAGACTCTACAGCCTTCTCTTGGATAATGTCATCCACTTACATGGTTTCAACATCCACCAAAAAAATGACAAAAATCAGGGTCTCCAATCCAGACTGCTTTCCTGAGCACCGTCAATATCCTCTTGGACTTTCCCAAAACATCTTAGACCAGCATGTCCCACACAAGCCTATCATCCTCTCCTCACCCTCCATAAACCATCTCCTCTTGTCTCTTCCATTTCAGAGAGGAACACACACCTCACCTAGATATCTAGGGATCATTCTTTCCTTCACCTCTACACCAACTTGATGACCAAGTCTTGCCATGTCTACCTGCCCCCCACATCTGCCTCTCTCTTGGTTCGGACCTCCATTATCCCTAAGACTGCTGCAGGAGCCTCCTACCTGGCCTCTCTGCCTTCTGTTTCACTACCCTCATGCAGTCTTCACAATGCAGCCAAACTGAGTTTTCTAGAATACCAAGTGGTCTTCCACGTTCCTCCTGTTCAATAGCCATCCACTGCCTTCAGGATGAAGTGAAACTCCTTATCATGATATAACTGGCCCCCCAGAACCCAGGCCCTGGTTCCTTCCTCAGTTATAAGTTTCTCCCACGCATTCATCCTTCTTCCCACCTCTCGCTTCTCCATTCCTTCTCTCCTGCCTCTCCCTCCCCAGAAATAACTGTTCATCTTGGAAAGAACAATGCTATCTACCCAAGTAGAATTGATCACACATGTCTTGTGCCCCTCTACCCTGCTGTGGTACTTCATGCACTTACTCTATGGCAACATGTGACCAAGGCCCATATTTTATCTGCCTCTGTATCTGCAAGTCCTGGGACATGAAAAGTGCCCAGTAAATGTTGGTTGATTGAACGACTACATGAGTAGAATAAAACAAACCCTCTACTGGCACAACAAAGAAGCTATAGCGTTAGAGATTCTGCCCAGGGTTCAAAGCAGAAGACTTTTCTAGAAGAAGAAAATTGACCCAGGATGAGCATCTTCCCAACATTAGGCACTGTGCTGGGCTTTTAAAATATGCCTTTGATTCGAAATCCTCACCACAATCCATTCTAATTGATGGGGACTCAGAGACTCAGGATAAAAAACCTGTCCAAAGACACAAGTTAATGGGGCACCTGGGTGGCTCAGTCATTAAGTGTCTGCCTTTGGCTCAGGTCATGATCCCAGGGTCCTGGGATCGAGTCCCACATCGGGCTCCCTCCTCGGGGGGAGGCCTGCTTCTCCCTCTCCCTCTCCCACTCCCGCTGCTTGTGTTCCTGCTCTCGCTATCTCTGTCTCTGTCAAATAAATAAATAAAATCTTAAAAAAAAAAAAGAAACAAAGACACAAGTTAATAGATGGTAGAGGTGGGAGTCAAACCCAATCTTCCTGGCTCTGTATGAGCTGTTCCTGTGCTCTTTCAGCCCTATCTACTTGGGGTTCCTATCCAAAACCCAACCTGCTGTCACTTCCCTACTGCACCTGCTTTTCAGCTCCAACACAGCCAATTCTTCATCCTCTGGTTTGACTCAATCCTGACTTCACAATCTCCCAGATCCAGCCTGGACCCTGAGGGCCAGGATTCAAACTCTACTTTATCTGACTCCACTGTTCTTGCTCTCTCCGGAGTTACTGTGAACGCGGCTTGTAGACAGAGTCCGCTGATTAACTCCTCCCCAACCCCCAAGAAGCCCTAACAATCGTACTCTGTTTGCCAAGGGGTGGGGTTTAGTAACTCTCCTCAGATCTGAGGCAGGCAATCTGCTCTCTAGTTTCACAGGCAGGAGAGCTCCTACTGGAAGAGCAGTGCAGCGCTCCTGCAGCCGAAGTAATTGTGTCCGGACACAGGCGGACTTCATAATGAAATGAGAGTGACAGCTCGAAAGGAAGAGGGAGGCTGGTGGTCTTTTTCTTGGAGGGGCATTTAACCAGGCGCAGGGGCCTAACTCAAAACTCACAGGTGATGCTCATTTGTACAGAATCCTCCCAGTCCTGCGGGCTGAGGAGCTCCCCCCGCCCTTGTGGCACAGGTGGCGGGCTTCCAGGTTGGGCACCAAAGCAGATGAATGGGGGAGGAAGGGAGGGGAAAGGGAGAAAGGAAGGGAAGTAGGGAGAAGGAAGGAGCTAGGCAGTGCGGTGTGCACGCGTCTCCTGGGAAATGCCGCTCTCGCCCCGCCCACACATGGCGGTGATTGTGATGTCACGCGTGGAACCTCCAGACTCCTTCCTCCCCTCAGAGTCAGTGGAGCCGCCCTCCGCAGCCTAGCGACTGGGTGGGTGCTGGACCAGGCGCTCCAGCCAGGCCCCGCGTTTCTTAGGCGGCGGTCGGGGCTCCGGAGGCAACACGGCAACGCCTTCCAGCCCTACAAACTAGGGGTTGGCGGCTCCGGCTCCAGCCGGACTGGCTCAGCCGAACACGCAGGCACCCTGCAGGGCCTCAGTCCTCAATCATTGGTCCACGGCTCGGCGTGAGCCCGCCCCCAGGCCCTAACTCCGCCCCAGTCCAGCCCCTGGCCCCGCCTCTCTCGCCTGGCTCTCCCCAGTTCTAAACCCTCCTTGGGTGCCACGCCCCCAGATCGAAACCCACCCCCAAACTCCTGCCCCGCCCCCTCTTTACCAGTGCTGCTCTCATCCCAGATGCTGGCATTGTCCTCAGTCTTTTCCTTAGTCCACCTTTCAATCCTCAGTGTCGTCCTGACCCACATCGCTCTCAACCCAGTTCTCGTCTCTACAAGACTCTTCCTCGCAGAAGTCCAATCCTGAACCTCAGCTTGGTCGAGCCAACCATAAACCCCAATCTCAGCTTCGCCGCAATCCAGCCTTTAACTCCGCCTCATGTTTGCCCAATCCCTCCCTCCACCTTCCCCTGGCTCTGCGTTGTCTTAGCCCAAATCTAAGCTTCAGCCGCGCTCTTCATCCGGGGCCTCCCAGCTCCTTCCAGGCCCCTCTTTGTCCCACCTTTAACCTTAGTACCACCTCTTTATTTCAGGCCTAAACCTTAGCTCGGCCGCTCAGGCCCAGCCCTCAGTCCCATCCCTAGTTCCTCTCCAGACCGACTCCCAGCTCTTAGTCCTACCCCCAGACTTTAGCCCCGCCCCTACCCCGTTCTTAGCCCCGCCCCAGCCATTCTCTCAACTTCAAGCTTCCGCCGCAATCCAGCCCCTCCCAAGCCTTCGGAACCCAGCCGCGGCCCTGGAGCCCCGCCCGCCTCCCCGCAGGCACCCCGGCTTCTTCGAGCTCTCTCTCGCTCTGGAGCAGGGCCGTCTCTGGCTCGCTCGCGTTCGCGCGCGTTCTCTCCTTCTGCCCTCAGGCCCCTCCACAGGAGCCCAAGGCCCAGTTCTCAAGATGAGGACTTGGTGTCGGTTCCCAGCCCCTCGTGGCGCCCACCCCCAAGGCCCTCTCCCCGCGTTCCCTCCTAGCCCCCGCAGGCGCCCTGTCCCGGAGACAATACTGCCCAATAAAGATGGCAACATAGAGCCAGGGTCTCGGTTACTGTTCCCCCAGTAATTAAAATAATTAAGGTTTCTGAGCTCTTCTTATGTATGTTAGTGCTCTATCTTATTTCGTTCACGCAACCGCACGTGTCTCCATAGGCTTGCCTGTGACGGGGAGCAGGGCCCCGGCATTCATAGTAACGTACTACACACACCCTTCAAACCCTTAAATATAGCATTTTACAGATGAGAAAACTGAGGCACAGAGAAGTTATTTGCCTGGGAGTCTGAGAGCTCTTTCCTTTAGTTCCTTATCCCCAATTGTGTCCTCCTATTTAGTGCTTATTCCCAAACTGCACATGCATCGATCACACACGTTGCATACATAAAAAAATCTCACACATGGACTACTGCAATATGGACACATGAACATGCCCCTTACAGATATCACCCAGAAAACCAAACCACACCCCTGATCCCCACACCCAGTGCAGCACAAACATTCCACAGCAGCTCTGTGGTGCAGGTTTCTCTCTCTCTCTCTCTCTCTCACACACACACACACACACACACACACACACACTGAGTTACAGGCTCTGTGCAAGAAGAGGGGTGAGGAGCACAGTCCTGTAAGGGAAGAGACATGGAAAAAACAATCCCAGGGAGTGTGAAAAAGTGTTAGAACCATACCACCCACCCTCCACACATCACTCCCCTCAAATCCTCTTGGCACCAGGCTCCTAAGCCAGGATATGCTTCAACAGATGGAAAAAAGGGGAAAGGATGATGTTTAAACTGTTTTCTCCAGTCATCCAGGGCCTCTCCTGCAGCTGCTGCTGTCTGCATGGTCCCAGCCTTTACCTTCCTCCAGGCCCAGGAGGCTGAGCAGACAGGGCCACTACCCAGGTGTCCCTTCTCACCTTAGCTCCAGACAACTCCAGGAACAGCAGGAAAGTTGAAGCCAGGAGAGAGGAGTATGCAGAAAAGCCAGCCCTTCCAGGACAGAGTGGCTGGGTGAGAATGGTACCAGGCACGTGGACAGGGCACTTGCGGATTGGGAGCCCGGGTCTGTGTTCTACTTGACCCGCCGGAGGCAACATGGCAGGATGACCTCTGAGGATGACACCTCAGAGGCCTCTCAGGATGACGCCTGAGGCCACAGGTGTCCCACCATTGTTGGCCCAGATGTCTAAGATACTTCCAGCCAATCTGACTCTGGATCAGATGTCGACAGGGAGCCAGGTTTTTCGCCACTCTTCCCTCTAATCAGTTATAATAGTTAAGGGTTTTTGTGGGTTTTTTTTTTTTAAGATTTTATCTATTTATTTGACAGAGAGAGAGACAGCGAGAGAGGGAACACAAGCAGGGGGAGTGGGAGAGGGAGAAGCAGGCTTCCCGCTGAGCAGGGAGCCCGATGCGGAGCTCGATCCCAGGACCTGGGATCATGACCCGAGCCGAAGGCAGACGCTTAACGACTGAGCCACCCAGGCGCCCCAACGGTTAAGGTTTTTGAGCTCTTCCAGTGTGTGTTAGTGTTTTATGTTATTTCATCCATGAAACTTCATCAGTATTATCAGCCTGATTTTACAGATGAGGAAACTGAGGCACAGAGGATAAGTTATTTGCCTGGGAGTCTGAGAGCTCTTTCCTTTAGTTCCTTATCCCCAATTGTGTCCTCCTACTTAGTGCTTATTCCCAAATTTTTACCACTGGATAACTGTTTTCTTTTTTTTCACCCTCTTCCTGACTTCGCTTTAAAAAATACTTCTCTTTGGGGCGCCTGGGTGGCTCATTTGGTTAAGCATCTGACCCTTGATTTCAGTTTAGTCAGTTAAGAGTCTGCCTTCAGCTCGTCATGATCCCAGGGTCCTGGGATCGAGCCCCACGTAGGGCTCCCTGCTCAGTGGGGAGTCTGCTTCTCCCTCTCCCTCTGCCCCTCTAACTGCCTGTGCATGTGCACTCACTCTCTCTCTCTAAAATAAATGGATAAATCTTTGAAAATAAATAAATAAATAAATAAATACAACTTCTCTGAGGAGAACACAGTGAGAAGTGATTGAAGATGAACAGTGAGGACTCAAATGGGGGACCTCCTGACTCAGAGCATGTCTTTTTCTTTTTGAAGAGGGAAAAAGGTATGCTGGTTTTTTCTCTTCTTTTTCTTTTTTTCTTTTTTAAAGTAAGCTCTAGGCCTACCTAACATGGGGTTTGAACTCTTGACCGTGAGATCAAGAGTCACATGCTCTACCTAGTGAGCCAGCCAGGTGCCCCTATGCTGTTTGTTTGTTTTATTTAGTTAATCAGGTTTTAAAATGTAAAAAGAGGGGCGCCTGGGTGGCTCAGTTGGTTAAGCGACTGCCTTCGGCTCAGGTCATGATCCTGGAGTCCCAGGATCGAGTCCCACATCGAGTCCCACATCGGGCTCCCTGCTCGGCAGGGAGTCTGCTTCTCCCTCTGACCCTCCTCCCTTTCATGCTGTCTCTCATTCTCTCTGTCTCAAATAAATAAATAAAATCTTTAGAAAAAAAAAACCTTCAAAAAAAATAAATAAAATGTAAAAAGACACTACTCATAAATTTATGCTTATAACACTAAAAATGTTAGATATTAGATAGCACATCTTTTTTTTTTTTTTAAGACTTTATTTATTTATTTGTCAGAGGGAGAGACAGCAAGCAAGCAAGCACAAGCAGGGGGAGCAGCAGGCAGAGGGAGAAGCAGGCTCCCCACCAAGCAAGAAGCCTGATGCAGGACTTGATCCCAGGACTCTGGGATCATGACCTGAACTGAAGGCAGATGCTTAACCAACTGAGCCACCAGGCATCCCTAGGTAACATATCTTCTGAGTAAGAGCCAAACCCATACCCGCCCTGGGCCTTCTGATCAATCCAAAGAGCATCCAAAACTCAATCACTTCTTACTGTGTTCTCCTCGGAGAAGTATTTTTTTAAAGGGAAAGCAGGAAGGGGGTGAAAAAAAGAAAACAATTATCTAGTGGTAGAAATTTGGGAATAAGCACCAAGTAGGGGGGACACAGTTGGGGATGAGGAGCCAAAGGAAAGAGCTCTGAAAGCCAACCACTTAGAGTCCAGTACAGCCCTCCAAAATGTGGTTCCTGAGCTCCCAGCCTGTCTAGATCCTGCCCAGGGGCCAGGGATGGCCAGAATCCAGCAGGAAGCTCCAGTCCCAAGATAGCCATCCAGTCCTGCCCAGTCCTCATCCCTCATCCCCAACAAAGGACTCCAGTCCCCAAACTGCTAATAACAGAGATTTTAATACATAAGGCACAGTGTGAGGCTGGGATCATTAAGCATCCTCATACTCAAAAGGGCCCAGCAGGCTAAGCAAAAGCAGCAGGGGTTACCTCCCCACTGCTGGGCACCCTGGAGAGCCCCCCAAAGGAGGGGGGAAACATCTAGTCTTTGGCACGGTGCCCGGGGCAGGGAGCAACTAGCATGGTCCCCACTACCCCTCCATGGGTACTGCCACCAAGGGGCAGCTCTTTGGTCTGGAAAAACAATCAGTGCAAATGTCCAGGGTCGAGCTCTAGGGCAGTCAAGGTGGCACAGTGCACCAGGGCTGGGCAGGCTCTGGACAGTCCCCTTACCGCTCACGGGCAACACGTGGGCTTCTTCTTGCTGGCAGTTAGGTAGAGGTTGCTGTCCTCACTATGGATGCCTGAAGAAGGCCGGGAAATATGTGAAGCAGGGATCAGGGGTTCCCCGCGCTCTCTGCCACCCCATCCAGGCAAACACTCACGGACAACATCCCCAATGCGCCGGGCCCCCGATTTCTCCAGCTCAGCCAGCACGTTGGCTTCAAAGGTCAGCGCCGCCACACGGAAGAAGAATTCCCGGACATTTTCACCTGACGCATGGGGCAGATGGGTGCTCAGGGGCCGTTCCAGGCCTCGAGTCACTGGGCACAGCTGAAAGGGCAGGAATGAGAGGCCAGGTGGACAGGAACACCACAGCAGAAGACCTGAAGCCTCTGACTCACCAGTGAGAGAAGAGACCGCCCAGTACTCAGCCTTCATCTCTTGGGCCACCTTGAGTGCATCTTTCTCCATCAGCACATACTGAGCAGGAGTCTGAGGGAAGGTCAGAGTCAGATGGCAAGGAGGGGGGCGGGGTCCCCTGACTGGGCTGGAAGCCGCCCCTCCCCTACTGACACACTCACACTCAAGTCCTTCTTGGAACCCACAAGGAAGAGAAGCACACTGGACGGGTCATTCTCCTTGAGTGCATCAGCGAGCCATTGTCTGCCACAGAGGGTAGACAATCAAGGATGAGTGAGCTTGGAGAGGCTCCTCCCGGTGGCACTCATATGCCCATCACACTCTCTCTGGTCCTCGATGCATTCTTTTCCTTCCCTACTAATGCTCCTGACCACCTCTCTTTTCTGAACCCTCTCTTCCCGGAGCCCCCATCGTAGCTCAGCATCCCCACATACTTGGTATGTTCCAAGGAGGCCACATCATTCAGGTTGAAGACAATGATGATGGCTGGAAAAGCGGCAGAGACAACTGACATTACCAGCTCATTTCCCAAATCCCCCCAGCCCTAGATTAGAGACCAGGAACACCCACCTGCCCCACTTCACCGAGGCCCTTACCTTGAGCTCCTCGGTAATAGGTTGATGCAATGCACTTGAACCTCTCCTGTCCAGCGGTATCCCAGCTGGGAGGAAGGAGGGGGTACAACACAGGTATGTGGGAGGGGGGCATGAGGTGGGGTTCAGGTGCTGGGGGAAGGAATGGCTGGGAGGTGTGGAGGAGGCACTCACAGCTGCAGACTGAAGGGGACACCCAACACCTCAAATCGTTCCATCTCAAAGTCCACTCCAATGGTAGCCTTGTAATTCTTATCAAAAGTATCTTTGCAGAACCTGAGGGAGCACCAGATGCTCTGGCCCTGAGCCCAGCCCACCTGGCTAGGTCTGGCCAAACCCTTCCCGGCCCAATCCAGCTCAACTAGAGCACCTTCTTACCTATTAATGAGACAAGTCTTCCCCACTGACAGATCCCCCACCACAATGACTTTGGAGATCTTAAATCTGTAGGACACAAAAGGGGGAAGGAGGCGTGAGCACTAGCTCTTACAACCTAGGGAGTCTCAATGTTCCCTACTAAGTCTATAAAGTTAGCTGCACCAAGGCTGAGGTTACCATAGACACGAGGCCTCCCAGGCAGCTTGCCTGGACACATATGCTTCCAGAAGAGTGTTTTGTGGTTCAACATCAGAGAGACAGGAATTTGAATCCCAGTTCTTACATCTACTAGCTGTGTGACTTAGGACAAGTTACTTAGCCTCTCTGAGCCTCAGTTTCAACATTTGTTTTTTGTTTTTTAGATTTTATTTATTTATTTGAGAGAGAGAATGAGATAGAGAGAACATGAGAGGGGGGAGGGTCAGAGGGAGAAGCAGACTCCCTGCTGAACAGGGAGCCTGATGCGGGACTCGATCCCGGGACTCCAGGATCATGACCTGAGCCGAAGGCAGTCGCTTAACCAACTGAGCCACCCAGGCGCCCTCAACATTTGTTAAGTGGAGATTTAGTATATACTCTATTGGGTTGTTGTGAAGGTGTTTGTTTTTTTTTTTTTAAGATTTTATTTATTTGACAGAGAGAGACACAGTGAGAGACAGAACACAAGCAGGGGGAGTGGGAGAGGGAGAAGCAGGCTTTCCACAGAGCAGGGAGCCCAATGCGGGGCTCTATCCCAGGACCCTGAGATCATGACCTGAGCCGAAGGCAGACGCTTAACGACTGAGCCACCCAGGCGCCCCTGTTGTGAAGGTTAAAATGAGATAAATGTCCTATATTCTGAGATAAAGGTATCCCCCCTTCACTCCCCCCACACACATTTTAAACATCTCTGAAATCAGGATACATCTTAAAAGTGATGGTGTTTTCCATTTAATAAAGGACAATAATAGTAACCAACACACTGCCTGGCACACAGTAACCGCTCCGTTAATGGCACGCCAATGTTATCAGTATTACCTTCTTTCACCCATAATGGGACACATCCCTACAGGCACAGCTCCCTGCCCTGGGGCTCAAATGGGTGGTATGTGGGAAGGTGAGCTGGTAACCACCCTCTCCTGTTGGGTACCCTCTCTGTGTCAGGAAGTGAACTGCCGTCTCTCTACCCCACCCCATTTCACAGGACTCATCACAACCTTGCTGGGAAGAAAAGGGAGAACACATGGGTGTAAAAATGGGGGAATTACCATATAACTGGTCGAGGCTGAAACGGAGCCCCAGGGGGTGCGTGTATACCCTAGCTTTGATTGAGACTTCCTTTCTTTGTTAAGGATGTCTAGCTCACCCCACGGTGCCTGTCCGGTGCTCCTGGCAGGCGCAGGTGACGCGGGGGTGGAAGTCTTTGTGCACGTGCAAAGCGGCCTCCTTCCTCAGGCACTGAGGGATAGAAGAGAATGGGACTCACCCACTCCTGGCCCACGTCCCGCAGCCAAGCTGCCCCGGGCGGGGGTAGGGGACCACCCAGAAGCAGCAGACCTAGCTGGGCGGCAGCGCTGGGCCCAAGCCTCTAACTGATCTGGTGCTGCCTCCTCCCCGCCCACACCCCACCGCAGCCAGAAGCCCGACGTGGCCCTGGCGCCTACCTGGGGCAGCTCCGCCAGGACGCGGTCCCTCCGCACCGGCGCCAGAATGTTCATCTCGCCTGCGGCCTTGCGGGGAGCCCCGAGAAGGCGCGGGGGCCTGATCCACCCCAGCGACCCGGGCCCGTGGAGACCCGACAATCACCCGCGACCGGGGTGTCCCGACTATAACTCTGGGCCACGGGGAGCCTACGGGAGCCCGCGGCCTCGGGGACGCTACGACCACAGCAGGCCACGGGGATGAGACGATCATCCGGGGCCGGGGCGAACCCACAATCACCCGGGCCCGAGTCGTCCCGACGACGACTCGGGGGCGGGGAGACTCCTCCGCCTCCAAATGGGGGCGGGGAGTCCCGTCCGGGGGGGCCCGGGCCCGCGCAGACCCCACAATAACTCGGGGCCGGATAGTTCCTACAATGACTCGGGGCCGCGGTGACCCGACGACAGCTCGGGGTTGAGGCGGTCCTACCATAACAGAGCCGCCCGGGGGCGCGGAGCGGCCCCGCCGCACGGGGTCAGTGTGGGCAGGGATGGCGCTGCAAGGCCCGCGGCCTGCTGGAGGAGGGGGCCAGGGGCCCAGTCCGCTGCAGGGCCCGGCGTCCCACTCCGCTCTCCCTTCGCGAGCGCTGTAACATGATCCCCGGAAATTCCTGGAGAAGGGCCGCCCCCTGCCCCTCTCCCGGCAGCTCCGGGCCTCGCAGCCTGTCCCAGCCTCCCCCTCCTCTCCTCCCCACGGCGCTGCCCCAGCTCTGGGTACCCTGCCAGACGCCTCACGGGCACCAGGACCGCCTCCACCCAGGCTGGAACCCGCCCAGATCGAAGTCCCCCAGGTCGCTCTCCCCTGCGCCTCTGGGCCGGCCTCCGGCTCCAAGGGGACCCTTACCCAGTCAAATTGGTGATGGAGAATCGGTGATTGCTGCGCAGTATCTGGCTGGGCCAGGAACCGGCGGGGAGGGGAAAGGAGGAGAGAAGGGGCCCAAGGAGAGGCGGCGCTTCCCTCAATTCCAGACCCAGAACGTGACTCATAGAGTCTGCCCCCGCTCGCCCTTCTGCCCTGGATGGGGTGGGGTGGGGGAAGCCGACAGGGGATGCCAGGGTCGGAATGGGATGCCCACCGAGGAAAGAGATGTCCAGTCTGGGGTGTCTTCCTTCAAGGCTCCCGTGTAGGCCGAGGGGTGGGAGGCTGAAGACGAACCTGCTTCCCTCAATGGAGTCTAAAGAAGGGCTAGGTGGACCTGAAACTTCGCCCTTTAGGTAGGTCGTGGCTCTGGGACTAGGGGACTCCGCTCTGGTACCAGCGTTCTGTCTGATCCCATTGGAATCTTACCCCCAAGGATAACTTTTCCATTTTGCAGTTCTGCAGGATAGGAGAGCAGTGTAGCACACAATAGTTCTCACCATCAAAGGGGAGATCTGGTTCGAAAGAAGGGAGGAGGAAGATAGAAAGTGTAGGGTGGAGGTGGGATAGACACAGACCTTCAGAGAAGCAAACCTAAGCTTTACTTGTTCTGTGTCCAGAACCGAATTCGAGGATGCAAACATGGACTGGAGCAGGGAAGGGAAGACTACTTAAAGGGAGGGGACAGTGGGGCACCTGGGTGGCTCAGTTGGTTAAGCGTCTGCCTTCAGCTCAGGTCATGATCCCAGGGTCCTGGGATCGAGTCCTGCATCGGGCTCCCTGCTCCACGGGAAGCCTGCTTCTCCCTCTGCCTCTCTCTTTCTGTCTCTCATGAATAAATAAATAAAATCTTTGGGGGAAAAAAAAAGGGAGGGGACTGTGAATGAAATTATTCACAAGAACTAGTGAGCCCTAGATAAATTTGTACCCCGGGTGTTTGGACTATTGGTCGTTTCAAGAGTATTATCGGGAAAACGCACGAAATCTGACAGTCACAGGTAAAGAGGGGTAGATGTGACCACCTTCTACGATACTTTCTCCTCCCCTCTGCCTGAGTCGACTTTTTCTGCCACCAAATCCCTGTGTTATTGATAAGCCACATCCCCACTCTGGACTAAATTTCCACGGAAGTTGTTAGAGGGACTTGGACCAGATAATTTCCTAAAGTTCTTTCTTTCTTTTCTTTCTTTTTTTCTTTTTGAGAGAGCGAGCGAGCATAAGTGGGGGGAAGGGCAGAGCAAGAGGGAAAAGCAGCCTCCCCGCTGAGGAGGGAGCCCGATGCAGGGCTCGATCCAAGAACTCGGAAATCATGACCTGAGCCAAAGATAGCCACTTAACTGACTGAGCCACCCAGGCGCCCCTGGACCAGACAATTTCTGCTCTAACATTCTAGAGCTTTGCTTCACTCTCCCTGAGTCAACCTAATTATACTCAGTCCAGTTTTCAGTGTTACTGTCTCCTGAACTGCAATACTCTTTCCTCAAGATGGGAAGGGCTCAGGACGAGATGCCAGCGGCAGCTAGCTACACCGTCCACATCCACCAGCCGCAGCAAATAAACACGTGTCTCAAAAAAAACTACAACCCCCAAGAAGCTTTAGATTCTTTTGAGGGAAGAGGTGGAGCATGCTTAATCACTCTCGCGAGGAAATAAAACCTAACTACCATTCCCAGAGGGCGCCGCGCTACAGGATATCCAATCAGCTTTAAATAAAAAACATCGCGAGTCTTCAGTGAGACTCTGCTCTATAAGCCCCTGGAAACGAGCCTTGGAAATCCCTTTTACGAAGATGGCGCCGAAGACTAAGAAAGAAGGTTTGTGCTGGGGTTGGGGAGAGTACCACAGCTAGCTGGCGTGGGATCCCCTTGGAGTGAACGAACTGGGAGGAGAGCTGGGCTAAGCCTTGGGGTGTCTACTCCGGAGCTGTTTCTCGCATTCCGGCACGCTGCGATGCGCGTGGGCCCGGCCGCATGGGCTCGGTTCCTATGAGGAGGTTTGGGGAGGCAAGCCCGGCCGGCACCACCTGTTGGGGGCCGCCAGACTGTTGGCTTTGGGGAACTACACACATCCACAGGCCGGAACTCCATGTCTCCAGACCTGTAAAGAATTATAGTCCTCAGGGCGCCTGGGTGGCTCAGACGGTTAAGCGTCTGCCTTCGGCCCAGGTCATGATCCCGGGGTCCTGGAATCGAGCCCCGCATTGGGCTCCTTGCTCGGTGGGGAGCCTGCTTCTCCCTCTCCCTCTGCCTGCCGCTCCCCCTGTTTGTACTCTCTCTCTAATAAAAAATAAGCCTTTAAAAAATTTTTCAGCTTAGTTTTTTTTTTTTTTTTTTCGTGTTAGAGCTATATAGGTAGCTAAAACCACTAGCACACATCTTGTCAAGTATCAAGCGTTGGATCATTGCTAGTTCCTTTTTTTTTTCCGTCGTATTCCTGAAGTTACTCTCTGAGTTCGCCCCGGTATCGTGCATATGATGGAAAAATTTTAACCTGAGACTTGTGATGTCTTCAAAGGAACCACTGATGCACGTGTGGGGTGGAGCGCCCGTTAGGGGTTTTGAGGACGGAAGTGATTGGTTTCTGAGTCCCGTGCCCTCATTTTCTTTCTTTCTCTCAGCCCCTGCCCCTCCCAAAGCCGAAGCCAAAGCAAAGGCTTTGAAGGCCAAGAAAGCGGTGCTGAAAGGCGTCCACAGTCACAAAAAAAAGAAGATCCGCACGTCACCTACATTCCGACGACCCAAGACACTGCGGCTGCGGAGGCAGCCCAAATATCCTCGAAAGAGCGCCCCCAGGAGAAACAAGTCAGTACTGTCCTTTCCCATGAAAAGATGTTGGGTAATTTGGAAATTTACCAGACCTACAGCATGATTTCTCAAATACATATTGGTACCTAGTGTGCGTCTCTAAGGGGAGTGTGAAAAAGATTGTTAATGCCCTATTTAAGAACAAGAGATGTTTTTACAACATTGGCAGGAATTGTTTAAAACAGCTCAGTGTCTGTTAAAGTTAATTGTTAGGTTAATTGCTTCATATATGGTCGGGTTTTAAATTCTGCTTTCTTGGAGTTGTAAAATAGTACTTTGTTTAAATGTTTGGGGGTTTGTTTGTTTGTTTTGGAGTTCCAGGTTTAGTTATTCATTGCACCTATTGCTGTAGGGAATAGTCCTTGAGGGCGACAGTGTGGGATGATTCTAGATTGATAAGGACACTTATTAATATGTATTGGACAGAGAAGGCCTGCAACAGTGTATAAAAGGTTCTTGTTCACTCTCAAGTCTTTACACTCAAGGAAATAGGGGGAAATGGGCAAAAGGTTTAGGGTCTTGAGTGTTTTGGTGCCACACTAGTAGTAATAAAACCGACCTAAGGGGGGCCACAGATCAGAGCAATAGTAGTAACTGCCACTTCCCACTGCTTTTTTTTTTTTTAAGATTTTATTTATTTGCGAGAGAGCGAATGAGAGACAGAGAGCATGAGAGGGAGGAGGGTCAGAGGGAGAAGCAGACTCCCTGCTGAGCAGGGAGCCCGATGCGGGACTCGATCCCGGGACTCCAGGATCATGACCTGAGCCGAAGGCAGTTGCTTAACCAACTGAGCCACCCAGGTGCCCTTCCCACTGCTGCTTAAGAAAAAGACAAGGAGAGTGGGATGTGTCCAGGGAGGAAACCACTTTTTACCCCCATTTGGACCTGGGATTTAGTGTCAGGAGAGGTTGAGACCTGATGTCTAGCTTTAAGATAGGCATGTAGCGTCCACGTGAACAGAGACTTGTTTTTCTAAATTTCAGGGGGAAAGCTACTGTAAGTTTAACTTGAACTGTAAATAAAAGTTGCTCTCAATCAGTGGCCCTCAAAACCAGTTTTCAGCAACCAATGGGGGCAGAAATGTCTATTAAATCTCATAGTGAAGCACCAGCATTCTTTGGAACTCTACTCTGGGTTTTAAGATTCTGTAGTCTAGGGCGCCTGGGTGGCTCAGTCGGTTAAGCGACTGCCTTCGGCTCAGGTCATGATCCTGGAGTCCCTGGATCGAGTCCCGCATCGGGCTCCCTGCTCAGCAGGGAGTCTGCTTCTCCCTCTGACCCTCCCCCCTCTCATGTGCTCTCTCTCTCATTCTCTCTGTCAAATAAATAAATAAAATCTTTAAAAAAAAAAAGATTCTGTAGTCTAGCTTTATGCTTTTGAAGTAAGTTGTTTAACCTCTGAAGTCTCAAATTTCTTCCAGAAGTTTGCCCTTCAAAATGTTGAAGTCAAGGGACGCCTGGGTGGCTCAGTCGGTTAGGTCTTGATCGCAGGGTTCTGGGATCGAGTCCCACATCGGGCTCCTTGCTCGACAGGGAGCCTGCTTCTCCCTCTGCCTGCAGCTCCCCTTGCTTGTGCTCTCTCTTTTTCTGACAAATAAATCTTTAAAAATGTTGGGGCGCCTGGGTGGCTCAGTCGTTAAGCGTCTGTCTTCGGCTCCCTGCACAGCAGGAAGCCCGATGCGGGGCTCGATCCCAGGACCCCAGGATCATGACCTGAGCTGAAGGCAGACGCTTAATGACTGAGCCACCCAGGCGCCCCAAATAAATCTTTTTTTTTTTAAATGTTGAAGTCAAAGAATGAAGGGGGTTTGGAACTCAGAGATGATCTTTAAATCACTTTGTACGATGCAAGTACTTCAGTCTGTTTGGCTCAGGTCATGATCCCAGAGACCTGGAATCGAGCCCCACAGCAGGCTCCCTGCTCAGCGGGGAGTCCGCTTCTCCCTCTTCCCCTTACCTTGCTCTTGCGCATGCGTTTGTGTGCTCTAATAAATAAAATTTTTTAAAAGATAAAGCCCTTCAAGGGGAAGAAAGTGCACAGGTTTCTGCTCCTAGGTCCCTAAGTTTAAGGTGCAGATGATGACACTGTTTAGCGACCAAAGTCTGACAAAAATGATTGCTACTTCATGGTCTGATGCACCTGGGCTCTTTTGGCTTTGGGCTCTAAAAGGGGGCCTATCCTTTCTTTTATCGGACCCAGGCGATACCATTTTGCCTCTTCCCCAGGCTTGATCACTATGCCATCATCAAGTTCCCCCTGACTACTGAGTCAGCCATGAAGAAAATAGAAGACAACAACACGCTTGTGTTCATTGTGGATGTCAAGGCCAATAAGCACCAGATCAAACAGGCTGTGAAGAAGCTCTATGACATTGACGTGGCCAAGGTCAACACCTTGATCAGGTGAGTAGGGCCTCGGTCAGGAGCCAGGAAACCTGCATGGAGTCAGAAGTAGGTTTCACAGGGTGTGAGCCTTAAGAAATGAACAGCTTCTGCTGTAATTCTAGTCCTTTGTATCTAATAAACAAACAGCCTTCTGAGGACACATTAGCCCTCCTGCCTCTAGGACTTGATGTATGGTGTTGGTGTTCATTTTCTTGATTCCGTACACCTCTAGACAGGCAGGCCTTAGAGTAAGACACACTTATGTCAGATTACCTGGACTTACGCCTTAAAATGTTCTGTGGTGTTCCCCACAAAGGGGAGTTGGCTTCATTTGTGGTTTGATGGCATCCCTAGTCTCCTGTGGAAATGATGGAAAAGTCACTTTGGGAAAGAATGACATGAACAAAGGAACCACTGATGTGCCAGAAAGACTAGGGGGAAAAGGGAGGGCTTGGGGGCAGTGAGGGTAGGAGGAATTAAGACTTCCTTTATCCTAGACCTGATGGAGAGAAGAAGGCATATGTTCGACTGGCTCCTGACTATGATGCTTTGGATGTTGCCAACAAAGTAAGTTTCCTTTGCTATGAACTCATCTACCACCTGGGTCCAAGTGATGTGTCTGCTAGTGACCAAAACCTGACCTTTGCTGATGAACTCACTGCACCCCTATCCTTAATAGGCTCTACCCTCGTCTCATTTTGCTTTTTAACCATGACATTCCAGCTTAATCTTCACATTTCAGCTCCCAGTAACAAAGCTCCCCTTTTGTTTTTCAGATTGGAATCATCTAAACTGAGTCCAGCTGGCTAAATCTAAATATAAATCTTTTCACCATTTGTGTTTCTTCGTTGATTTCTGGTTGGGCTTTGGGGGAGGCCATACTATGGTATACACACACTTAACAGGGGCTGGGCAAGACTTTGGTCTACTTACCCTGTTGGAACACTCTGCATTATTACTTCCCCACGCTTGTTAATCCTGGCAGTGGGAGCTCAGGTATTTGTTACCAGATTGGAGTTCGTCGTCCTAGGACGACTACAATTTGCCACCATCATGGGGGTAAGAGAACAAACAAGAATCCCTCCTTTTATCTGGAAGGGGCTTTGTAGGAAACCAGTACACAAAGTTCTCATTAGCATCCACTTCAGGGCAGTGTGGACTGGCTGGCTTTCATAGCACCTGTCCCCACACCCAACTACCATGTCCAACCGGTTGGTCTGCTTCCCTCACCCCTTGCCCAAGAAAGGACAAGGACTTCAGAGGAGTGCTTTCATTAGCATTTTCAATAGTAGGTGCAGAGGATGCCCCAGGCCTGAGGCTAATTCTCGTATGTGTGAGGCTGTTCTTGGCTGTGTTTGCTCTTCTGGCCACAAGTTGCAGGCTCTGGGCCTCTCACTCTGTCAAAAACTTGTCTTTGTGTTGCTGGCTGGGGACACGCTCAGGGCAGAAGTCCGAGCGGAGAAGGCGAGAAAAGTAGATGAGGATCATGATGTCCAGCATGAGCAGGTTACCCAGCAGAAAGGTGCCCAGGGTCCTCTGCCCCAAATAACGCAGGAAGAAGTGGGTGAGGTAGGCCTGAGGGGCCAGGCGGAAGACAAAGTACATGACCAAGTTGACATACTTGTTGACCCTGTACAGGAGGAGATGCTGGGCATTGTTTATCTTCATCATCATGCGGATGGTGAGGAAGATGTTGCTGACCTCTACCAGCAACGTTAGGACTCCACCGCCGACAAAACTGTTCAAAAAGATGCCTGAAAAGAAGGCACCCAGAGCCTAGAAGGCAAGGGAGATAACGTGTTAGGGAACCCAGATACCATGGCTTTCCTGAAAGCTGGTGGGAATGACGGCTGGGAAATCCATCCTTACTGGCTTCCTTCTGGATTATAGCTTAAGGTGGATTCAGCATGATTACATTTTGACCCATGCCCACAGATTCTGGTTCTGGGTGGGGTTTCCAGTCTGTTCAAGGAGGTAATCGGTAAGTCCATGGATTGCTGGCCTCAAAAATTAACTCACCAAGGGCACAGAAACTGCCAACCTTCAGTGTCCTGGCATGAGATGTAGGACACAGGTTGGAAATGGGCTTAAGAAAGATGGTCTTCACCTCCCAGGTTCACAAAGGGCTGAGACCAGGTTGCTAGCACCAGGCCTACACCACATCCCCTGCTTCTCATTTACCATGAGGTGATGAACGAGGTATTCCCAAGAAGCTCGTGTCTGACGACTAACCACGATGTCCACCGTGTCGTGAATGAAATACCCTAGCGGGGGGGATGGGAAAAGGTCAAAGGAACTGAACAAAAAGCTCCCTATTCCCGCACCTACTTATTTTCTGGGCAAGACCTACCTGCGGAGAAGCAAGCGAGCAAATAGCCAGAAAGCGACCATGCCGTCTCAATCTCCACCAGCATCTCGGGGGTCTGCCATAGACTGGGAGGGAAGAAGGCAGTCAGTCTCTCAACATCTCCGCATCCCCAAGGGCCCTCTACTCCCCCATTACCCCTCCCAGTCCCCGGGGAATCTGGGCTCGCGCTATTGGCTTTGTGGAAAGTGAGGAGAGGCTTGGCTGAAACCCAGGTGTCTCCCGGTTCCCAGATGAGCTTTCCCCCCCTCCCTGGGACCTCTGCCGCTCCTAGTTGGAGAGCTTTCCAAACGGAATCAGGTGAGACTGCAAGGCCTGAGCATGCCAGAGAGTGATGCGGAGAGAAACGTGGGATCCCCCAGCCACCCACCTTCACTCCCCCAGTCCCTCACTCACCACATCAGCGCCCAGACCCCGGACACAATGGAGTGCGCGAAGGAGACGAGCAGGTTGTGCCAGCGCCAGGTGCGCAGGGGGTCGGCGCGCACGTGCGCGGGCAGGGGCAGGCGTCTGAGCGCGCGCCGGAGCGCCCGGAAGGTCAGCGTGGCGCCCAGGAGCAGCGGCAGGGCGGGGTGCAGCAGTGGGGGCATGCTGGCCCTCCCTGCAGTCTGTCTGTCTGCCCCCTAAGCCGCCTCGTCGGACTGCTCCGGGAACGGGGCTCTTCTCCGGCCAGTCCACACCCGCCGCCTCCCCGCCGGCCGCCAGCCTCACATAGTTTTCGCGTTGCCCTCTAGGCCCCTGCACTCCTCCCGGCTCCTCCCCGCGGGCCTCTGCCCCCGCCCCCAGCCGCTCCCGCCCCGCCCCGCCCCTGCCGCCTGCCCCAGTCCCTCCGGCGCCTCCGCGGCACCGAGGGCCAGAGCCCCATTTCCCGGGGGCCTCCGGGCCCCGCCTGGCTCCCGCGGACTTCGGGCGAAAAGGGGCTCTCCTGGGGGGCGCCGACGCCGCGGCACCCCTCGCTGGCGCCTCCCGACTGCCGACGGAGTCCTGCCTCGCTCGCTTGGCTTCATTAACCTGCGTCCCCTCTTTCCCCAGGGCTACCGGCTCCCCCGCCTGGGCGGGTACTGAGAGACCTCTCTCTCCGCCCTCAACTCCTTTCTGGGCAGAGCGGGGCGGGGCCCGTCGCACACCCGCGTCCTTTAAGCCCTGATCCTGGGGAGGGGTCCGAGCCCCGCCTCGATAATGGTCTCCGCCCATGCCCTGTTCTTTCACTGGATCTCTAGCTTCCTCAGGCCAGAGACGGACATGTTTATCAGCTTCTACGGTGCCCCGCATCGACTCGGTGCCTAGAAAGGGTCGACTAATCCATCACCCTTCTTCCCAGCCCGCTCTTGGGCTGCTGGGGCCGAGCGGCTGTCACAGTACTCCCTCAGACAGTCCCAGCTCTTCTCCTGGCTCCCTGGAGGCTGGCAAGAGGAAGGCCGCGGATTTGCCTGGGCTGCTGGGGTGACCCTTACTCTTCAGGACAGTGGCCTGGAGCAGTTGCAGCTCGTGGTCACTAGGTGTCAGCCTATCCCCATCTTGGCGCGGGATCCCCTCCCGCCTCCTAACACGCGAGGTGCGAAAGGGGGAAAGGCTGAGGACCCAAGGCTGGGGGTGGTGATAGAGGAGAGGACGGTAGTGGGGGGAGCGGGGAGGCGGGGCTAGGGAAAAGATGCTGCGAGAGGGAGGGAAAGCTAGAGGGACCAAGAGGTTTGGGTATTTGCCTCCCTTGATGGTTCCAAGGTTACATATTAACCCCTGTGGGGCTCCTGGGTCAACCACGGCCCGATTGGTTTCCAGGTGAGAGCACGAGTGTCCCGAGTTGTGTGGCTTTTCCCCTCTGCGCTTCCCTTTGCTCACAGGGCAGCTTTGTTCATCAGCCAACAAAAGCCTGAGCCAGCGACCGAGGGCCCCTCGTGGGGCCCCTCTAGTGGTCTTTCCACGTGGGCAGGTTTGAGTACCCTTTTGAGTGGTGGGGCGGGACAGAACTTAAACACTCCTTTCCTCACTCGCTCAGAAATAGGGACGCTGTCTCTTTGCTAATCACCATCCTCTCGCTCCTTAACTGAGCTTTTATGGAGCTCGCACAGAGCAGGAGGCACAGGGAGACAACAGGAATTAAACTCACTTCCGGTCAAACCCTAGATAATCGTACTAACCAGCCCCCTACGTTTAGGCAGAAGCCTTGAACCCACATCGGTCAAACAGCTCTCCTTCCTCCTCTCTCTGATGCTTACAGATAGTGGTCCTCTTCCCTCTCATCTAATCCCCAAAGGAGATTCTCCCTATAGTTGAGCGTTGAAGACGGATTACCTGCGGCAAAGTTGTGTGTGTGCAGGGCGGGGGGGGGGGGGTGGTGATGACGAGAGCGGTGCTCACTTGTTGGGACAGCCTGGAGTCTCCTCCTCCCTAGGTGAATCCATGTGCACGGCTTGGTGTTTCCCCGGTCCCTCCCTAGGCAAACACGAAACTAACCCTGCTCCCTGAGTGTCATGACACTCTCGGTACAGTTTTGGCTGTTTATCATTTGCGTGCCAATGAGAATGCGTTCTCTCCTTCCCAAATAGTGTCACTAGTGCGCAAAGAAGTCGGGGGGAGAGGGGCGCCTGCCTTCCGCTCAGGACATGATCTCAGGGTCCTGGGGTGGAGCCCCGCTGGGGCTCCCCGCTCAGCGGGGAATCTGCTTCTCCCTCTGCCTCTTCCTCTCCCCCGTCTCCTGCTCTCTCTCTGTCTCAAATAAATAAAATCTTTAAAGTGAGCTGAGAGAGATTGGCCCTTGCTTTTCACCCTCACTGGTTGTGCAGGGCACCCCTCCGCTCTAAGGAAGTTTTGTGAGGGCCGGATGCGAACACGTGTGTAGGGAATGGCTGGTACCGTTCTACCTGCCAAGCGCGCCAAGAACTGGCATAAAACCCCATTTCTGGGACTCTGAAAAAGCAACTGTGGCCGGGGGCTGCAAGGACTGGGTAAACAGCCCAAGATAGACGCAGAGCTGAAACCCACACCAATCTCACTTGCTCCGCCCCGCCATTATCTTCAGCGTAGGGGGCGTGGCCATAGAGTGGGCGGGTCCGCGCACGCGCCGCGCCTGGGTGTGGGGGGGTTCCGGAAATGTGACTCAGAAATGAGATGGAGAAGTACGAGCGGATCCGAGTGGTGGGGAGAGGTGCCTTCGGGTGAGCCAGGGATCTGGGGAAGGAAATTGGTCGGGGAGAGGGAAAATGAGCCCCAACTCTGACCGCGAATTCGCTCCCCTGTTAGCCGCGCCCCGACGCGGGAGCGCCCACTCGGAAAGCCCCGCCCAGGCTTCCGGTCCCGGGCCCAGCTGGGAGACTCCGCCTCTAACGAGGTCCCGCCCCCGACAAGCCTGTGCGCCCCCTGAGAGTTGCGTTCTTTGATTCCTGACTCATTCATTCAACAAAGATTGAGCGCCAACTATACCGGTCAGGCTCTCGGCGCCGACTGTACAGTAAAGACCAAAATAGGCGTGGTCTTT